CAACTGAATGTCAGAGGCTCGTATCAACGTGTGGCTATCAAGGGTCCGAAGACTAGGAGCTCCAAATACCCCCAAACCTTGCCTCACTACCTCAAACTACCTCAAGCGTTTGTAGAAAATGTTATTAAAAGAGAGCTCATTTGCAAACATGCGTGTGGAAGCACGCATTACAGTCACGACCTCACTTTGCAGAATTAAGTGTTAAATGACACCCTCTTCCGCATGGAATATTTTAGGGCTCCCAACACTTTAGAGGGCTTTTAAACAAATTTCAAGATTTTGAAGCAAACTTATAAACGGATATAGTCCTGTATCGTATCGGTAGTTCGTAATTTGTAGGTTAATTTAAAAGAATCTAGTACCTTAGAATACAAATCTAGTTTCTTAACGCTGTCACTGAAAATGGGCATTTATCACCATATGCCACCTCATATCTATGGGACAGAGAGCATAAAATTCAACCATGTTTTCTTCGAGTATAAAATTACAAAATAAAAATAAATGTGCAGCACAATTTTTACTCAATGTATCCAGTGCATCTGACTCATGACATATGATAATCTCATGTTAGAAATTGGTATTTGGCCATCATTTTGAACTATTCAAGTTAATGTGTCTATAGAGGGCGCCATTCCGAATTATGCAAATTTGCATATCATTTGTGATCATACAGCATCGCAATTTTTATTTAGTGATGATTCTAGAAAAAAATTAAGATATTTGACTGCCATTTAATGTAGTAAAATGCTGTTAAAACTTTTTATATCATTCAATTTTGGTTAAAAAGGGGATTTTGGCGGCCATTTTGTATGACGTCACATATCTCAAATTGCTCAATGCTGACAGAGTGTCAGCAATCGAATTCTTCAAATTGATGGTCTAAGGAACTATAATCCGAAGAAAAAAAAACTATAGACCCTAAAACAAGGTATATCGAGATGGCTGCCGGACTATGAAGCACCGTCTTCCAATTTAACTCATTAGGTAAATTAAAATAAGCGTTAAATGAATGCACGGCAGATCCTGGATATTTTTTCCTAACATCAAATTATAATACTGTTTGGCTCAGACTCATGTCCGCTACTTCAATGGAGTCTTTGCACCTGTTACCATTTCTATTGCACTTGATTCCACTGCAGACGGTGAACTATTTACATATTGTATCCTATTACGTAACATCTGCGTCCAAAAATTCGAAAATGCACTTTTTAACTTTGCCAATTTTGAAAGCGGAAAGTAATTCATTTTCTTGAAAATTAATACAAATGGAATCAACTTCTTTCTAAATATGTTTACTAAGACTTGTTTCACTTTAGGAATATTGTTTCTTATCCTGCTTGGAAAATGCAATAAATCATTCCTATATTTGATATTGCTGTTATACCAAATCATTTCATTTTCAATATCTGTTACTTTAAACCGGGAGGTGATAGAGATGGAGTGGGAACTCTTGTAATTTATTCAAACGCATGCGTGAGTTAACAATGGGATGTGTAACATTCCACTCGGCTTTGAAGTTCCATGCTTCGAGCCGCTCTTTCACTGCGTAGAATTACGAAGGCCAGGCACCAGTTTCACATTTATTAAATTGCCGGCGAAATTTCAGTGTAAGTTATAAACTTTTTATGGGGATTGTATTGGGAATAGTACATCAAACAATTTTTCAAATTTAGTACTCCGCCCTTCCTATAATTTGTGTGCCAGAGCCCAGAGTTGTTAAAAGAAAAAATTAGATCCTCACAAAAACTCAATATTTTAGGATAAAATCCGTTTATTTTCACACGTTTTAATGTCCCGTCATTTAATCCATGATTTACAATCTTTGATATTTTTGAGTTTGCTAATGCGTGCTTTCGCGTGCTTTTTGTACTTTTGCAGTTGGAAAAAAAGTATGAAATTACGAAAGTTTATGTTCGCTTGATCAACTCATTACACATTCAAAAACTGATGTGAAATTATTGAAAGGGGACAGCAAACCTTTACAACAATTCGTTCGTATAATGTTAGTTTTCTCATTTTCCATAAATCCAAGGTATTCTTTATTTTCTCTACTTTACTTTCCCAGTTAAAATTTTGAACATCAAAAGAATGTTTACCTATATTATATACCAATAAATGTTATAGGTCTTTGGTAAAATATAAATCTTCAACTTAATCGTTATTTATATTAAATTAATTAAATTAATTAAATGTATGCTTATACATAAATTTAAAAAAGGTGCAGTTCTCCCTTAAAAAAAAAAACATTTCCTACTACTTAGAGTATATAGCCAAGCCCTTATGGGAAAATCTTTTCAATCAGTAATTTCTTTTCCTTATATGAATATGATTTGCAGACACATACATGTTGAACATTTACTAACTCTAATTGGAAAAGAAAAAAAAGAAAAAACATAGTATATTATGAAGAGTTCCCCAATGTTGACATGATCATGCTGGGGTCAAAAGGCTCCCGATCGGTTTAATACATTTAAAGCAAGAATGGCCTCATGCAGCCATCATCAAAACCAAAAAACCCTTCGGTACCGCTGTTAAACTTAATTCATAATCATAGATGTTAATAATCATTATACAGAAGGGCTTACTGAAAGGGCCAGTACTGTATCCACTGATATTTTTGTCTCTAATATGCGTTTGGAATTGTCAAGGATACATAGCCACTCGCATAGCGTGTTTCCCAACCGAACTTCAGTTTCAGACATCCCCATACATCAGAGTTGTTTTTTAAATAGACCGAAAATAAAGTTCGGACGACCCCGGAAAGAGAAAGAACTTTTTCATATCTAGCCTTATACACACCACAGGGTCAAAGTCAAATACCCAGGCCTATATTCGACGCCTTTTATGACTTCCAATGTATACATAGTGATATCTTGATCACTCCTGGGGCACACACACACCTCAGACCCTGTTCTAATTGCCTTTTAGGCCGTTTGCTTGCTTAAAGTATGTCAAGAAGAACAACGCCATAATCATGAACTTCCTTGGAATAAAAAGAAGGTCCAACGCAATAGACATAATTGAGGTGAACGCCAATGACGCGCCACTAAATTCGGGGCAAGCGATCGAGCTGTTGCTATGAATAATGATGTCGAATGCCTGTATTCAATAACAGTTTCTCTTTTACAAACATGTCAAATGGGAAAAGGATAAGTTCGTACAAGTAGTTTGGAAAACAATCGATTTGCTTTACTTTAATTTGTCCAAAGAACCGTAACCGCGACTCTGACTGGTTCTTTCTCAACAAAGTTGGAGTCGTACGTATTATCTAGGTTCGTAAAGACACCGATTCTACATTTTGTCAGTAACGCTAAAACCGCACTAACCGTCAAAATAAATCTATCAATAAACAGCACAAAAAGGGCAAGGGTTAGGCCTGAGTATGTTACAATTTACTTACAGAACATATATAATAGTCGCTTTTGACAAATACCATACCTAAATATGTACTAGTTTTAAACACGAGTTTTATGGATCCCTTTTTAAAAGAGCTGAACCGTATCAATGTGTTCACCGAGTATGTGTGCCGGATGTCGGTGGATGAAGATGTGGGTGTAAAGGAGGGTGATGGCCAGGGGCAGCGGATCATCTTCTCAAGGTTGAGCGTCACTTTAGAGCAACTGCTTGTGGTGGTGATTCACAGATAGAAATGTCCCTAACTTCTCCTTTTAAGGCATCTTTTATCTTTTAAAATCTTTCTTTTTGTATCTAATCATAATCATCAAGAACATAATTGCAACTCCTTTCGATAATTTCGAGAAGTCTATCCTGATATTAAATTGGTTTTAATAGAAGCAAAACAATTTGAGAAACAATTCAGTGAAAGTTTGAGAAAAATCGGACTACAAATAAGAAAGTTAGGAATCTTTCAAAATCATGGAATCTTTGACTGCAACGCGGTCAGAAATTGTGACATTTCTTGCATTCAACAAAGGATATAATGTGAGGGGCGACATCATATTTAGAGCCAGCTTTGCCAATTTATCTCACTGATTTGAAAGTATTTCATGAAAAGTTATGGATTTTAAAAATCCATAACTTTCCTATTTTTGTCCGATTTTTCTCAAATCTTCACTGATCTGTTCCTCTCACTTTTCTCCTTGTATTAAAACAAACTTATCATCAAGATGGACTTCCCCTTTAAGGCCTTGTTAGTCACCTTTTGAAATGTGTGAACATGCGATAGGGTATATAGGCCCTAGAATCTATCGTTTACAAAAATAGTTGTGATCATGTTCAAGGTTGAATGTAGTGTCTGCTATTAGATTTGGTTTAAAACAACTCATTTAATTTTCAAAATTTCTCTCTTTCTTCTTTTCTCTATCTCTCCCTTCCAAATCTTGCTGGAATCATACACAAATATGAAAAAGTGATATGCAACTCTTCTCCAATTTAGAGTCGACAACAAACACAGTGAAACTGCATTTTAGTTTACTGCACAAGAAGAATATTTATTAAAAGATTTGATTTCAATGTAATACTTTATAAAATTGTAGTTTGCAAACTTGAGATTTCAAAGATAAACCTGTATCCACATACTTTCTTTCATGTACAAGAACACCAAAAGCTCGGATGAGGGTACATTATGACATCAAAACATGCTTAATAATTTGAATATGATTAAAGTGTGAAAAAATATATGTATTTCATCTCATCACTTAATATATCGAGACATCATCATCTAATTTGCATGACTGTACACATGGAGTATTGCACGTTTACAGTCATTCCAGAACAAAAATGAATTGCGCAAATTAAAAAAAAGGAACATGATAAAGAGAAGCGATTTGATTGTCACTGTAAGTACAGAAAGTCATTAAAAGGACATGTAAAAAAAACTGTATGAGCCTTAAAAAAAAAAAATTATCCTCATACAGTCTACCATAAGCAAAATCATGAACCTAGCTATTTTGATAAGTCAGAGAATATATTTATAACCTTTCTGTGAAACAAATTTGTATACAAATAGATCAAGGCATATATAATTTATAAAACAAAGCACTGTTAGAAAGATACATGAGGCATAAATCAAAAAGTACTATACAAAAGTAATCAAAGTTTCATACAAAATATGACAAGACTCTTCATACAAAGACTCTGACCCTCTGATATTCTGTTCTTTAATCAAAATTATCATTATTAAAGTTATATTCAATTCTGTTTTAAATACAGAAAGTGTACACGTAAAAGCATAAAGGGGCATAAGTCCATTCACATCATGAAATAACAGAGGTACAGGCAAACGAATATGAGAAATTGAAGGGGGAGGGGTGTACACTGGTAGTAACTTACAGTTTTGTGACATTATCATGCATATAATTTTTGCATTGTATTCTGTGATAGAGTTGGGTTTTTTCATAGAAAAAGAAGGTTGCCTAGAACAAGACATGTAATAGAAAATTACTTTACTAAAAAATGAGTTTAAATGCAAGTAATACACATATGAGAGGAATATGACTTTAGTTGTAATTTCCATAGTCATTTTAGAGTATCACTCTGCAAGTACTTTAACTTGTACTTGGACATAAACTAATTTAGAGCTAAGAAGAAAAGAGAATCGTGACAATGAGAACATTTGGTTTTTATATCTACTTTGAGCTAACATTCAATCAGCTTCACTATGAATTAGAGCTACATCACAACTATATAAATACTATCAAAAAAACATTATGCATTGGTTTCAAATGCTGAAAGCTCGGTACCATCTTTCTCATTGTAAACCACATTCTCAAAGCTTGTGCTGTACGGGATTTCTGGAGTTTTCATAGGAGCCTTGTTCTTCGATGAATACAAGAAGAACACCAGAAGTCCGGTGACACAGATTATGAGGACAGCAGCAATGACAATACCAGCGATGGCACCAGTTGAAACACCTACAAGAAGAGGGAAACAAAGATTACAATTTCAACTAATTTTTAAAATTTTAAACCTTGACTCAATAGTCCTAGAGGACGAGTTGAGAGAAACATATACCAACATTTTCTTTTCATCGTAAGTCATTTGTTTAAACCCAGCATCAGGTTTAGAGTTAGAGTATGTATGGACTATATTTTTAAGTTTTATGTTGTGGGTAAGTGTAACACATCCACACCTCAATGTACTAATATACTGTACATAGAGAGGTAGCAAACGTGATGTGTTGACTGGCTTAGCCAACATTCCGAAGGGGTTTTTGGACCAGTGCAAGATTCAAACTAGCCTTTATTTGCCCCAAAATCCATGAAAATATGGAAAGATTATAAATATTATCTTTTCATTCATATGAAAATATTCATTAATAAAAATCAAGTTTTATCAATCACTTTGCAGCCTGGTTTATTTTCCCATTGTTCCATATGTTCATGTTAAATAGTAAGAAAACAGAAAATTAAGACTGCTAACTAAATTGATAAAGAAACATTACATATTAATCAATAGTTAATGTGAGTAAAGCGTCAAACTTACCACTAGAAATTGGAGCACTGTTTGTAGGAGTGTCTATTGTATTGCCCCCTGGTCCTGTGTAAAAGAGAAAGAATTAAAAAAATAGTAAATTTGCACATCTTCATATCTTTTCTTTCCAGATTTGAATGTTAATATTGCCAACAAGCCAAGTACACACATGTAATAATGGTAAGGAAACACAGTATAACCCTTTTAATTTCTAGATATAGACTACCTCTAACATAAGACAAGATATTTACTAGGTAAAGAATACTACAAGTAGAACAAAAGATGAATATTACAAGTACATGGCCAAAGTTATACTTAAGCTCACTATTTGTTTGCAATTATCTCACTTCAAAGGCAGTGAATTTCAATTTATGTTGAAATGTTGGTAATATGCTATTTATTGACTAAAATTCATGAAATTTGACACATAGATTTCTGGTTTGCTTATACTGTACATGGGCTTGACACCATGGCTTTACAGTATTTCAAATGCACAGAGAGGTAGACTTACCTTGGGCTTTGGTTGTTTGTCCTGGAGCTAGAGTCTTGGGAGGGCCTTGTGTAGGCTGACCCGACAGAGGGGCTAAATAAGATAAAAGACAAGACTTTATTCTAAAGACTTTTTCAATATTCATGACAATTCTTTTCCAATGAGTGTTTCTGTAGTAAAAGGTTCAATCGTAGGATAAACACCCTACAAGATGTGACAAATGCACTGGAAGAGAGAAGAATAAATGACATAGTTATAAATTCATTGCTTTTCCTTACTGTCTTCCTTTTTGTGGTTATAACTGCCAAACTTATCTCCGCTGGGAATCAAAACAGGGTTCACTCGATCAAATTGACATACATACACAATGCATCATCAGGCATAATGTATAAGTGATAGAAAAGAGAAATGGGTTAATTGCCCTGATTTCATTGAGAATTTGTCATAAAGAGTGTCCAGTGAACTCACAATTAGCTTTGAGCCATTCAAAAATTAACATTCAGACTCACTTTTGGGTGTTTTGCAGACGTATCCTTGAACCGATAGACAGTCCAAGTCATTCCATTTCCCTGTCTCTAGGTACATCTCTGCACAGTCCTCATCACCAAGGAAGTTTGAGTTGGGTTCACCGGGGTTCCAGTTGGTGTAGTCCACCAGTGTGTCATCAGTCCACGCAAAGGCAGCTTTGGGAAAAGAATAATTGTAATTATAATGATTTACTTATAATTAGTCTGTGTATAAAGACTACTTAAGGGAAACAAGAACATTGGTCTGTATAGGCAGGTAGGTGGCCTTTGTGTACAGGTTTAAATAATACACGGTTCAATGAAAAACTTTGTTCTCAGGAAACCAAATTGTGGTCTTTATAAACAGGTTATCTTTCAATACAAGTTCTTGTAGTTACCAGAGCTGATTTGAATAAACACAATTCAGCTGATAATTCCAATGCATCTTTCTCCATTTCATTTTTTTTCTTCTTCAGTTCTATTGATAAAAATAATGATGGTTTATCCAAAATGGTTTACCATGCACTAGATCACTGATGTGGAACAAAATTAAAACAACAAAATTTATTGCAGGAAATCACATTCAGTGAAAATCCATGTTCTGTTACCTACTCAATACATGGTCAGGGTGATAGTTAAATGGACAGATTAAAAACAAGTTGAAGAAACATACTTGATGGAGTGGCCTCGAATCCGATCCAGACATCAGTCAACTCCTGTACCAGCCTACTCCTGATCCACTCATTCTCTTGCTTGGAGTGTATACTGGCCATATGACCTCCTCCCTGCCTGCAGATGTACTCGGCTGAAGGCCATGATAACCTCTCTGTTGCAGCTGAGGAGAAGAGGTAACAGTTGGAGCCGTAGGAGACCCAGGAGTCTGGGCAAGTCCATGGTACATCAGGGTGGTTGGTCGGGATGGGTACTGTCAACAAGAAATGGAGTCAGGACAGAGTGAGAAAATTTCCTACCACCACCAGCTGATTGCATTTTGTGGTCTAACAAGATTATATGACTGACAAATGAAAATAATAGAAATTTACAGTGAGATCATTGAATGGCGTTTTAGAAATTTTGGTTTGGTTTGATTTGAGACACTCGATTATCGTTTCTACTCTTAAATAGCTAAAGCATTTTTCTAATTTTTTGGTTTAGTTCTAGGCAATAGTTCTAGTTCTAGGCAATCATCCACAAGACAAGAGAAAAATCAAACTAGCGCAGTTTGTTACCCGCTGAATAGTTTTAGAACTCTAGGATGACTTGGTTCGGATGTAGAGTACATCTATCCAAACATGCATATTGATATTGCATAGTTTTAAAGCTTTTGAATGATTTAGTGGCAATTTCACCTAAATTACATAATGGTAAGAATGGACTGATGCCATGTTTTTATGAGAGTATGAGACCATTCATTTCAATGAGTCTCTTGGATAACTTGGGGACCTTGAAAGACTTAATTATGACCAAAGTTAAACAAGAGTTTAGTAAATTGATGGTTATAGTCTCTTGGATAGGACTAGCCAGCACCCTTTGGAATAACATAGTATTGCTACTGCCTTCAGACCCGGCTTAAAGTATGTATAACATATTAGTTTTAAAGATGACTCACCTAAGCTGTATTTACAGAGAGCTCCTAGCTGATCAGTGCAGGAGTGGTCATCCCAGCCTCCTAGACCAATGGCTGTACATCCTTCACCACCACCCTGGCTTGGTTCACCCTGAGCCCAGTTGGTAAACCACACAGGGTGACTGTCCACCCACTTGTACTGTCCACTTGCCTGAATGAAAAAACACCCATATAGAAACACTCATTGTATGAAGTGATATCATTAACCTATTTCTTGCTGATATCACTTCTTCTCATAGGCGTAATACTGAAACCACCAGGTTCCCATGGGCAACAGGTTGATTCTGCCTGCACAGTCAGAAAGCAATGAAATGTTACCTCTGTGCATTCTAAAGACAAATTGTGAACTTTAGCTTGTTACTGTTGCTCTGCTTTGTTCATTTAGCAGAGAACATGCAATGGTAATTAAAGTTACACATTTTGCAATCAATTTAGGGTAAATTTTGAATCAATAGAACTAAAAAGGAATGAAACATTTCTGAAAGAATCCATACATCTTTGTAGGGCAGTTTTTCTTCTCTATGAATTTCCCAACTAGATATTCTAAACAAAGAAGTACAATATAGGTAATATTTTCATTTTAAACATTACCTCATAATAATCTGCCTTGAATCTTGCATGTACCAAGTTACCTTTGTCCAGAAATATATTTAAGCAAACTTTATGCATATGAACAGAAGGTCTTACAAAATTGAAAAAAAAGTAACGCTAGATCTACGATGGTAGGAGATGATTGGTAAATGGATCGGACACCTACCTTATCGTCTAGGAGACCCAGCCAAAGCATGACATCTCCGTTGTAATGCAGCATGGTTTCTGCAAAGGCATTCTCATATACGTCTATGATGCTGGCCAGGTTGGTGTCTGATCCCTCGTTGCGACAGGACTGGATTGCATCGGAGTAGGACATGACCCTGGGGACAACCTTGAAGCAGCTGTCTCCATACTGGGAGAACCCGTTGCGGCAAGAGCTTGGCGGCGAGGGCGGTACAGCTGCGTTGAGGTCTGTCAAGTGAGAGTGAAGGTATAACATTTCATATCAAATATACAGGATATTGCAAAAGTATCTTATCATGTTTTTTTATTCCGCAAGATATCTCAACCAGATGCAGTGAAACAGTGAAGTATAAGAAGTTCCTTGTTCTATATATCAACAAAAATGTGTTTGCCATATATCTACATGTAATTGCATAAAAATAAGATAGTGGAAAGTAGTGTGCATCAAAACATCAGACAAATCACAAGACTATAAATGGTTAATAAAAGAAGGGCAGAAAATGAACTGCTGTGCTTTGAACTTAAAAGAGGTTTATCAAACATGGACAAATTAGAATAGAAAACTCACCGAGTGATGTCTGGCAGATAAAAGCATTGTAATCATTACAGGACTGGTCATTCCATTTTCCAGCACGCTCAGGAGTCTCTACCATTTCAACACAGTCTTCCTAAAATTAAAAACAAAACAACCCAGTGGAATCTTTATAAATATCTGTCATTTTAAAATGAAAGATACTCTGCCCGATGGATTGCACCACTAAGCTTAGTGACTCAAATTCAAACAAAAAACGTCCTAGACCTGAGACAGTTGTTCTAATCATCAAACTTGTAAACCCCCATTTACCTACATAAATATGTAATGCTCAGTATAACATGAAATAAAAAGGAGAGAGAGAGGGAGGGAGGGAGGGAGAGAGAGAGAGAGGGAGGGAGGGAGGGAGAGAGAGAGAGAGAGAGAGAGAGAGTTAAAAAAAAAAAAAAAAATGTTGTTCACCATTTCTTGAAAGTTTAACTTACATCACCATTATGATCATTAGGCTCATCTATATTCCAGTTTGTAAAATCTACAGATGTGCCATCAGTCCACCTGAACTGGCCGTTGTTGAGAGAGTCACTCAATCCAATGTACATCTGGTAGTCAATGTCCTTCATTTGAGTGGTGAAGAATGCTGTTCAGGATAGAAATTGGAGCACTGAATTTTAATAAAGATACTAGCGATACAATATCCTTTTGCAACCAGGGCTTGTAAAAAGAAAAATATTATACGTATATAAATCAAGTAATGTACATAGATATAGCTATATGGTAAGGAAGGATATACAGTTTCTTCTTTTCCATTGATTTTTCTTCTGGTAAGATGCATATGGTTATCTTAATATAACAACCAAGCTGTCACAATGTTCACCTTAGTACACTCTCTGCTCCAGTTGTTTCCAGGGGATTGGCATATCTTACTTATCATGCCATCTGACATAAATGTTACCTTATAACCCAAATTATATTTCACACAGAATGTTAAATCAAAATAAATATTAATAATAGCAGGTAGTTGGACCAAAAGAACTTTCTATTTCAATTTTGTTGATCCTTATGTTTGGATCTCTCATAGGTTCTATACTCCCTCCCATGTCCCATTTCTCAAATCCAAGGAGAGCTAGAGGGGGTTAGTACTCACACTGCAGAGCCTGACTGTGAATTGTTGCCAGATCTCCATTGTATGAATTCCTGCAGATGTCCCTGGCATTGTACCATGTGTTTCGGTCGGCAGAGTTTGCACCAATCATACGGTAGCACATGTTGTCAAAGCGCATGGTTCCTGATGGGCAGTTACCATCTGGGACTGGGGTAGGTGCATGGGTCACAGGCATAATTGACGACACGGCCTTCTTGCAGACAAAGGTCAGCTTGTCTCCGCAGTTCAAATCATTCCATGATCCATCTGATATTTTCATAACAAGATTAAGAAACGTACATCAACAGTGGGACTTTCATCCACAGGTAACTATTTATTTACATGAAAATATGTGATGAATCTCTCCGAATATTGATTATTATCAAAATGATCCATCTTGTACTAGGTATTAGATAGATAGCAACATTGATTTAATTTGGATCTGGATCTTATATTTCTGCTTTTGTACCTCAATATAACCAAGTTGTTAATTATACAAAGGATCATTTCAATGAAATCTATTGGAAAGATATACCAATATCCATACAAGTTGTATGTTAAAAGTATGACGTTTGTACTACATTACCTTAATGCAATCTTCTTTCTCTTTTTTTTTGCACAACATCAAAGTAGTGAAGAGACTGACAAGATTTACTTAGCCTAAAAAAGAATTTAACACAATTTGTTTTGATTTGATTTAGTTTACCTTGGTAGAACTCTGCACATTCCTCTTCACCATTAGCATCATTAGGTTCAGTGACATTCCAGGCTTGGAAATCCAGAGGAGAGCTATCAGACCACCTAGGGAAGGGACAAGAATAAAACAAGAGATGGATGATCGTCAATTTAAAGTTATTAGGATCCAAATATCAAACCATCAATCCCTGTTTATTATACAAATTATGTGTGATTTTGAATGAAGCAAATCAATTGACCACTTGCTTTGATGATTTCTATGGATGGTTTATTTAACATGGGCCTACTTTTGCAATTAACCCTTTGTACAATGGAGAATCAGAAAGAAGACTATTTAATAAATAAATAATAAATAAACAATACACACATACACTCGAACACATTGCCCAATCCAAGTCCCACATCAACAACCACCTCCAGCCCCCGCTCCCAACACACAAACAGATGTGCAGGGAATATAGCAGATAAAATTTTAAAAACTAATTCATTACAAACTTTTGTTATAGTTAGAACAAATATATGATGATTTTAACTTGAATGAATTTCCATCACATATCAAAACTTTCTCATTTGTACATCTCTATCACTGCTACCTTTACTCAGTCATGCCTTTGTTGGCATAGCAAGTCGTTAATTAATGATACTTACTGATAAAATCCAGTGCCACTATAAGTCCTCAGACCAATCCAGTCATTACTGTCTGCATACCTGGTGAGCTGCAGTAAGAAAGGGCATCAATGAGAACAATTCATTTCTTATTTGGGACTTACGATTGTGATGCTTCTTGAATACATCACGGATGTGTAATTCATCAGTGGTGGAGGCAAAGGTTGCAGAACACATACGCATGAAACAATTGCTCTGTATGTATTCCCCACACTGACCGAATTCCTAAATTCAGCCCTGGACCCAACACTGGCCTAAATCTCACCTAAACCCTATGGTAACCCTAATTCTAACCCTACCCTTATGATGAAATATAGCTAGACCAAATGTCGGACCACCAAAGGCACAACTACCAAAATGAGATATTCCTATGTTATGAAATATAGATTTTACTGTGATGTTTCATGTCAACATAAATAGCCTTTCAACGCCACATGTTTTCCTACTTTTACACTCTTAATTTAAGAATGCAATCAAATAATCAAAATCATTCAATTAATTGTACTCTTCATTGTAATCCATTATGATTCTCTCTAATAAATACCATAGATTGAAGGAAGTTGTTTTCATTGGTAGAATGCAGGGAGACCAAGTAACCACCACGTTCCATACAATACGAGTTGGCATCGCCCCAGCCCATCCTGGCATCAGAGCCAGTCAGACCACCGCTGAAGAAGTAGCAATAGCTCTGGAACAGGACCCAGTCTGGGTCTATGGGACACTGGGGCCCTACAGAAGCAAGGAGAGAACATAAGTTGGTACTGGGTATAAGTATTCATAAACTCTTATTTCAAATTCAGCACCAACATAATAGAGTACCAAAAGCTTATACATGCATAAACTTTTTTTTCTCATCAGAGGTTGCGGACACTTTAAGACTGTTTTGTCTACAAAATTCCCAAAACAAAATAGACATTAACATCACAGTGATCTTATTGATATTGAGGCTTCCTTCTACACAGTATAGTTACATCTGTTTTTTAAAATACCAATAATGAATAGGATTTGAGAGCTTGAATTTGGCATCTCCATAGTTTGATCATGTCTTTGTATGATTTGACACAGGATCTTTAAAAATTAGTTTGTGGTGGATAAAATTAATTGCAGAAAAGCTCCATAGCATAGTTGGTGTACATAAACATACATGTATACATAAATAAACTCAATGAACAGTACTTATTGGAGCATTCTACACCATTGGGAACATTAATGGGTTACTTACATGGTGTTACTGTTGATGGTCCCAGGGTGGATTTAGGCCTAACACCTATGAAGGAAATAAAAAAATTCTATTACATACTTTTTCTATGAGATGTATGCAAAACCATAAAAGGAAAGGCATACTTCATTTACTTGGATGAACTTGAATTTAAAAAACAAAACAAAAAACAAACACTTTAAGTAGTATCAGGATTTGATTGCAACCTATCAAATACTAGGCCAGAGATTACTCAAACTGGAGTCAATATAAAATGCATGTAATATACTGTAGCGCCCACCCCGAGGAGGGGGGCATACCTATTAAAGGAAGACAAAATAAGAAAGGTGTTGACTAGGATGCATGGCAAAACAAAGTCATTTATTACTTAATCTTCTACAATAACAGTCTTTTCTTACAATAACATATATATACGATCAAATGGCATAACAATACTCTTCAAGTATTAAACACAAATAAATCTACTTGTTCGCATACATTGATTCATTAGCTCTCGGTCTTCTCTTTCTATATCACTAAGAACATCATCTGGGAAAGTTTCATTACTATACTATCTCTACAAGAAACTATCCTTACTTCCATGCTTTATTTAAAAGCGCAACTCTTCATCGATCTCATAATCATAACTTGGCTACTAATAAATAACTTAACCCTTTATCAAATGTCTATAACATTGAGGTATCAGTTAATCTACTTTAGCTTCTAATCATGTAACTCTTCACTTAGCGTCTTCATTAAGGAATCATATCTATATAAGTAATACGCTAAGGCTCCGCGGGGGGCGCGACGTCTCGGCGAGCCTTTGTATTCTATTGTTTTTTAATGAGATCGCCGACCCAAGTTGGTGCGGCTATCTCCTCCTGAACCCTGCCCTCGGGGTACCCGTGCCCGGTGCCATCGTCCGCGGGAGAGTCTACTCTGTGGAATTGGCTATACTCCGCCCGAGGTCCTCCTCCGTGTCGACGTCCAGGGCGAAAACAGACGCGACATGCATAATGCAGGATATGCGTGACGACAGAGATACCTCATGGATATTCAACATAACATCCGTAGACACACGACCGATGACTATCCACTCACATTAAGTTGCGTATTAAATGCACTATGCACAGGGTCGGGATTACCCGAGTAAAGCATCTTTCTACAGGATATCCTTTGTAGTAGCTGCACAAGCCACAGAGATACACACGAAAAGCTTCCCGTCCACGTCCAAACTTAGGGACCTATTTCCATCATTATTGCCGCGAATTTTATATAGTTTTCGTGAATGGAGGTATGAAATCAAAGCTTATTCTGTGATTACTACGGCCATATATACTAAATTTTGATTATCATTTTCTAAAGGAAAGTTTTCACAAGAAAACCATTGGACTGACAGTGCAGTCGCAAGCTGCCTTCAGTGCATTGCTGCTGTGCAGTGTGTGTGTGAGCTGCCGTTATTCTCCAGGAAGCTCCAACACTGGCTCCGTGCAGCGCAGGCGTCCGACGCCTGCGGCGCCGGTGTTCGAGCTTTCTGGAGTTACGCTGTGTGTGTGTGTGTGAGTTCAGCTGAGCTGAGCTCGAGTCGAAGAGATTTTGACACTTTGAAATTGTTATCTGTTGGTTTGCATCATTATTGCCGCGATTTCAATATAGTTTCGTGAATAGATTTACGAAACCTGAGCTTAGAATTAGTAAAAGTATTACTAATGTCTACGTTTTTAAACGACTGTCTGATTTTCTTGTGAAAATTTTACTTTGAAAAATGATTATCGAAATTCATGGTCAGAAATAATCACGATCTAGGGTCTATTATGTTACAGTTCTTGCATCAAATCAATGCATGAAAACTTAGTTATTGAACTAGAAAAATGTTTTTTTTAAATAGGCAATTATGAAGTAGGAAGCCTGAAACCTGTCCTTAGCCTACTAAACAAATCTCAACAAAGTGTAGGCCTATCCTTTTATGAATTAATGAAAAAGTAGCCCCAGAAAAAAGAGCCCCCGAAAGTTGAAAAAGTAGCCCCCGAAAATTTCCCCAAAATTTGAAATGGAGCCCCCGAAATGAAAAACTTAATTTTTTGCCTGCGCCCCCCTCTAGAATCCCTTGGATTTCCACGGTTCCTGAGTTGAGTGTATATACAATATAGGCGTGGGGTCCACGGGTTTCAAGGGGCAATAAACCCCCAAAAGCTCGGGGGTTATGTTCTTCAAAGTTGGGGGGGGGGGGAGAGAGATCAGATCGCAGCGAGTTGAGTGTAATATAGGCGTGGGGTCCACAGGTTTCAAGGGGCCATAAACCCCCGAAAGCTCGGGGGGTTTAGGCGTTTAATTAGGGTCAGATGAGCATATTTTTAATACTTTATTTGTGACACTTGCGAGTCACTAATTGGCGTGGGGTCAATACTTAGAGTTGCGTAGTGTTGCGTACCAACTACGCTGGCCTACGTTACTATATGCTGAGGGACGGAAAGGGGTACGCAAGATGAACGAAAACGATTCAACATGTTTAATTTTTTTCGCGTACTTTCGGCGTAGAAACTTGACGCAGAAAGTACGCCTTTTTACGCAACACTACGCTACCCTACGCCAGATCGACAAAGCAGTAAAAGCTTTCCACACAGTAAGCAACCATAAGCAAACCTGTACGCCAGCCTACGCATTACCTAAGCAGCGACTATTTTGCCATTAATACGCAGCCTAATTTCTGCGTAGTCGGTATGCCACACTATGGAACTCTACGTAGTTCCAGTGGCTTAAAGAATAACTACCGGTACAGTTGCATCGTTTTTTCAATTTTTTATATAAGGCCAAATTAAAAAAAAAAACATGTTTAGCGTCCTGTTTTTTCAAAAAATGGGAAGGAGGAGGCCCTTTTTTTTTTTTTTTTCCTTTCAAAATGGCCGCTCCGTACATTTTCCCTGACATCAAGCTATTTTTCGAGATGGCGGCCGACAATTTTTTTTTTTCTTTTTTAAAATCAGAAATACATTTTAGCAGTGCTTTTCATGTTTTTTTTCTTTCAAAAAATAAAAAAAATTCAAAAAAAAAAAAAAAAAAAAACCCAAAAAGGAAGCGGACTGTTTTATTTTCTTTCAAAAAAAAAACCAAAAAAAATTCAAAAAAATTCAAAAAAAATTCAAAAAATAAATAAATAGGAGGCGGCCCAAAAAAGAGAAGCGGGCGGGGACGCTCAACATGTATAATTTTTTGATGGCCTGAATGGCAAATAAAGTTTTTTGGTGGTTTAATTTAGACAGTCTCTATATATCCATTTACACCCCCCGCCCCCCTCTAGAATCCCGCGGATTTCCGCGGGTCCTGCTAGTATAGATATAATACAAGAATGTTGGCATAATCATCCCTCTACTATTGCCTAATACTTCCTTCTCTTTACGCTCCAAGACTGCGGATCCATTGTACACATAGACCCTTAGAATGTAATTCTACTCTCAGCCTTACTAATCCCTAAATTCACAAGTTACTTCTTGTCGCAGGTATTCACATTAATACTGAATAAACTCATAACTCTTCCTTAACTAGCTCATGTATTTTCCAATAGGCATCTGCATCGCTTTGATCTAATACTGCCTTTTTCAGCGAGACTACTGAACTTGAAAAGATACATCTTCAACAACTTATAACTCCTTACAATACAGTTGCATCGTTTTTTCAATTTTTTATATAAGGCCAAATTAAAAAAAAAACATGTTTAGCGTCCTGTTTTTTCAAAAAATGGGAAGGAGGAGGCCCTTTTTTTTTTTTTTTTTCCTTTCAAAATGGCCGCTCCGTACATTTTCCCTGACATCAAGCTATTTTTCGAGATGGCGGCCGACAATTTTTTTTTTTCTTTTTTAAAATCAGAAATACATTTTAGCAGTGCTTTTCATGTTTTTTTTCTTTCAAAAAATAAAAAAAATTCAAAAAAAAAAAAAAAAAAAACCCAAAAAGGAAGCGGACTGTTTTATTTTCAAATAAAGTTTTTTGGTGGTTTAATTTAGACAGTCTCTATATATCCATTTACACCCCCCGCCCCCCTCTAGAATCCCGCGGATTTCCGCGGGTCCTGCTAGTATAGATATAATACAAGAATGTTGGCATAATCATCCCTCTACTATTGCCTAATACTTCCTTCTCTTTACGCTCCAAGACTGCGGATCCATTGTACACATAGACCCTTAGAATGTAATTCTACTCTCAGCCTTACTAATCCCTAAATTCACAAGTTACTTCTTGTCGCAGGTATTCACATTAATACTGAATAAACTCATAACTCTTCCTTAACTAGCTCATGTATTTTCCAATAGGCATCTGCATCGCTTTGATCTAATACTGCCTTTTTCAGCGAGACTACTGAACTTGAAAAGATACATCTTCAACAACTTATAACTCCTTACAATATTCACAGCACTGGCAAATAGTCTTAGTCTGCAGTCTGTACTAATAGCTCTAACAAACTTACAACCAATATTACAAATTCCTCTTACTGTATAATCTCATCTTCACATACAGTTCATATTCTAATTCTAAACAACAACCAATAGTTTTACTAAATACATGCATATTCATTTCATGGTTATAAACAAAGCAAAGTGAGAGTGAAATTAGAGAAAGGGTGAACCATACAGAGAGAGAGAGAGAGAGAGAGAGAGAGAAAGAGAGAAAGAGAGGGAGAGAATATAAAGAGAGAGGGGGAGAGAGAGAGAGAGGGAGATATATATATATATATATATAGAGAGAGAGAGAGAGAGAGAGAGAGAGAGAGAGAGAGTAATTCCCAATAACATTTAACCTGAATTATCATTCCTAACAATATAATACAATGAATTCCAGACAGTGATTATGCAAGTCTTCAACTACAATATTTCATCAACCCATCCATCACTAGCTAACTACTAGACAATTTGACCATGTGTTTCTCAACAAGTGTATTTCCCAACTCAAATCCTTTGTCTTCTCATTTTGCTGACTCTACCAAACTTTCATTCTTGCCTAAGATACCATTTCCAGCATGGGTCAAAAACAAACACATTCTATCTCTAACACTTCTCAACATAGCATTTGGGTATAGCATACTCTATCTACACTGTGTGCGTGTAATGCATTGCAGTGGATGGTCAAGCTTGGGGGGAGAGGGGATTAAGAACTCTGATAAGAAGTTGTGTTCACATTGCACGCACTGCCATAACCTAATAACACACTAATATTATACACATGGTGCGTCCACATTCACTCATACCATAATACTGAAAGTTAAAGATAATCTGGACTTGAACAACTCATTTCGCTATTCAAACTGTATCTAACTCGAACTAGAATATATAACAATGTGCTTTGGCATAATGCATAGTAAATGGCACATGTCCTTGGCTAAGAATATATATATACACATGAATATCGAGCAAAAGACAAATATACTGACAGTAATAAAGTATATTCTCTTCTCAAAACTTACTTAAAATGTTGTCTAAATCAAACAACATAATCATCAATCTCACACACACGATAATACTTTCCTATCATTTCTACAAGTGATTACTATGTTCATGAATGACATTATATCTCTCCCCACATGGCATCTCTTCCCACATGGCATTTCTTATATTTCCTCTCATAGTCCACATGTCATATAATCCAACAAGTCATTGGCAAAGATCATTAATATCTCTTTTTACGCAGTAATACAAGATATGTGAATAGTGAAGCTAATAGTTTAGAAATACACATATTATGAACAACAAGAATATAACACAATTGAATAATATAAGATTCTTTCTTACCTATTAAAGGAAGACAAAATAAGAAAGGTGTTGACTAGGATGCATGGCAAAACAAAGTGAGAAGCCACTCCTGGTATCCCAGCTGGTGTGTTTAGGTTGGTTGTGGGTGAGGCCACTCTCGCAGGAGGGGGTACCTAATTAACTAAGAGGGGGGACTATATGGGGGCTAGAAATATACTTGTGTCATACATACATAGTCAAAGATATACAAAAAAATAGGGGGGGGGGGTATACTGTGGGGCTCCACAGAATGAATAAATAAATAATATCCACCCACCTCCACCAAGCTTAGGCTGCTCACAGACATATCCCTGGTTATTGAGACAATCCACATCATTCCACTTGCCGGTGCTAAGGTACATTTCTACACAGTCCTCGTAACCTGGTTGGGTAGCGTAGGTCGGCTCTCCAGTGTTCCAGTTGGTGTAATCCACGGGGGTCTCATCTTCCCATACAAATCCGCCTGGGTGAGTGAGGGAGGGGATGGTGGCGGGGCAAAACGAAAGAGATAATTAAATATTAGCTACATCTTTCAATAGAACAGAAAGCTTGCAGGCATCAAAATTCATGTCCCACTTGAAAATTGCTTGACATGTGCTGTGTTAGAACTAAACGCATTGAGTGAATGGTTTGGACACATTTACATGTATGCAAGATGATGAGTTTCCTTTATGGGCCCGCTCCTCCGAGGTTGGAGGAGGGTGCATGCATTATTACATGACATGTGTTGGATTTAGAGGTAGAGTCCATTCTAAGTGACAAATACATGCAACACCCTTGATCATCATTGTTTCACATGCGTTTTCCCCATACTATATGGGGTCGGAAAATTCATTTCCAGGCTATGCTGGCTCTAGCTTCTCCAACCCTTCCAGTCTACACCATCCGCCAGGCTGAGGCCACACCCAGCAAACACAAAACGTTTTTAAAACGTTTACAGAACGTTCCTATCAGGTTCCGTACGTCTTCGTCCATATTAAACGTTTAAAAAACGTTTATATAACGTCTAAGTTGGGACCTTACATTCGCTGCGGAGCTAGGTCTTTTGAAGACGTTCAGAAAACGTTTTTTGGACGTTACAAATTAAACGTTCTTGGATAGGTCCTGTAAAACGTTTACAGAACGTTTTATTCAGACGTATTTTATTGAATTTATTTTTTATGTCCAAATAAATATTTCTTAAAAAATACCAGCTGGCGAAATTAGGCCACATGCATACGCATGGGGGGGGGGGGGGGTCGAGGTATGTCAAACTGATGCACTCCTGTGGCGTAGCGATGGAGGGAGGCACGTGCCCCCAATAATTTTGAGGGAAAAAAATAGAAAACATAAGGTGACATTATTTGAAGAAAAAAGAAATACATAAGGAGTGACCCCTCCCCCTCACATAATGTCTGTGCCCCTTCCCCCCCCCCCCCCCAGCCCAATCAGTCCGACCGCGCTACGTCATTTATATGCTCCATTCAACCACGTGTATACAAAGTGCGTACGCACCGTATATAATCGTACCACTAGCACTGTATAGGTCAGTGAATCGTATCCGGCGCGGCCGGTGCGGCGCGCTCGCTCCAGAGCTTGCCGCGTGTTTTAAACTGACTGACGAGTTGACTGCTTGATGACGTGACTTCGAGATTTCAAATAATCTGTTAGACTGCGACACCGAGGTAAGCGTTATTTTAACATTTTGATATCTGTAAGGAATTTAAGCTTTGTTTGATTGATTTTGAAGCATGTAAAATGAAATAAAATATTGATTATTTGCATTAAAACTAAAAGTACGGCAGACTCTATGTCGCATGTGCAGGCCGTTGAAACTGGTATGGTAATTGGGTAGGCTAGGGTATGTGCATTGTGCACACATAACTCCAGGAAGCTCCGATGCCGGCGTCGGAGCTTCTTGGAGTTAGTGCATACATAGCTGCATTACTATCCTGGCTGTGTGTATTAAAAGCTGTGCTATTGATACTCAACATTTCAAACACCACTGTACAAAACTCTTTCACTAAAAATCGGTACTTTATAGTGACAATTGATGACACCTAAATAGCAGTAATAAAATACACTTTGTTCAACTTACCCATGTTATTTTGTTAGAAAGAACAATTTAGAAATTCAAATTGTTTGTCTACTTTCAAAATTTGCTTACAGCCGCATCGGCATGATAAGTGCATTTGTGTATTATGTGTGTATTGACTATTCCTTTTGAGCAAATGCTGCCTATTATTATTAACACGTAGTGCAGTGCTAGAGGTCAATACGCATAATAGCATGGACTGTTTGCTGGAGTGGGTATGTGCGCATGGCTCGTTACATTACATGGTAATCGGATGATTAAAACAGTTGAGTTGTTAACTTTACTGTCTGGAAAAATCATGGAAAGTTCCCATCGGGATTTAAAATGCTATTTCGTGAAGAAAATAAGTCCCTCGACTACCAGCTCATTTTTAGACTTATTTACTCTTCCCTCAATAGCATTTAAAATCCCACGGGAGTGGAACATTCCATGCTTTTCCCTCCACCACCATTTAGCAACTTTATATTATCCCACCCCCTATTACAACAGGTTTGTTTTTTAGGCAATTGAAATAGCTCCCAAACCACCTTTTTTGTATGGATATTGTTTTTTTTAGAAATATCGAGACCTAGATCTATATCTTGTTCTCAATTTCGTCTCTTTAAAAAAAATCTTTTTAGTTCAGATGACACATTATTTAAAGAAATTGATTTCCAATAACGTAGATTAACTTGAGGATTGATTTGTTTTATTTTTGCATACAGGCAACTATGTGAAAGCGCAAAAACATCGCCAGGAAGGCAGAGGACACGTCAAACCTGGTATCGGAAGATGATGCTGTGTAGAAGCGAAAGAGACGTCTTCCCCAGAGATTTAGCAAATCTTCTAGTGATTCCGGAAGTGACGCTAGTAAGTATTTGTCTCTTGATGGTTAGTAGTTAGAGACTTATAATTTACATCTTATTTCTCGTTTTCTTCAAAATCCAACAGATGATGAAAACCTAAGATAATTTATTTGGGATAGCTAGACCTGCTTTGTGTCCCAGCCATGCAAAATGATGATTAATAGATGTGGCACCATTCCGGCAAAACTGGAAATTAATTTGTAATCTAGACATAAATTTCGGACAAGAAGTTTGCATTACCCAAAAGTTTGTTCAGTTTATGAGAATCCTTGTCATGTCTTGATATCCCTTTTAACATCTGCAATGTGTCTCTGTTTTTCAGATCTTGAATCGGTTAGGACCCAAGAAAACAACATGTACGCGGAGGAACGACTAAGGCTGTGGCAGCAGAGATACCAATGCCGAAACCGAATGCGAAGTCCAAGTCCACATCGCATTTTTCAGTTCCAACCCACAACTCCAGCAAGGGCTCGGGCTTCGGAAAGTAAGTTTTTTTCAGATAGCATTTCAAAAACGAAAGTTTCTGAGGGTTTTTTTTATCATCAGAACATATACTGTAGAGCGTATAAACTAACAAAACAACATTTGCCATTTTTACTAAGTTGCTACACTAAAATACTGTTGGATTGGATAAGAGAGGCAGATTATCTCGGCGTACATGTAATTTATTTCATCAACAAGGCATGGGTATAGTTTTCTTACAGAAGAGTCGCTTTTAAATCCTTACAGTATGTATACTTTGTTGGAAGCGCTGCACAGGTGTCGTCTTTGAAGCTGGGTGATATATTCCTGAAGTGACTAAATTGGACAGCTATCAAACATATCTCGCCAAAATATCCTATTAATTTGCTGTCAAACTTTTTAATGACTTGAACTGTTATTATAATGTATTTTATGTGTCTGTTTTTTTCTTCTCAGGCAATTTTCAAGTGCAGGTACTGTGTACGCTACAGAGGCTGGAGGAAGGGCAGCAGCAGCTGACGCACTTGGTACAAAAACTGCTTTTGTCAAAATCGGGAGCGGCCGTTGATGTGGAAGATCTGAGGGAGCCGTTTATCGAACCAGTGAACACCAAATTTTCATTCAAGGTAGATTAAGATACCTTCATTCAGGGGCAATGCAAAAATCCTAAAACTCATATTAAAACCAAATTTGACCATTTCAGCTAATAATGGAGAAACTTTATCAGCGACATAACAGTTTTGTTGGTGCATCTTTTTGGATTGAATTGCCAACATCTTGTTGAGAATGCAAGACAAAGTTGTATAGGTCTGTAAATTTACTACTTTTTGTAAGGATGCTGAAACCAATGTGTGTGCTGCCAAACTCTCTTAAAACCTTGTCTTCTATATTCATAGACCCTTAAATTTGAGTATTCATATTTGCCTGTTAATAATTCATATCGACTCATTTCTATCAGTTTATTATAAATAGCTTTTTGTAGATTGTTCATGTGTTTTGTGTTGGTTTTATATTTGAAGTAAGATGCAAGGTCCAATGCAAGGCTTCTGGGAAATCTTGACCTGCCCACTAAATCTTTGGTCGATCAAAAGGACAATTTTTTACTCGGATTTAAAGGGGAAATCTACCCTAGAAATTTCACTGCTTCAATCAAAGGAGACAAATTGGAACAAAGTTAAAAATAAGAAATGGGCAAACTCGGTAAGGAAAACAAAGTAAGGAAACTACTCTTTTTTTACATTTTCTAGTAAATTACTCTCGGCTATTCAAATTGACAATGCTGATGACATCTTGAGTAGCTCTAAATTCACTTTGTACACAAAATTTCACATTTTCTAACCCCCATAGTCAAAGCATGTTGTGTAGAAAGCTATTCGTCATTAGTAATCTGAACATACTCTGATTAAAAGCTGTGGAAATGTGTAACTTTAAGGAAAATTTAGAAAATATGAAATTTTGAGTACAAAGTTGATGGATAGCTACTCACAGTTAGTGTCATCAGTGTTGCCAATTTGTAGAGCTGAAACGAGTGTAGTTTCCTTGTTTTTTTTTTGCCGTACTTTCACTTGAAATGTGACTTCTTAAAATAGTCACATTTTTATCACTTGTAGAAGTTGATGAGAAAGTAAATACATGTACTCTTTTGAATAGTTATAATTTGCACCGGATGATGAAGCTAATCCTGGGTGGAGGCACATACATGTAGCTAAATCGGTTATTCACATGTATTTAATGATAATTTGTGACATTTTGTTAAAAGGTTCTGGTGAATTTATTCACATGAATATAGTACACAAAAAATTCAATCCACTATTTGGTTTTACCAAAGATCAAGACTTATTATAGAAAGATTTCTTAATCATTTGCTGGGGCATCTTTTTGGCATGAATTGCCAGGTTCTGTAAATAACTCAAATTGCTTTTATAAAGTGTGTTACCAAAGTTGCTATATGTGTGCTGCCAAATTATTGACACTATTCATTTTATCTTGCCTTGTATATTCATAGAGACATAGACCCGTGAATTATATGAGTATTCATATTTGCCAGTTAATGAGGCATATCTTCAACTCATCTATCATTTTCTTATGTTTTATTTGTAGATTGTTCATGTGTTATGTATCTATAGTTTTAAAGGGATAGTTTAGTATTGGTCAAACTTAACTTTAAAACCAAAACCTGCACAATCACGGTGCAAAGTAATAATTACAAACGGCCAAGTAAAGCCCCTGTTATTATTCAAAATGACACGTTACTTTCAGTTTCTGCATTTAATGTTTGTTAAAATAATAATTAAATATCTATATCAATTGCTTTTTAAAGAACTATTCAGATTTGTTTTCTTCAAAGTAGTCTTCAAGCATTTTTAATATTTTGAATAAAAATATATTTATGGATATTTCAGCCGTTGTGAACCGATATTGATCAAATAACAATTTTTCTGAATATTAGAATTGTATGTTCTTTCGGGGGCACTTCGGGAAATACCAATACTCTTTTTCAAATATACATGATGTACTGTATTGCCAAGCCTTTGTACATATTTTGTAAATATGTTTGATAATAAATTCATAAAATCAATCAAATACATGTGTGACCTAGCGTTTATTAAAAATTCACTGTAGATTGGACGTTTTTAAAAGGTTTTCTGAACGTTCTTAAAACGTTTCCAGGACGTTCTAGACGTTCTTAAAAGGCTTACCGAACGTTTTAAAAACGTTTCCAGGACGTTCTAGACGTTCTTAAAAGGTTTTCTGAACGTTCTCAAAACGTTTCCAGTACATTCTACACGTTCTTAAAAGGTTCTCTTGGACGTTCGAGACGTTCTTTAAACGTCCTGGAAACGTTCTAGACGTTCATAAAAGGTTTTCCGGACGTTTTTAAGGTTCTTAAAACGTTCTTAAAACGTCCCAAACGTCCGACAGGTTTTCTGCAGGTCCTTGCACTTAAAAGCAAATCTATAAAAGGTTTTTTATTGGTTCTAAAAACGTTTAGAAAACGTTCAAAAAACGTCCATTTGGAACGTTCCAAAAGACGTCCAAAACCTACCACAAATAGACGTCTTTAGAACGTTTTCACAAAACGTTTAGGAAACCAATTTGGAACCTTTTAAGAACGTTCAGAAAACGTCCAATTGTTAGTTGGGCATACTCTCATATCTTTTTCTGGTGTCTCCTTCCAGGCTGTTGTGAGTTTTGCTACTTGATATTAAGGCAGCTGCCAACAGCAAGTCCATATTGCTTTCCGTAGTCAATGGCTTTGCTCTCTCCTAACCACATGTCTTTATACCATCTCCACCCATACAAATATTGGTAAATAGCTGGCTGATGATGCCAAATTCCCCACGAGAACCCAAGGTTAAATGGATTTTTTGGTTATACAAGTATGTTTGATATCATTTTTTTCCCCTTCAATGTATACATGTATATACCTGCAGTTTCCCTTCTGAGGCCAGACCAGATGTCTACACTTCCATCTACCATCAAGGTCCTGATAATCTCCAGCTCTTGCCTGGTGTGGATGCTAGCCAGAGTACCGTTGAGCTGGCTACACTGGAACTGGGCTTCCGGCCAGGACTTGCGATCAGTCTGCTGGGCATACACCTTGTAACAACCGTCATGGTAAGGCGTCCATTCTTCGGGGCAGTAGCCAGGCATTTCTGGGTGTACTGTTGGTGTAGTTACTGTGGTTGTGTGAGAGAAAGCGAGAGAGAGAGAGAAAGAGAGAGAGAGAGAGAGAGAGAGAGACAGGGAGGACAATTTTTTGATGAATTATGTATTTACATTTGAATGGCTGATTATTAAATAAAAATCCCTATAGAGAAACAATTGGGACAAAAAGTATTCTTGAGCTATCTTCATATAAACATTTAAATTCTGTTTCATTGGTGCAATGCAAGCTTCATTGTTACAGGAAAGCCACATTGACCCTAAATTGTAGTGATGCTAGACCAGTCAAGCGATTGGCTGCAATCTGAAGCTGATGTGGCCTTTACTCCAACTAGAAGGCTTACAATGCACCAAAATTAGATTTTTATTATCACTATTCAGAATCTCAATGATGAAAATTACATTTGTTTGAACTTCTTTATCTACTGCAAGTACAATATCACAGGAGGCGCAGCTCAGTGGTAGAGCAGTGGTCTCATAACCAGGAGGTTCCAGGTTCAAAACTAAGCTAATGCACTAGTGCCCTTTGGTAAGACATTAATCCTCATTTACTAATTCCCTAAGAGAGGACATAAAGCCATTAGTCCTCTTACTAAAACGTGCAAATGGAAGAATACACCTCATTAGGATCCTGAAAGGTCACGGACTGCCGATCGAAGACCTCTGTACCATCTACACTGGTTTCCTCAGACCCCTCGTAGAGTATGCCTCGCCGGTGTGGAATGGAGGCCTAACTAAAGAACAAGTAGATCGACTAGAAAGGGTGCAGAAAAGAACTCTGAAAATAATCTTGGGACCTAATTACCAGTCATATGAGACAGCACTGAATCTAATAAATCTGTCTTCTTTGGCTGACAGAAGGAAGGAACTGTGTTTGAGTTTTGCAGAGAAACTGATATCAAACGAGAAGGTATCTTACCTCATACCTCCTTGTAAGAACATTAGAAGCCTACGCAAATCAAATACCAGAGAACAGTTAAAATGTAAAACCAAACGATTACGTAACAGTCCAGTTCCCTACCTTATTGACTTGCTAAATTCACAGTAGTGATCATGCACTTTGTCCACATTATTTTGTATAACATGTAAACTTATCCCCATAGTGACGAGGTAGAGGTGCTGTATAATTATTTTATTTTATGTGAAATAGTATATAATTTTGTAACTAAGACGATTGTACAACCTTAATAATTGATTAATGAAAATGATAATATAATACGGTAAATCAAGATTACCATTGTTAACTTATGTAATGATTGAAACATACTTGCCACATATTTATTACAAGAAAAATCTTAAAATTACCATATTTCATATCTTTCATCTGATTGCATACCTACCGATTAATTTACAATATATGTTATCCATAACTCACCAATGAAAATGTAAAATGTAATTCATTAATTTTTACAACCAGTATTCTCTCTGTCGAAATTGTACTTTTTACCTTATTTTCGATATGTCTGATATACACTCTCAGCATTATCTTATATATATATATATATATATATATATATCTCGCTTTGTCTCTCGTTCTCTCTCCCTCTCTCCCTTTCTCTCTTTCTCTCCCTCTCTGTCTGTCTCTATCTCACACTTTTCCTCGGTCTCCCGTGCTGTCTGCACTATTATCCTCCCTACCTCTCTTCTATATTTCCCTCCAGCCCTATGATGATTGTGGAATAGAATGTTAAGTTAATTTTATGAGTTGTATTAATTTGTATAATATATATATGTGTGTACACTGATTTTTTAATTCATTCACTGCGTGATATGTCTTAATACGTTTTATGTTTGTATAAATATTTATGTTTTTACAATGTACAAAGTTCTGCAATTCAACCATCTGGCTGCAAATGAATTTTTAATAAAACCATTACCATTACCAATTACTTTCTCAGTAGTCAGGTAAAACAAACAAACATATACAACATCTTTGAAATCAGACCATGTTTGGATTCTAAGCCTTAATGATAGAGAGTATGTACTGTACTGCATTTATTGCTTGGTTCTGAATAGGAAGAGTTATGCTTACTAGTACTGTATTTGCATAGAGGTTTGAAAAGTCCCTGACAGTTGGTATCATCCCATCCTCCTGTAGGTAACAGGCTAATACAACCCTCTCCTGGAGCTCCGCTGGGTTCGCTAGGACCCCAAGCAGTGAACCAAACAGGCCAGGCATCCATCCACTTGAATGCACCTTCCACCTACAAAGACATAGAAAATGTCATCTCATTTTACTTTTCATGATCTAGTCTAGTGCTAGGAAGCATTTTAACCTTTACAAAATGGCTGTGTATACCCTGGTTTGTGGCTCACATGGTTGCATTTCTTATCATATGCATCATATACATCATATATTTCTTATCATTTCTCATCATACATCTTGAATGATGACTGACAACTCACTTACAGAGTCAGAGAAAACACATATTTTTTGTAATGTACTATTTGGAAAGGCAAAAACATTTCCTTCCTTTGCCGCCCTTCTTTGTCCTGGTTGCGCTCACATTAAATATCATGAGCAATGGGGGAGAGGAGGGGGGGGGGGGGGGGGGGGAGTTGTCTTTCATAATAATGTTTACCTACTGTTTGAACATGGTGAAACTCTTTCCCTTCTATTCTCTGTTAACTTTAATAATGAAGGAGAATATCACAAAACTCATTATTTTGTATGGATATGCTAATAAATTTTTGGAGCCCAAGTCTAGATTTCTTAGAAATCCAGTTTGTGGCAGAGGGCATGTGGCAACTGACTGAAACAACTGAAATTTTGCCTTTTCTGATGCCTTGGATATATAGCAAATGAAGGAGCTCATAAAGATCTGAGTGAAAAAGATGTTCTCTGATGCTTAACGTAAAAATCAAATGAATGAGTGTTTTTCTGACACAAACACAATGTGCACATGCATCTCATACTCACTTGATAGAGACCAATCCAGAGAGGGTCACCACTGGAGGTATGTGACATGGTCTCAGCGAAGGCTTCCTCATACCAGCTCATCACACTACTTAGAGAGACATCATCACCAAGGGACCTACATTCATCCTGGGCCTCAGAAAAGATATAGGGGCGATCAACCACCTGGTAACAGCCGGTATCAAACTGGGTGAAGCCATCCCGACACTCGTTGGGTTCATCGGGTGGAGGTGAGCCATTGGGATCTATTCAGAAACACAACAGCAGTTTCATGGATTGTTGAAGAGGCATTTTGACCTATTTGTTGTCAGGTAAAATTAATTTTTGCAGAGGGACAGCATTTTGAAACCTGTTACAGCTCCCTGTTTATTTTTTTGTCTGTTTGTTAGTTCAGTGGTATGAGAGATCAAATTTGTGCAGAATTAACATCTTCACGGGGGCAGACAGCATATTTGGTGAGACACATTTATGAACTTTAAAAAATGCAGAAAACAATCAGCAAACATGAGTGCAAATTACAATATAGCTTTGATTAACAGATCTCTAATAGAGTTTTCAAGATACAGTGAAACCTATACATGAAGACTGATCAAGGAAGCTTTATAGGTAGGGGATCTTTATCTAAAGGTTTCTTTAGTACAGGTTTCAATGAGAAATTATTTTTCAAGGGAAACAAAAATGTGGTCTTCCAAAAGAAGTGGTCACTTAAGGAGGGATTGACTGTACTATCCCAAACTACATAAGATTAATTGAACGTAGAAAGGTTGAACACTCCTTACCTAAGACACCCTGACAGATGAAGCCCAAGACCGCATCACAAGATATGTCGTTCCATTTGCCAGCATGAGTATCAATAGCTGTGATCTGGGTACAATCCTCCTAATAAAATGAATACCACATCAAAATAACATTCAAGAGATAATCAAGGAGGTGCAATGACTCGGTGGTAGCTAGAGCAGTGGTCTCGTAAGTAACCAAGAGGTCAGTCAATGCGATCATATGCCCTTTGGTAAGGCATTAATCCCCATTAAGTCCTCAAGCATCAAACATTATATACAGTATACCCCATAATTTGAGGCTTGTAGAATGTGGTAAACAGCAACATTTTTATAAATATAATGACATAAGCCTAATATGCTTCACAGTTTTGTATCTTATACAACACAGAGAAAGCGTGAGTGTGAAGAAAGGTATCTGCGCCCAACAAAGGTTCTATGTGTACTCACGTATACGTGTGTTATAAGACATAAAATTGTCAAGCACATTCATATAAGAATCATTTACAGTACCGGTATTGCAAATTACCACAGGGTCCCATTGCACAAAACTTACTGTTGATGGTAACTTTGCCATCACAGGCAACTACCATGGTAACAGGGTTGAACAGCCAATCAAAATCATGGTTTCTATGGAAGTTACCATTGATGGCAAAGTTACCATCAATGATAAGTTTTGTGCAATGGGACCCTGGTGAAAACCTAGATTACCTAGAATTAAAAAAAATTGTATCAAAATGGTCTCCAAAACATATTTTACAACGTGAAGAACTTGCAAGGGATCATAGATAAATTTAGATTGATCATAAAATGATTCTAAAGATCAGTAGAAATATTTTGAGACAACTTCACATTCAGGCAACAAAGCATATTAGTTGATGCAGAGAGAAAACATGACCTTGGTAAAATACCAGTACAAAAAACTAACAACTTACACCGCTGCCGAAATTATTGGGTTCTCCTGGGTTCCAGTAGGTGTAGTCTACAGATGAGCCATCAGTCCAGTAGAATTTTCCACTTACTATCGAGTCGCTAAGCCCAATCCACATAGCTATTTCTGTCTTAACCAACTTAGATGTCAGGTATGCTGTGTGTTTGAAAGAAGCACATCGCTATTAAGTAACATCACTTTGTGTTCATTGGAAGCCCTTTACTGGTACAATACAGTACCTATGAATTGCTTTCATTACTAATATTAAAGAGTGATACTCATTTCATATGTCCCAGTCTCACCAAAGAGAAGGACACCACACAGACAACAGACTGAACAAAAATTACAAGTACATCTAGTCCAATTGGAATTGGTGTAAAGTTGATTTGGTGGTGTGGCTAGTATTAGTTAGTTTTTACATTTAGAGAAAGCATTATATTTCCTTTCCTGAGAAAAATATTTGGGATTCATTTGAACCATATGAACAAATTGTCTGTTCAAAATACAGAAGAGCTTTAACTCTGTATCAAAGTTTCCAGCTACAAACAAGCAAAATTCTTTGTGTATGAATGTGAAAAATCTATTGTACTGATTCTATTTACGATGAATATAACATGACTATACGCCCTACGCACCTTGCAGTTCATGGCTGTGCACGGTCACCAGGTTAGTGTTGGCTATGTTCTTGCAGGTATCTCTCGCATCAAACCAACTCATACGCTGGGCAGCATCATCCAAACCATATATCTTATAGCACCTGTTGTCGAACCTCAACCAGCCGGTTTGGCAGTTCCCGATTGGAGAGAGCGTTGGTGGGTGCGTGACAGGGCCGATGTTTCCGTACGGCTTACGACAGACAAAGACGGTTTCTTTGGCACAGTTGGCATCATTCCATGTCCCCCCTAGCAATGGAATAAACAAATTCAACAACAAAAAAGGTATATGAAATTACCCCCATATATATATCCCTATTACTCCCGTAAAACTACCCCCTTGCAGGTATCAGTAACCCCCTTGGCCCTCTGATAGCTTTATACTAAGGAGTAATCATGAAAAGGGGTAGCTGTGAACAGTTAGCTGCCAGTTGTAAGACAATTGCTTCCACAAAAAATGCTCTGCATAATTTCCTACACTTACCAAATTCCTAACTTCTAACCTGTTGTACAGTGTATATGGTTTCTACTTTCCACTATGCTGAAAAATCTTTTAGTTGGTTGCTATTCATGAATTCTCATTTTGGCGATTGATAAAGATTTGGGGGAAGGCATTTTTGTTTCACTGACCCCGAGCTGTGTTTTCTGAATTGCTATAGTTCTTTCTCCTTACCTAGTTTCTCTCTCCAGAAGCTTCCCTGCATGTTCATTCATTTTGAATTCACTTACCTGAATAGTACTCAGCACACTGCTCCTCCCCATTGTAATCATTTGGTTCACCACTAGTCCAGCTTGTATAGTCTACTGCTGAGCCATCACTCCAACTGATTGAGAGAGGAATTAGAATACAAGAGAGAGAGAGAGAGAGAGAGTGAGAGGGTGCCAGTGAGAGAGAAAGAGACATACAGATGGAGATACGGAGAGAGAGAGAGAGAGAGAGAGGGTGCCAGTGAGAGAGAAAGAGACATACAGATGGAGATACGGAGAGAGAGAGAGAGAGAGGGTGCCAGTGAGAGAGAAAAAGACAGACAGATGGAGATACGGAGAGAGAGAGAGAGAGGGTGCCAGTGAGAGAGAAAGAGACATACAGATGGAGATACGGAGAGAGAGAGAGAGAGAGGGTGCCAGTGAGAGAGAAAGAGACATACAGATGGAGATACGGAGAGAGGGAGAGAGAGGGTGCCAGTGAGAGAGAAAAAGACAGACAGATGGAGATAGGGGGAGAGAGAGAGAGAGAGAGGGTGCCAGTGAGATATTAGAACCTTCACATAACCTATTCATTGATTTCATGAAAACCTAGTCATATGGGTTCATCAGATATCCTACTGCTGCCACCACACGATTGAAAGACAAGAGCACTACCAAGAGATTGCTGAACATAGCCACCCAATAATAATTCTAGAGAGATTAATAGACTGACAACACTATAGCTGAACACTAACTTAACACCATGGCGCTGGGACTTACGAGAAAACTCCTTCTGTTGTGTATTCCCTCAAGCCTATCCATGAGTATTTCCGGTCTTCTACTTCTCCAAATCGTACCATCTAGAAAGACAAATGGATATGCTTGAACAAAAAACAAATATAGTGTATGATTCCCTGTAAACATGCATGAAGATTGCACAGCATCTACCATCAGTTGTTATCATACATTTAATAGTTTGTTATCTGTGGTTGCATAAAGAGGTTTTAAGATCACATGCCCAACATATTAAGCTTTATATATTGTATTATTCCTGATTTGTTGTTTTTAGTACTGAAATGAAAAATAGAGCACTTGATTAGCAAAAAGAATAAAATTATATTTATATTTCATGAAATGACTATTGTCCTTTCTTATTTTGGGGTAGGGGTGCTATATGCCCGGCCCCCCCCCCACTCCGGGGTCGGAATGACCGCATGCGTGTTACCAAAATGTCCGGTAAAGGGGTAACTTTTCACGCACCAAAGTCCGGCACGTACATACACAAAATTGACTTTACACACCGGACTTAGGGGGTGTTTTCAAAAGGAGGGAACACGCATATGCGTACCCTAAATAACACTGAGTGGGAGGGGCCTGGGCTATATTACAAGAAATCTACAAGAGAGTAATTTAAAAATAGACTGACATAGTTCTTGAGGAAGTCATTTTCCTCTTGGCTATGTATAGAGGCAAGGTAGCCACCACTCTGCATGCAGTACTCATTAGCATTCATCCAGCTCTTCAGACCGGCGTCTTGGCTTAGACCCTGACTGAAGAAATAGCAGTAGTTGTTCTGTGGGTACAGGATCCAGTCTTGGTTGTCTAGACAAGGAGGATCTGATGATACAAAAGAATGAACAAAATTAAGATTTCATTCAATCCTTGTAATTTCATGAGGTTGTCAACAATGGACTTACATGTTTATAATTGGTCCAGATTTTTGTCATCAATGTACCTAATTGGTCCAAATAATTATCCAATTACACAGATATAAATAATTTGTCAGACTACCACCCAAGACATCCAGCAGGTATAGAATCATATAACCCTGATATATCACTGAGGTGAACTTTTGAGAGCCATCAATGGAATTATAGTATCCAAAGATACTGCTGGGCAAAATATTTTAATTTGAATAGAAAAATATGTAGGGTTCATAAAAACTTACATGGTGTAACCGTACTAGGAGCTACTGTCGTGTATACTGGCTGTGTATCTACAGTAGAGAGAATAGGGGAGAAAGAGAGAAAGAGAGAATGGGAGAGAAGGAGAAAAGAGAATTGGAGAGATAGGGAGAAGAAGAGATAAATGAAAAAAAGAAACAGGAAAGAAGAAGAGATAAATGAGAAAGAGAAACAGAAAGAGAAACAGAGATAAAAAAAAAAGAGAAACAGAGAGACGGAGAGAAAAAGATTGAGGGGACAGAGAGGGAGAGAGAAGCGAGGAGGATACAGCAGAATGAAAGGCGGATGGAAAGGAAAGAGCAGAAAGAAACAGACATAGAAAGAAAGAGATAGAGAGAAGATGGAGAAAATACAGAATTAAGGGAATTATAAAGATATATTAGCAGATAGTACACAAGATGATGGGAAACAAATACGCAAAATAAAGACAGATTTTTTGCAAAAATGGAACAATACATTGAAAGAAACCAACGAGCTGACGTTAGAAATACAAGCATAATACTGTAATACTGAGTAAATGCCCTTCTAGCTCTGAAGTAAACTCAGTAAACATATGACACATGCACACAAAGATGCAAAACACCTGTTGACATATATTCTACAATGATTGATGTCTCTATTATCTTCCACTCTCTAAATCCTCATGTAGTCACTCGCAGGAAATCTCTTATTTCATCCAAAATCCTATGTTGAACCAAAAGCATGACACAGTTCATGTTTCCATAGTGAAATTCAATGCAGAAAAATCTTGACATGTCACAACTTAGGTATGTTTCCAGGAGATACCTACATATTTTTATAACGGTCTATATACTACAAATAAGAGAATATTCCATATGAAAAGGACAGCAGGGAAAGCGGCGATTTCACCTTTGTTTACAAAAGGAAAATTCTATCAGTATTTTCATTGGTGTGACTCCGATAGAAGCACTATGAAAGGGGTATTAGAATAAGATTTTTTTTTTTAAAATACTGTTACAACTAAACCATCTTAATAGACAATATGCAAGGTATAGAATGGCTATCCTCATCTGGTAGACAAGTAGGGCTTATACAATTCTCATATTCTTCCTTTTCAGAAATAATGCAGACAAAAATAAAATCCTAATATCTTTATATTCTAGCAGTGTGTTATTAGGATTACATTTGTAGGATGCGAGAAATATAGTCTAAACATACACACTGCAGCACATATTTGTTTACTGTCAACTGTGCAACACATGTATTGTTATTCTTTGTCATGCAAATTTTAAAGAATGCTTTATTAAATAAAGTCTCAAAGTATTATATTATTTTTCAAAATATATGGGCCAAGGTGAAAATTGTGTATCAAACTAGTAGCGGACATGAGAATACATAGACTGTGTCAAAATATATATCCTTTCAGGCTTTATCTAAATGTGGAGGGGAATGTATTAGAGGCTATGATACTTTTTTTTCTATAGTAATCAATTTTCACATAAGATCATTAATCATGTATCACATGTTTCTTTTCCAACTCTTGCCAACGGGACAGTATTTCTTCCTAGATTTTCCCATTTCCCTGGGATTAGTGAACCCCAAGAGGGTGTTGAAATATGACATTATACCCACTTTGATACATGGATAGCTATATCAAACAAACCAGACATGACTAGGTAATTTTTTCACAATTTGAAGAAGAAAAAAAGATTGATAGTAAGCAGATCTAAAAAATAGTCAGTTTTGAAAACTATCAAATTACATTATATCATCGGTTTAAAGTTCCTCCATTTAGAAGTACCTTTAGTATCAGTTTTTGTTCAATTCTGTTCGAAGACTTTGAAAACAGGAGCACAATCCAAAAGTCTCCTACTCCTACCCCCTCTCTCTCTCATTCTCTCTCTCTCTCTCTCATTCTCTTATTTTCTCTCTCTCTTTCTCTCTCTCTCTCTCTCTCTCTCTGTGGCTCAGAGCCCTTTTAGCTTGGAACAGATGATATGGCACATAGAGAGAGAGGGATGCATATTGCGAATCAACATTATGTATTTTTCAACAATTCCTCATCTTGGCTAGTCTAAGGATACAATACCTTTTAAAGATTTCCAGGCTAGTTCTTGCCCCAGGAAGAGGGGTTCCTTCTTAAAAAGAAATATTTTCTTCCTAACTGTCTAGAAGAAATGGACTTTGTTTCTACTGCCTGAACGACTATAACAGTTTCAGAAATTGTTCTCAAAATTGTTTGTATAACTCCAGAGAATTTAGAAAGCATGTTTGTTGACATGGTATCAAGAATCTGACTGTCATACTCCATGACTAGCCCCATCATGGATTTGACAATGTTGGGATGTATTTGAGTTTCGACAAACTGGCTGTCATTTTCAACTTGTGTAGTTGTTGTGAATGTCCCATCCTTGGGCTGTATTTGAGTTCCTATGTCCTGGCTGCCATATTTGGCAGCCAATAGAGTAGAAATCACAGATGTTTCAGCAACATTGGGCTGTATTTGAGTTTCAAGAAAATGACTGTCACTGTAGTCTGCTTCTACAGATGTCAATGTTGTACCGGTATCCAAGGGAGTAGCATCTGTTGATGTTGCACCAAAACGGAGCTTTATCAAAGTTTGCAGAACTCCAACATCACTTTTCTGAGCTTGATTAGCTGTGGATCTGATAGCTGATGGAGCAGTAGTCATTAAGGTTGCAACATTAGACTGTATTTGTGTTTCTAAGTACTGGCTTTCATGGTTCTGAACAGTGCCGGTTGTGGATATTGCAACTAATGGCGCAGCTTTCAAAGACGTCACGTCATTGGGCTGTATTTGTGTTTCAAACGACTGACTCTCATAGTACTCCTCTTGTGTAATTGTTGCAACCAATGGGGTGGCACGCAATAAATTTTCAGTCAAAGTTGAAGTGGTTTGGATCTTCGTCCCATGACATTGCACCATTGTAAGAAATAGTAAGAGGGCAATCTGCTTCCAGGGCCATTTCAAATCATCCAAGTTATCTCTTGTGGTGCATTTGAAGGAGAGCTTGAATTCCATATTTTCCTCTGCTTAATCCTTCAAACAGCAATCAAACCAGAATAAATGCTCTAGCAAGTAGAGATGTAGCTAATCTGCAACTGTCAGTTTTGCCTTATGCCTTAAGGCACAACATAAAAAAAGTCAAAGCACACTGTATCATCACACCTAGCTCCAATGACAGAGGTATATCTGAGCTCAGACATAGATAATTAGCTTAACTTAATCAGCAGAAATATTTGTTTACAATGCGCTAAACACTTTTAATTGGAGTAGTATCCTGCCTAGACGTAGCTGACGTATAGATATTCTTGATAGTACAAGCAGACAATGATTTAACTATCTCACACTGTAGCAGTACTGTTGGAGCTCATGATATATTTTTGTCTTTGTAGCATGACAGGAAATATGATGCCTTTGACAGAGTCACATCAAGGACAGCAGACTCCAAATACCTCTCTTGGGGGATGATGGCCATCTTGACTGAAAATGCTACAGATGAACAGAATCGCTGCACACTCACGATGTTAATTGCACACATCCTCATACTTTAAACTTCAAAATGCACAAGATTTGACAAGCTGCCACAGACCCAAACAGTGCATTTTTTCTGAAATTGATGAGAGAAGTCAACAAATGTCATGAAAAACAATATCCATAACACATGTTGGATGTGTGAATCCAGTTTGCACTGATGTAGGTGCATGCTTTTAATGATAGCTCATGCTAGGTTTGAATCTTTGTCTCCTGATACCTGTAATGCACCATAAATCAGAGTTATCCAAACAAACGTTTCATCTCCACCCTTTTAATTAAAAATGAATCTGTCACGCCATAAGCTGGATCCAAACCTTTCCAGTTGCATTGGAAACATCTTTTATTTTTCTCCACAACTATCTAAAGTGCAGCATCATTGTTAACTCTTGTGCATAATGGAATCAGAGTTGTTCAAAACACACTTGCATTGCCATTTCAGGAATTAAAATGGAACTGTGTCAAGAGCAAACATTGTAGATATGTCCTTGCAGTCTACCCCAGCTGCTCAAATCCAAGTTCATTGTGACACACTCAACTAAAGCTCTATTAGTCTAGCTGTAATGTCTTGGCTGCCCTAAGACTTTGATCATACTATCCCCCCTTACAGGAAGGGGGGCAGGGGGCAACCAATTCCAAAATTAGAAAGAGCAACATGTGGGTCCTGTCTTATGTTTTCCTGTAACAAGCTTCACACAGGGGATGTTATGGGTTTACTGTTTTCTGTTTTCCTTAATTAAAACTTGGCAGCCTGCACTCATACGAAGGATATGATAATTTACAATGGATAAACTCTGCATAGTTGAAATGTTATTGTTCCATATTTATTACCCTACTTTTTAGAGTACCACTTAGTATACTCCTAGTCTGCCAACTTGAATAAGTGTAAGAGCCAACTGTTACTTACAAACATCAATTTCACTCTTCATCTTCAATGGCTGAATTATTAACTTTAAAATTTATTTTGTAAAAGCTGGATGACAACTTACTATCTTGCTCTAAACATGCTTGATAATTGAAAACTGTGGGCGGATCTTCTTTCTCGAAAGTCAATAAAAGCCCAACTCCCTCAATTTTCACTTGATTTTTTCCCCCTCATTTCCTTCTCTTCCTGGAACCTATTCTACATCATTCAGCAATCCATCTTCTCTAAAAATGTTAGTTTTGCAGACTAGAAGCTATTCAGTAATGGATTGTATGGTTTCAGAAATCACTATTCACTACCGGTATTCATTATTTTCAAGTTCCTGAAAGCTACGTGTATCAAGGGAATAAGATCCCGATCATGATGACTATATATACTATCATTTAGTTCCCTGAATAAAATTAGGAAAGAAGAAATTTTGAATTAAAAAAAGACACTTGAAATCCCACTACACACTCCTGTTAACATTGTCAATCTACTTGTTAAAATACAAGTTAAATAATATCCCTTTCCTTATTCATTTCAACTCCTTTCCTGACTTTTGAAGAGAAAAGGCTGGAAAGAGGTTTGCGATATCTTTTATGTCTATCCTGACAACTAAGAAGTGATCAAAACAATCAGCAGACATAATAAATGTGTTGCTTGATGTATGATACAGTAACAAATGTATTAGATCATACCCAATATAAATGTCAAAGGCTTAAATTCCTACTGTCTATTCATTACAGAAAGGTTCTAGTTTGGATGAAATAACATTCAAAACAAATGTGTATTGCATTTTAAAGTCATCGCAATTTCTTATGGGCAATTGTTAAAGAAAGTTCTAATTAAGGGCACGTTCATGCTTGATTTTGAAGGTAGAATGAGCGATTTGTAACGCTCATCGTAAACGCTCATCGTAATCGCAGTTCCACGGTGTACTGTTCATGCTCACTTCTCCAGGCAATTCTCCCTTGGTGGCCTTAATTGGCCTAGCAGCTGGATTCACAACCTTGAAATGCGCATGATATGTAGACCATGGTCCATGCGTAGACCCACTAGAGGTCAGTGCGTTGACCCCATTTAAACGTGTTTACAAATTGTAAACGCATCTTTTTGTGAGTTTACGATCGGCGATCGTGATCGCCGTTTTTCGGTGATTCTACAAAAGTAAGCATGAACGCAACAGTGTTTTAAACTATACGCGTAACAGATGCCTGATTCTGGCCAGAAAAAGTGAAGCATGAACGCGCCCTATGATGGGTAATGTTTGAAAAAGAACGAGAGAAAATTTGACAGAGAGAATGGGGTCATCCAGGTGAACTAATTCTAGTAACCAGATTAATAACCACATCATGGCCACCCTGCATTCCAGTAACCCTGGACGGTTTTAATCTCGATGTCTTCTCTCTCTCTCTCTCTTTGCTTCTCTGTCTCTCCTCTATCTATCTATCTCTCTTTCTAGCTGTCTCTGTATCTCTCTGCTTCTCTCTCTAGCTTTCACATTCTCCCAGAGCCCTTACACTCTGTCTCACACACAGACACACACACACACACTCAAACACACATACTCTCTCTCTCTCTCTCTCTCTCTCCTTCTTAGTCTGTCTGCCAGGAAGTAACACCTTCTTAGGTTTCACACGTATATAATCAACACTAACTGATCACCTAGCAACAAGACAAGCCGTTTGTGACTGTAATCTTACCCTGAATCAGTATCACTCATAAACTAACTCTAATGAGCCTTGGAAAGTACAAGTACATCAAACAGAGTATATCATCTGTTTAGTGCCGGAAGGGTGATCATCTCCCTTCTGGCTCTCAAAGGACAATATGAATGAAGATACAAACTCATTTGTCCTCTTATGTCAACACATAATAGAAGCAAACCTTCATCATACTGTAATCTAAAAAGAACAATTCAAACCTGGAAGAAAACTATCCAAACGATTTTGAAATTTAAAGAATAACTCAAAATCTTTTTGTATTGTTGTTTTTTGGTTTTCATATATAGTAAGGATGTTATTTCTAATCTTTGCTGTGCCACCTGCAGAGAGATTTTAGTTGTCCTGTGAAAATGACAGTTAAATAATAGAGAACATCACATCTCATCACAGCATGCCACAAACAAAAAAATGAAAGCTCAAGATGGTTTTAGCATACTTCAACATCTCATAATGCAATTTAAATGCATTTGGGCTGTGATTAATGAATACATTTTCATCAATTAAGGATGTGTAACTGAATCTAAGAACTGATTGCATTAAAAAAAAAGTAACTGCATATATGATGTCATTTTGAATACATTATCTTCACTTTATCTGAACTTAATTAAAAATAGTAATTGCAGTCTCTGATGTGATATGTGAATGCATTTTCATCACTAAAACATATTCTGATACTGCATTAAAAAGTATCTACATTCTGTGATGTAAATTTTGAATGCATTTTCATCACTTTATAAGCATGTGACATGAAAATGGTAATTTCTCCAAAGATGTGACTTCTGAATGCATTTTCATCATCAAGCATCTGAAACTGCATTAACATATTAACTGCATTGAAAGATGCTATTTCTGAATACATTTTCATCACTTAACCAGCTCAAAGTGTATTCTGTGTATGATCTTGAATGAATTTTCAAATTAATTTACAAACTTTTGGAAATTTTGCAGATCCAATCATTGAGGTTAGTGCAATAGATGTCATTCCATTTCCGTCCATTCAAGAAGACCTCTGTACAGTCCTCTCCTGGACCCCAGTTATTGGGTTCACCCGTGTTCCAATTGGTATGTTCTACTGGAGTACCATCTGTCCACGTAAACCCTAAAGAAAAATACATAAAATCATTTTTTAATCCATATTATATACATACAATATTCCAGTTTACAGAAGTCAAGCCAGAAGTTGAGAAAAAAAATAAAATTTAAGATTAATGTCAGACAATCTACTAACCTCCTTCTTCTGATTGGTCATGGAGTCCAACATACAAACTTGCAGTGCTGAAAATTAACAGAAAACAAGTGTTTGATGTATCTAAATGCCGGTCATGGGATTTGTAAAAATGTGGTTTTCACAAGTGGATGGAAAGCATTGAGGACTGTCATTATAAAAGTCAACAATATTAGAATTAAGTTAATAATAATAATATTAATAACACTGAACATTTATAATGCGCCATGTCTGTCAAAAATGACACTCCTGGCGTAGTTGTGTGGAAATTGTATAATTGTGGGCATACGACCATCAAGTAATTCAAGAAAGTAAGTAAAATACACCTAAGTTAAAGTTTAATCTGCAATAATAGAATAATACAATACAAAGCATATTACAGTAATAAAAGGATGGCCTGACATAACATATGCTGGGTACACACTCACCGACCAAAAGGGGTAGTATAAATTTAATGGACTCCAAATATTTTACTCCAGACACTAAGAAAACTAGTTGGAACTTCGACTGCACGCAGTCGAAAATGATGCCTCCATCATAGAGCAATTTTACAAACTGAAACAGAAGAAATTTTTCAAATTCAAGTTCAATTGTAATCCATTAACAGGTTCTCAGAATATCATGATTACAAGCAATTTCTCACATACATATATGACCCTTTGATCTTTGACCTCATGACCCTAAAATCTACTCAGTTCATTGGCTCTGCAAGATGTTCTGAGTTAAATAGTAATCCATCTGTCAGTTCTAATGATAATGCATTCACAAGCTATTTTTGCATACATAATGAGCCCATGACCTTTGACCTTATGAACCAAGAATCTACTCAGTTGGCTCTGCAGGATACATAAATGATCTAAGTTTGGCAGGAATCCATCAATCTGTTCTAATGATAATGCGATCACAAGCTATTTTTGCATACATAATGAGCCGCATGACCTTTGACCATGACCTCATGACCCCAAAATCTAATCAGTTCATCAGCTCTGCAAGTAACATACATGACCTAAGTTTGGCAGGAATCCATAAATCGGTTCTTCAGATAACACGATCATAAGCTGTTTTTGCATACATAATGAGCCCTGTGACCTTTGACTTTTGACCTTGTGACCCCAAAATCTAATCAGTTCATTGGCTCTGCAAGATACATACATGACCAAAGTTTGGCAGGAATCCATCAATCGGTTCTTCAGATAACCGATAACGAGCTGTTTTTGCATACATAATGAGCCCTCTGACCTTTGACCTTTGACCTTGTGACCCCAAAATCTGATCAGTTCATCAGCTCTGCAAGATACATACATGACCAAAGTTTGGCAGGAATCCATCAATCTGTTCTTCAGATAACGCGATCACGAGAACGGGACGTACGTACGTACGGACGGACGGACGGACAACCCGAAAATCCAGATAAGAGTCAACGGTTATCAATTCACATAAATTTGCATGTCATAAAATGCTAAAAGTGCTAAAATTGAGTAAACATGTATTGAGCCAAAATTTGAAACTTTCTAATTTCAAATTTGCATTTCATCTTGCTAAAAAAGAAAAGGACATTGCAACAGCTGTATAACTGTGTCTTTCTATTTTTTTTTAGATAACCGATTGATTTTTTTGTTGGTATTCACAAATATTTGAAGGCTTGAGAATGAAGTTACCTATCAGGGTATCCAGACAGGATATAATCCTCCTCAGCCTGACTGTGGAAACTGGCTAAGTCCGCTCCCATGGCCAAGCAGTACATACGAGCATCGTCCCAGTTACGACGTGTGGCTCCGCTCACATCAGACAACACAATCTGATATACAAAGTACAAGGAGTAATCAGTGGTTAGGAAGAAAGAGAGCCATTGGCTCCAAAGAGCAATGAACTTCCAGGTTGCAGCAATGCCACTTGCTGCCTGATTTTCAATATCTTAATGAGTATGAATAAATGATAGCAAAATTTGCAATGACTTGAATACAAATCAAATTATTCAGGAAAATCTGAATTTGAATTTCCCTTGCTCTCTATAACTTTGCAGTAAAATAATGCAACACAATACACTCACACAAAACTACCTTCAAGTTTTAAAATGAAAGTTCTATTTTCAATTTTCTCAAAGAATACTAAATGTAAAGAAGACAATTGTTACAGTTGTTACAGTTCATTTTAGCAAATATGGACAAATATCATTCCTATCTAATGTTTTGACGTCTTACAACTTTTGACACTTTTTTCTTACCAAATAACCATACGATATTTCCTAATGATCCCATGCATGATTCCAAATTTGTCCTTATTAAGGCATACAATACACCACATGCTATTTTTTATTTGAAGGCATACAATATATCATAAGCTATTACCATGTAGCAGTTGGCACCATAGCCTTTCCAGTTTGAGTCATGGCATCCTACATCACTAGGTGCAGTAGCGAGTGTTGTTGGTCCTATGGTCTGGGGCGCTGAATAGCCGCCACGACCGCGCTCACAAAGATATTTGTTAGTTGAGGCACAGTCGATGTTACGCCACAATCCAGCCATCATTCCAGATGTTGATGCAACACAGTTGCCCTTTGTATCATCTTCACATAAATAATCAGCAAGTAATTTTCAGTGCATTTCATTTGAGAAATCTACATTAATTATACCAAATGTACGTACACAACTGAAATTGAAAATTAAAAATTGAAATCTACAAAAGACGATTTACCTAATAGTCCGACATTTGATAGAATGTACAAAAACTTAAAAGACTGTACTATTTAAGTGAAACATTGTTTATACAAAGGAGATAGACGAACCGTAAAGCTAACATTATCTGACATCCTAATACCTATCATGCTATTCATTTTTACATCATCATCACAACCAAATCATTATAATTACCTAGCTTTATCTATGATCATCCCCATTATTCGACCAATCTTTAGAATCTTGTGAAGGTACATGGCAGGACAAGTTATTTTTCTGTTGCAAAGTGGGATATTGTTCCATGTTTTAAATGCCGCCTCTGTAAAATGTTTTTCATGTTTTAATGTATTTATATAGTGATACGTAACATCCTCCGAGCAGCAGCCAAACTATTTGATTGGCTTATTTTGGCTTGTGTGACCAGCTAGCTGTCAATGGTTTACCTGTTGAAAGCTGATCTTGCTTTTGTTTGCAATTGTACAATATATACCAAATAAATTCTACCTGGTTGAGCATAGTCCCAGTTGGTAAGGGTAACTGCTGTATTGTCACTCCAGCTATACTGGCCTGGATTCTCCACATCACTCAGTCCGGTCCAGAACAGACTGCCATCTTGAGAACCTAGTATGCTGGTCAGAACACTCTGCTCATACCTAGTAAAACAGAACATCATAATTATCAACATAATCAACATCATAATGAAAAACATAATCAATATCATAATCGTCATCATTTGCTGCATTTTTCCTTGATATCAAAATGTTAATGTGAATTTAGACCATCCAATCCAGTCAACCCATTTTCACGTCTTTAACTAACCGAGTGACGCGGTAAACCACTACAATAAAAGGCACATTTTGTAAAACATGTAAATGAATGGCGAATGCATGCACCAAAGGTCCTACACATCTTCTCTTAGATCTGTCTAAGAAATGTGAAGCATCTTTGTCTCTTCATTAAACGAAAATTGCTTCAGTTTGCAGCTCCATATGTATAAGGCTTTACTGACCTATCAGCGATAGAGACCAGGTTTCCACGGGGGCTGAACCCGGCACAGTCAGCTCGAGCATCCGCCCAGTTTTTGGGGGTATCCATCACAAAGTAGCAAGAGCCTCCATTGGCTATATCACCCTGATAGAATCAAGACATACCTTTGCAAATCTTATTTAAGTTTAGTCAATCTTCATGATATAATCACTTGACAAAATTAAAGACAGCTCTGATTTTCATACACATAGATTACCATTTGTTGAAGTTTACAATAACGTAAAGAAGAACTTCAACATAACTTTGAAATATTGTCAGAAATGTTGTTTCTCCCACATTAATTCATAATTCATCTCTACATTGTCTTTAAGCTAACCTTCAGTATTAAAGGAGAGAGCAAACCCTAGATATGAGATGATATGCATGCATTTTTGCAATTCCTCTTTATCATTGACTTTGTTTAATTACTAGTGGTTCAATGTGAATACTTTTTGGGTATCCCCTCTCTTGATATGTCTCATGTTTGCAGAATCTGCCATTCATATGCTGAATAGAAAGTGAATCTAATGGTCAGGATAATAACACAATGTGAATTGATTTTCAATTAACAGTGTAAATGCTAATAGTGTTGTTTAAACAAGAAGGTATCCCTTTGTTTTAAAAAAAAAGGGTTGGAGGTGGGGGTGGAGGTTGCACCTCTGGACAACACCATATATTTGAAGATAATTCTTTTGTTCAAAGAGCTTTAATGACTTAATCACCCCGATTCTTACTCATCTTTTGTACCAATTTTAAGTCAATAGGTACAGTGCAGTCAAAACTGTCACAATATGCCAATGGCCAATGGCAATTTCTCAATAGTTATTGTACATAATGAAGAATTATCAATAAATGAATTATGTGGAATAATTCATTATAAATGGTCATCAGCCCATGGTCAAAATTGATCCAGGAAGGAAGGAGAGCTAGGGAGGGAGGGAGGCTGCAGAATCTGCTTCCCTCCAGCTAGGAGAGCACCAGAACCAGGCCCTTTTAAGGTTAATACACCATACCAAGTAAAACTCACCAAACTGCATCCTGATGGAGTAATGGGTTCAAGAGTAGGACCAAGATTTTCCTTCGGTCTCTTGCATGCTCCATGCTGCTTAACTGAACAAAGGTTGTCATTCCAATAACCCTGTATGTGAGAACACAGACATTGAATCTGAATCTAAACCTGTATCTGTACCTGATGACATAAGGCTCAGCACTCTTGGTCAAGTAAGACAAGTTAGACTTGGTGTAGACATGAAATCAGAAAATAATACTATTGAAAATGTTGTTGTATATGAGCCTAGCAAACATGTGATCTTAAATTTTAACTACAGTTGGATGTACAGAGTCCCAGACTGTAGGAATGATGATTTGAAGGAATCTTTGTCAATATATTATTCTATACACATGGATTCTATTCAAAAGGTTTTCCTTGAAAAGTAATTCATGGCTTATAGCAGACATTTTAGGTATGGCTTAATATTTTTGAAAATTATCTTTGCAAAAAAATATTGAAATACTGTATATGCTAAAAAAACATTTGAGAAAGTAAGTGAATTACAAGAGAGATTTTGCTCTAATTGATGTTTTAGAGAGGGTTATTCTATTTTCTAAAAAAATGCCATAATAATGTACATTTATAGATTCTGTCACTTCAACTTTGTTTTTCATGAGTTATCTAACTGTGTATTTGATTTAGACAGACGTTTTTTCCAATAACTTTTTACTTTCAATTCCCTGGGGTTACCTTTAAATTAATAATATGTATAACACTGTCAGACCTATTACTACAAGGATTGAATGCTATGAGCTGCCTCCATTACAAAATGAATTAAAATTAAATTCAACAATCCTCATCAGAATAATGCAATGCACTGCTATTTTAACTTTACAATTAACTAAAACCAAAGTCGAAATTGATCATCAAATTATACAAATTGCAACTATTTCATATTCCTGGGCAATAACAACAGAAAATGAATATGACATACATGTATGAAACTTTAAGGCAAATGTGTTGTTGGCAGAGGAAGAAGAAATAAAGCGGTAAATAAGGAACCCCCAAGAGAAAATGTAGCAGACACAGAATAATACATACTGACGTATGCTTCAACTCACAAACATATACATTTCAACGCAGTCTTCAGCAGTTCCTGCATAATTGTTTGGTTCATCCGTGTTCCATAGCGTGAAGTCCACAGGAGTTTCATCCTCCCACTGAAAACTCATAGGGGAATTGCCGTCATTTAGTCCGATCCAGAATTCATTGTCCATCCCGTCTGGTCAGAAGATAATGGGAAGGCAAAGAAGAAGTTGAAAATACATGACATTGGCCACAAAAATCAGATCAAAACTAGAGAACACATTTACATATATATATTTGTACAGGGCTCCTCCTAATAAGCTTTGCTTCCTTAGGGTTACGCCTTCCAGTGCATTTTCTTAATGTATTCATTAGGTAATTATTATGTTTATAATGGAAAAATGAAATTGAATTGGATTTAATTGCATGCATTTCGCCAATATGGCATTTCTTATATCCCACAGGCAGATTCCTGATAACCATGATGCCATCGAAAAAACATTTCAAGTCACTTGAAAATTGTTGGCTCCAACATATGGTCTATGTGCTTAGTTTGGATGAACCTTGAACTGTGAACTTTTAACCTCTTAATAAACCAATTAGTTTACACCTCCATGACAAGTACCAACTTAGAATTACTATTAACAGAACTTTAAAACTAAATTTAATACCCTCAACAGTTAAAGAATTTGTACATCAATCAACCCCTGTGACACTGACTTTGACCTTACAAATAAAGATTAGAAACTCTCAATCTGATTTATCCCGCCCAGCTACACATATTGATCTCATCATCTCAATTATTAGTCAGGAAACACTTACTGTCACGTGCCAGAGCTAGGATGAAACTGTTCTCGTTGAGGTCATGAATTGATGCCAGGTCGCCACCGAGGTCCTTACACTTCTGCTGAACATCAGAGAAGCTCAGTTTCGTTAGAGTGTACATGTAGTAACAGTTATTCCCATATCCTGACCAGCCCTCTGGGCATCGGTAACCAGGGCCGAGGGTCGTGACCTCTGGATCCCTCACGTCCATCACTGGGTATTTTTGGTGGGGAGGGGGGAGTGTAATAAAACATTTATAATACAATTTTAAATGGGGGGAAAGGAACCTTTCACATCTTCAATGCAGGTGTATTCCTTGTGTATGGTACATATCTGGCAGAGGTGGGCTTGCTACATTGAAAAATAACTTTCAGTAATCTTTAAGAAATATGGATTATAAGAGATCATGGATCATCTGCTGCATGATACATGATCTGAGAGGGACCTGGCAGAGGCCTGCGACATGGCTCTCACATTGGTGAGGACCTAAAATGAGGATCCTAAATGATGATTGCAAGGAATACATGTAGAGAACATATCCTTTATAACATTGGATGAACCTGACCACATTTACGCATCAGAAATAGAGAAAGAGAGGAGGACGGAGCACACTAACTCAGGGTCTTTTAAACAACCATCACCTTTGATCCTCCTAGCAAAACACTCGCATACTGAAAGGTATATCAAAGGCTCCCTTTGCAACCCAAAATAAATATTCTGCAAAGTTATTTCTCATACATTGGCAATTCAAAGCTATTATTATGGTCCCATATGTCACTGACCACATTTAATTTTTTAGTCCACCCGATAATTGAATTGATTTGCAAGCCTCAACTAATACCAAAGATCAAGTACTCCTGTTGAAAATCAATGTTCAGAATACCATGATGTATGGGACACAAAATGACCAAATATCTTGGACTTGCATACATGTACATGTACTTCCTATAACTGTATACGGCATAGAATCCCCGAGGTATGTAGATTAAAATTGCCAATTGTTCAAATTCCTTGCTTGAAATCCACTTAGAGCCTTTCCACGTCCTTTTTCATCATCTTTTCATCATCGTTTAGCATCTACTTTTTCCACGCTATGGGGTTTGACGTTTTATCTCCCTAAGGCGTAAAAAAAAAAGATGTTGTATCGCCCTTTGTGACCGACCCAAAAATCTTGAAATTTTCTAGTGCTTATAATAGATGCAAAAATATCAAAATTGTAAAAAATTACTATCCACCCAATTTTCAAAATTTCCCAAACTTTGTATTACCTTTAAAGCATTAAAAACTGAGAAATATCAGCCCAATGAGGGAGAAAAAAAGAAAAAAAAGTATTTTAAAGAAAAAAAAAGTTTCCGACTAACCGACCCATGTTTTGGCACCTTAAGGGCAATACAACATCTTTTTCTGTTAGGCCTTATGTCCCTTCTCTTGGCCTTGTGGTCTTCGGCATCCACCTGGGTGAGGCCAGATGCTCTCATTTCTTTCTCCTAGTGTCTCCATCCAAGTCTTGGGAGATCTACCAGGGTTCTGGGCCTGCAACCTGGAAGTTCATTGCTCTTTGGAGCCAATGGCTGTCTTCCTTCCTAACCACATGACCATACCAGTCTACCCATCCTTATATTTCACTCACATCTTTCATAGTAGTCCATGTTGCCATCAGAAATGGGGGTCGTGGTTGATCCATCGTTGAATGAACATTCATGAGAGACTCGGTTGTAGTTGAAAGACTTGCAAATGAAATCGGTCATCTTGACGCACCGTGAAGCACACTCATCAGGGTAGACGCCAGAAAGGACCAATTGACCTGGACCGTTCATGTACGCATGTGGCGTGACAAGGAAGTGGGTTGTAAGATATCCTGTGGAGTTCAAACGTGAAATAAAATTAATAGTATTCATACCAGTAGTAATAAATAACAAGAACAATAACAATAACAACATTGACAACAATGATAATGATGATAATAGTAATAATATTAATAATAATATTAATAATAATGATAATAATAATAACAATAAAAATAATAATGATAATAATAACAAGAAGTAGAAGAAGAAAAATAGTAATAATAACATCAAAGTTTTGAAGGCATTCTAAAACATTCTCATAATGTACACAATGAATCAAAGTCATCAATTTGTAATTAAGTCACAGATCTTTCCTAATATTTACAGCGAATCGATATCTCACCATTTTTCTTGCAGATGAATCCCCTTTCTATGTCACATTTGTTATCATTCCATGTGTCTGTTTTAGTGAAGATTTCCATGCAATGTTCACTGTCACCTACATTATTGGGTTCATCTGAACAAAAAATATCAAAGAGTTGTATGTTAAGTGCAACTCTTTATAACACAGGACCCAGGTCTGTCAAGTAAACTCTTCCTGATCTGTGTTTTCATGCAAAATTTTACAGATGTTTTGAATTTATTGATTTGAATATGACAAACTATAGGATGCAAGGATGATACTTGAAGTTAGAAGTCATACATTAATTAAAGTTAACTTCTGCATGGTAACATTTGACAATCCTTAAGCCAGTGCTATTAACAGGGGTAAAGTGAGCACTAAAGCCCTCCTTGAGTAAAAAAGAAAAAAGAGGACTGGGGGAAAAAATGGCATCTAACAACATTCACCCCCATTTCAGTAAGAAAATTGGGGGGAAATAGGGAAAAAATATTGAAAAATAGGAAAGAATAGAGAAAATGAGGGGAAAATCAGAATAAAAATGGGGGGGGGGGGATCGGGAAACCGATTTAAATTGGGTAATTATCAGGCCTCTATTAACAGCAGGTACCTGTAGCTGTTTCTTCAACCTTGTACACAAATTGCACGAAGCTATGTAAAATACATGGGAATCTCCTTAATGTGTCACAATATGTTTTGATGTTTTGTTGGTTTGTTCAGTTATGGTTACTTGCACGTTCAAAGGGTATTCTGCAGTTGTTGGAATATGTCATCCGGGATAGAACCTGACTTACTGGGAGCCCAATTGAGATAAGAAAAACCTGATCCATCAGTCCACTCCCAGCCTCCCTCATTGGTGAAATCTGTTCCTCCAATCCACATGTCATTCTCAATACTAGAGAGCCGGCCTAGGCAAAAGAAAAGAAAGTAATCAATAAAGTCATTACAATGCTCATAAAATTCATACATACCTTTATTTTTTTTTAATGTATTTCTAAAAATATTTGTATAACCTACGTATCATTTCTTTGAATTACCTCTTTGAACTGGATGCATTATTTTGAAGGCATCTTGAGCATCTTTAGAGATCGACATGTTCACTTCATAAATATTGTCTTCTTCATCATCATTATCATCATCATCACTTTTATTATCATTATCATTATTATTATTACTACTATTGTTATAATTATTATCATTATCATTGTTATTGTATTCAATTTTTATTATTTTTCATTTTTAAAATAATCATTATTATTATAAATATTATCATTCTTGATATTATCATTATTATTATTATTATTGCAATTACTATCATCATTTTTATTACTATTATCATTATCATTATTATAGTCATCATTTTCCCATTTAATATGTTTATGTAAGAATTATTACTTATAGTGCTCTTATATGATCATATGCTGTGTTCTTATAAGTGTCATATGATGTACTCACCATTCATGTACGTTTGTTCCTCTTTACTTGCTATACTTGCTAAATCTCCACCTTGCACTTGGCAGTATTCTCTGGCATCAGCCCAACTCATGTAATCACTATACCTGAACAAATAGCAATTCTGCCCGGTCACATCATAGTCCCATCCATTGCCACATCGAGGGTCAAAAACAGCTGTGATAGGTGCGTAGGAGTTAGAAGAGGAAACGTACATTTCAATTAATTCTTTAATTACTTTGGTTGACTACTAGAACAAACCATGGAGTACCATAGTAGTCTTTTTTCACACAGCATAAATGTAGCATATGCTCAAACAACGTGGCATTTAGGGTTTGGGATCTATAGCAAATAAAGAGTTAATATGTACATCAAGAGGTGCAATTCTAAGCTCCAAGTTCAAGATCGTTTAGTATAATGCAAGAAAGAGACATACAAATACACAAGGAAAATGACAATATCAAAGGCATATAATATATATATATATATATATATTCACAAATGAAAAAAGAAATAAACATGATATACACAAGTTTTGATTGTAAATTAATATTGAAGATGTAATGGTTATCTATGTAATAAAAACATATGCTTAAACTTTGAGAATGTCAGTGTTTGTGAATTTACATGAAAAAGGGTAATTTTGAAATAGAAAAAAAATGAGATAAGGCATTTTAGAAGAACATTCAAGTAATAATCATATTATTTGACCAAACTTACATAAAGGAAAACTATTGCATGTATTGTCTGTAACTAACATTATCATTATCTAACAGCAAAAATAAGTTATAACTTACGTGTTGGTATAACAGGAGGAATCACAATAGTACCAGCCTCTAGAATGAGACAGAAAAGAGAGCTCTTGAATGTGTAATTTCACAGTGAAGAAACCTGTCTTTGCTTTTAGTCGATCTTGATTAGCTCCCTTTTCTGGCTTTCCCTCCTTTTGAAAGGATTCACAGGTTGGTTCACAAATAAATGAAGCATTTTACATTCCCCAGTATTCCTTCCTATCTGGTTGGACAGTATGCTAATCATGAAACACACCATAACATTGTCCATGGAGCTGCACCCATGTTACTAGTCCAAAAAAAGGAAAACTAAAATGTTGATGGATCATTTATTTTTAGAGGTACTGCAGTGCTGAGGAAAGTCAAAGGGGGTAATCAAATAGCAGATAATTTCTGATTTGTTTATGCACCTTTGAGGGTAAAATTCAAACTTTCCAAAATTTCCACCACAGATTGACAACCTATGTTCGTTCCCAATAAATGTTTTGTATTACAACTAATTCACTAAATTATCAATTTGTCACAGAAGAAATTGTTTCAAAATTTTTCATTTCTAGAGCAGGTTCTATTCACCTCAATGGATATTAAAATAGTAGATATATTGGGATTCCCGATGGGGAACATTTCATATAAAGGGGGAAATAGGTTTGCTTGGCAAGACAGTAACTCCTCATGTAATCATTATTTTAAGGATAGTAAAGTCTATGCAATGAAATGGCCTTCTTTATATATACAAATATTACATCTATTGAAAAATAGAAATACATGGGATAAAGAGCAAAGTATATCTAGAAATTATTAATAAAGCTTTGGGGGCATCACACACACAAATTATTACTGAAAAGAATCAGATTTTTCTTTAGAAAATAGCCTAAATTTCTCATGAACAAAAATAAAGATGTTTATACAGATCAACTTACTACTTGGCTTCTTGCAAACAGATGCAAGCTTTGAAACATCTCCATCAATGTCATTCCACTTGCCGGCATCAAGCTCATTGCTTCTCATGTGAACAGCATCTTCCTTTGACTTCCAGTTGTCAGGTTGACCAGTTGCCCAGTTATAGAAGTCAACCTGTAATAGGACATTTCTATTCGTTTAGTTCTTTCAAAGACAAAGTCAAGAAAAAGAGGGTTGAGTGTCTGCAAGACGGGTGTAAATAGATGCAAAGATAATGGATGTACAGCACACTTCAAGAAAACGCATTCTATAATCTGACTATTCTTTGACTACATCTCTACATTGTCCACAATATTAATGGCAATATCTACATTCCTTCAACAATCAAAAGAAAACATTTTAAACAATTTTATCAAAAAAATAATCTTTGTGCTGTTCTGCCTGGCACCAGACAATAGAAACAACTAAAAAGGGGAAAGAGTAGTATGTTCGTTCATGTCTCCTTAGATCAAGATTAATGTATCTTGATCTTCGGAGTAGTTGATACAACCGGCCGTGTCAGACACGTTGCCCAGGCTTGCGAGATAGGACTCTTGTAGCGTGCCCCCATTTAACACAATTATATAATAACAATTAGCATTATATTTAATCAAAAGAATGAAACTATTAAAACTACTCTCATGTTACGGGAAAAAATATATATATATCAGGGCGCGACAAACCCGCTTGCCCGACGTCCCGGGGCAACCAAATTGAGCCGTCGGGCAAGTAAATCAAATTATCACTTGCCCGATTCGGGCAAGTGATACTTTTACAGTAATTTCCTAGTGTCCAAGAACTCTACCATTCACCCGTCAACTTCTTACCCGTCGTCAAAATCCAGAAGCAAAAAAGCGATCGTTCCGATTTCGAAAAAACTTCACAGACAGCTAGCCAGCTCAGCTAGCTCAGCGCGCATGCAACAGTGACACTTCAAGCCATGAATGCCGCTCTGCCTCCACGCACGGCCGGCCGTGAGCTAGCTAGAGACAGCTAGCGCGATCGTACCAGCTGCGAGCTTATTCGCGCTCTCTCTCTCTAGCTCTGCAGGCCGCACCGACAGGCCTTTGCTATTCTCTGATTGCCGATTGGTTGAATCACGCCAAATATGACGTCATTATTCTAGGGAAATGAACACGTGCGAATCGGAATGGAATAAACAACAGGGATTTTCTAGTAAGTACAAAAAGTCAAATGTTTGATATTTATTCATAATGACTGTTAATGATTGTGAACATATTATTTAAAACTCGCTGCTCATATAAATCAGATGAATGTTTTTGTCTCGTTTTCAATTTATTACTGCGGTCTCAAGATCCGACCGAGCGAGTCATTTTGATAATAGTATCGAGACCCCCAGAATATAAGCCGTTGTTGTTTTGTTTTCATGGTTTTAGCGACGTTGTTTAGTCTAGTTTTCGCATACTTATCCGAGATTTATCGTAAAATATCTTCAATATTATTATTTAGTAAGAATTTACAAATTTTGGCATGATATACATGACTGAATATTAAAAACTTAAACCTGCTTGAACCATTCTACCTTGCCGAGATTCATGTGAATCTGATTATTTATGGAGAATCAATAAAATGCGTTTTTTAAACCTTCAACCATCCTTTGTTGACCGCAGACCATTTTCTTTGACGTATTAGGTTATTATTCAGTACAGTTACACTGTACATGTATGTGCATTAATTTGCTATCTAAAACACTAACTTATCATTACGAGATAATAAATGCTTTAACCTCGAGTCCTTTTTCGCTTTAAAGTTTTGGGCAAGTGGAAATATTGTTTGGGCAAGTAAATTGAAAACCCACTTGCCCGACAGGGCAAGTGGTGAAAAAAATTCTTGTAGCACCCTGTATATATTACGGATCAATTGATTTGGTCGATCCAGTTCGATGGCACAAACACGGCACTACTGGACAAAAATCCTAATAATTACAGAGCTTGGTCTTGTTGCTCTGTTCGGCAACAGTTTGAGGATATGGAATCCCGCGAAAGAGTAGTACCGGTAATATGGCTCCTATTTGAGGGGAGCTATACTAAACAAAAATTGTAAGATTTATTATAAAATATTGATCTCCTTCCTTGGTCGTTCATTATAGTATGATTCATATACATTTCTGATGCGCTGGCCATTTAATTCAAAATAATTTGTGGAAATATCTCATGACTGAGGCAAAAAATAGTTCTTCTACAATTTCATTTGCTTATTGAAAAATAATCTCAACAACATAAGACTTCACCAGAAAAGTTATGTTCATACTTTTAACTACATAGGTAAAATATACTAACAGAATCTTGAATTTTGTTTGTTTAAGTGAATTGAATTTTCAACTGTAGTTATTCTTTTTTTTATTTATTTATTTATTTATTTATTTATTTTTTTTTGGGGGGGGGGGGGCTGAATTGTCCAATAATGATAAAGCAATGTGTTTCATGTTAAGGGTGAATGAACTACTTGATCACAGTCACCTCTGATCCATCTGCCCATGCAAACACATTCTCAGTGTTGTAGTCATGAAAACCAATCCACAGATATGCTCCTCCCATTCTAGCTCGCACTGCAAGAGAACACAAACATATTACCTCCAACTATGCCTCTAAATACGATGATAATAAATAGAAATTTACTGTCACATGTCAATCTTTAGGTTTTACATTTATTCTTATACATGTATTACCACATTTGTTGTAATATCTTTCACAGGAATACACTGCATGTACTTCTAACGTATAAAAACACATTACAACACCATTAAGGTGTGTTGACAATAGCTTACAGAAACAAATTATTGAAATTACAATCTCTTTATTAATTCATATTTTGTTTACAATCTTTGTTTATAGCTCTAATCTTGTAAATAATAAATTAAATGTGAGTTACACTCCACCGACACTAATACAAGTATCATAAGGGGTGAGAAGGAACAAATCTGGAAAGATTTCTGCCATATTTTTTCCCCCAGTAATCCAGACCTTGCTCATTGTTCAAAGAGGATGAATGAATAAATGAAATGCATGCAAGTGGTCTGCATCATGCCTGGGAAAAGAATTACGCCAAAAATGCCTACTAAACTTTGTTCCTATTCACTTACATTGTCTTAATTACCCTTTAAAGTAAAGTCATGTCTCTTAGTTTTACCATCAAAGCAAATGCAATATTTGTTCCCTTTATGCTCTACCGGTATATGCATGGCATTTGAGTTAGAAAAGCCTAAGTCAAGGAAATGGGATAAAAGGACCATTTAATTGTGACTCTTTAATAATCAACGAAAGTTGCCTACTTGCGTAGTAATTTAATAGGATGTAAAACCAGTGGTACCCATAGGCACACAGACACATTTCAATGTTTTCAAATTTACTGCGCTCTCACTTCACTAGCACACAAAATTGTTGCTACTTTTTTAAAATGATAATCACAAAAATTACATATTTGGGCACCTCCTACCTCAATATAAACATGGGCATCTCGCTGCCCAATATTGATGTGGTTGTCGCCTGAATATCAGAACTTTTAATTTCAGAAAGGGGGGGGGGGATCTGCAGCCTAGCAGGATGTGTCTTATAATGTAATTTGTTGTAATTTCACTACAAAAACAGTGTAAAAGATTTGTGTGCCAGTCCCTCCCCCTCCCCTATCCCTCCATGCGCCTTGGTCATACCTAAAATTTACGGTTTAAAATTAAACAACGGTCAGCAAAATAGCAAGATCTGTACATGAACAGATACTACAGCAAATAAATAAAAAGCAAGAACAAGTGAATGATGAAATATTTGTTAAAAACATTTAGAACACTTGTAAAAACACATATAAAAGCATATCAAAAAATAAAAATGAGAAATTAATGTTGATTATGAAACAAAATCTCACTTGAAAGAAAGTTTTGCTCTGTTTGGGAGTGAATGCTGGTCAAGAAACCACCTAAGGTTTGGCAGTTTGTATCAGCATCCTTGTAATAGCGTGCCGTCCGATCAAAGTAAAAACAAGAATCCCCATTCAGTGTCCAGCCATCATCACAGGTATGCACACCTGCATGGATATGATAAAAAATGTGATAAAAAATGTGATATTCGGCTTGAGATACCATGTCCATAGGCATAGCCAGGGGTCCCCAAAGGGCCTTGGCACCCCTGTTCATCCACTAAAATATGTTCATGAATTGAACTAAGGAGTCAAGATTTTAACCATACCCCCTACCCCAGGTGTCTGTGGGTGTGTGTGTAAATATGTGACTCTGCAAGTTTGCATGTTACCCTCCCGTTTGTGCTCCTCTCCCTCTTTAACAACTCTGTCCCTCGATCAAGCAACTGTGTCCCGATGTCCTCCAAAGAAGAAACATCTTAAAGCATTTACATTCTTAGGTTAGTCTATATTGGTCACTGTAAAAATGTTGTGCTCTATCAACAAGAGAATGAATGCTTTTTTCCAAAGTTCCAAAAGTATCATAAATCACATAATGTTCAGTAATAATTGACTTACGGTATATTCAGGCATCTGCTGCTGCACTCTTTATCAGTACTGTTCAAAATTCTGACCATTGGAGGGTTTCTCCCACCCTCCTCTGTATTCATATAGTACTATTACTCAATTAATAATGCTTTGTTTATATTCCTAATATCATGAAACATATTCTCATATCAGCAAAAAATACAAGAGTTCTCTGTGGAAACTATGGGTATGGAGGATATAACATTATTACCTCTACATCCTTATCCAAGTCAAGCAGCCATAATGAAAAAATGGTCCCAAGCACTTCCATATTTATTGTAAAATGAAACCCAATACTAAACATGGGTATGGAGGTTACTGTTTTTGCAAATGGAAATTTTAGTGGTTGTTTCTCTTTTCAACTGTTTCATAAAAATAAGATAATCGATTAAAGATTAATACAAGTATTATTTGAACTATAAAATTAAGCAAAATGAAAGTAAGAAAATGTATGCAGTTATTAACTTTCCAAACAGAGAAATAGATCAATGGACTATAAGTGGTAAATACAGGTTTGTCACAGAAGTATGAACATTAATTGTGAGAACTTACCAACTGCTGGATCTAAAATTGAAATTGGTATATCTGTAAATTAAAAAAAATATATTGAAAAAAGATTGACCAAAGTTTAAAACTGGACATATGTCTTGCAATCTATCATATTGTAGGGGTCTGAATTACATTTCATTCATATTGAATGTTCAGGAGAAATTGATAATGCATTTACTTTATATACTTCAAATATAGAATCACTGAAAAAAAAATTGGTCTATATGTTAGAGGTTCCATGTTAACTAAAGTCAAAATGTTAGCTCCATATATTACTTCTATACATACGGAAAGTCTAAATTGTATTAAAACAAATTTTTCAATGGTTATTGCCCTCAAAGTTTAATTGATAAACCAACACAACTATGGTGAACAAACTAATGACCGCTCAGCAAAGTCAATGGGATTTTGTGTGTAATTTGCCGGTCAATAATAATACACAGTTAACCAATGAACAAATATTATTGCCCATTAGAAAAGTCAATGAGTCTAGTCAACACATCCATACGCTCTTGCATAGACAAGGGCCCTCAAGAATCCAAAGCCTGACTTGGGTTCTGTATTATTCCATCTATTATTATCTAACTGTTAACCAATAGAATACCAAGTGAGGTTTCTTGAGGTTAAATTTTCACATTCTAGTGATTAGTACCCTTCATTACCCTTTCAGATGCAAAGGTGGCTCTTTGCACTCAAAATGTTATATTGTTTCTTACAAGCTTTAATAGTGTCTTCCTTCTTGAAATTCAAAATGAGGTTTGATACCATGGACCACTCAGGAACACGCAGAAGCAATGACCAAAATCAATAATGATAACAAACTTGACTCATAAAACCTTTGTTGTGGAACATGTTTGTAAAACTACAGGTATTGTAAAGTTAAAATGTAAAAGTACTGCACTGTGCATAGCTGTTTTTTAACAAACAGTGTAAAGGTTATGGTTATAGTTATGGCAACATTTTTATTAGATGAATAGATTGTTTATATCCACAAAATTTAAGTTTTTAGGCAGACAAGACCCAAATTATAATCTGCACAAAGATCATAATGAAGTGATGTAGTTAAGACTAATCACAATGTTCTGACCCCAATAGTCCTTTTACTCTGTAGATGTGATTGTTACAACAAGTTATCGTCCTGGTGCCAGATCCATGAAACTGTCAGAAATTCTTGGACATCCAATACAAATATGTAATAGAATAAGCAAGGGTTCAATGGGACGTTCATATAAAGCTCACACTGACAGTTACGAGAAACTAGCTTCTGGACTGCATGTAGAGCTTGAGACCAGAGATCTTGATTACATCACTTCCACGATGTGATACATGTAAGAAACCTCGATACATGTGAGAAACCTTAAAGCATTAGAGCTGAACTTACCAGCCTTGATCTTGCAAATGTAGGCATTTGTTGATTCACAGTCTGTACTACTCCATTTACCTGTCCCATCACCTTTGACAGAAAGTGAAAATATGTGGTCTTTTAAGAACATGAATCAAATAATCCTCATTTTATCATCTTTTTCAATTTATTGCTTTGAACTAAAACAATGAAGTAAAGAGTACATCCTGTATAAAGCAGTAAATGTGGTTTAACATGCTAAGAAATCAATACATGTAAATAACTTGTGAAAATATGTATAGCACTAAACAAGAAATTTGTCTTGTTTTATTTTCTTTGGTATGGGTTTTGATTGGTCCCTTCATGTGTGATGTCCAGGGGGTGTTTCACAAAGATCCAAAGTTGGACTTAACAATTATGGAAAGCCGTTAGCATCTATACAAATATTTTGAAAAAGTTATTTTAAAAGGGATAAAATGTTGATTCATATCATTCATATGTTCTTGATGTGGAATTTATAAAAAGTCTAAAATACTTGGATTTTTGCTTTTTAATATATTTTATTTTAAGCCTACAAATGGCTCTCCATAATTTGTAAGTCCAACCTAGAGTTAAGTTCGACTTAGGATCTTTGTGAAACAACCCCCATATGTGGTAAGATATTTCTGTGTGCTTACACAACATGAGCTCTCATACCACAAGTACAGCAAAATGGATTACATTTCGCTAAATATCTAATACAGACTCCAATGATGGCTAATCAGATTCAGAATCATGGAAAATATGTGTATGTCGCCAAAAAACACGTTAATATCTTCAGTAGATCATATGTCAAATAAAACTAACTATGACTCAAGTAACGTCATTATTCAGTAACACAATCATACATACATACAATGATATTACATACCATTTCATTGATTTGACATGGAAATACACTTACATGTAGTGACCCCCGACCCCGACCCCCTGACCCTTGACCCTTGACCCCCCTCCCCCATGAGCCCAAGCCCCCTCACTCTCTCCCTTGCCAAACTATCACACTTTTGGGGTAAAAACATGTACAATTGTATTCATCTACTTGTGTCCCCCTAGAAAATGCATTAATCTTTTCTTTTTCATTTCATGTGTGTGCAATTTTTATCAAGTTTATGACAACCAAAAAATACCTGAACTTGAAACTATTTTTAAATCAATGCAGCAGGAATACATGACAGTAATGTGTTATAACCTACCTGTGGTGATATAGATACAGTCTTCACTTGTAGCTCTATTGGTTGGTTGATTGGTATCCCAGTTGGAGTAGCTAAGAGAGCTACCCTCTACCCACACAAATGAGCCATCAGTTTCAGTATCTGTAAATAATACAGCATAGTAAAGATTACATTGAATACTTGTCATGGCAATGAATAAATCCCTACCAGGTGGAGAGCTAGTGGCAAATGTAGATTAATTGTCTTGCCAAAGGACATTGGTACCGCGGCAGGACTTGAACCACAAACCATGTCATCCACATGCAGTTCAAGAACATATCCCCTAGATCACGATACCTCAACAGACCATGACACACAATAACATTGTAAAAAAGAACACTATCTTGTAGCAATTACAAAGGAAGACTTGATGTATATTGTTAGGGTATGGAATGATCAACATGAAAAGCATCAACTCAATCTAACTGAAAATCACTTGCCCTTCCCATAGAAATGGGCTACACACACACATGCAACTTGGAGTTTGGTCCAAACTTTCAGCTATTTCCCATCATGTTTTGAATATTAATGTGTTTTTTTAAGGGGTTAATACTTTTTAGGGAACATTTCTATCATGACATGCTTCCAAGCTAACATACAAAGAATGAGAAAGAGAAAGTTTCTCCATTGTTTCTTTCTTTATTAAGCATTCAGATTTAGGGGATGGATATTAGTCTTATGTCTATTTATCAATGCTTGGCATTTCTTTCCTCCTAAAAGTACTTTGATCATCAATATGCCTGCTCACCCGAGAGACCCAGCCATGAACTCTCCACAGCAATATCATGATAATCTACCATCTTGTCCACAATATAGGCATTCTCTGCTGAGCTGAGGCTTGTGAGAAGATAAGCACCCTGTGCCTCACAGGTAAACTTGGCCGTCTTCCATATAGTAGGAAGTTGGATGTTGAATTGGTAGCAGCTGCCGCTGTAGAGATGCCACCCAGCGGGACAGGAACCTGTAGTTTGATGGTAGTGTAGGGTTATTTATTATTAAAGGAGAATTAACCTTTAGATTATGAAGCATTATCATGACATAGAGAGTAAAAAAAATGTTTCATTTGATATAAAAAAGCATTGCTGTAGGCCAAATAATATTGTCTTGCAGGTACAATAAAGAGACCCTACTTTGCCATATTTATGATGTCGTCTGCTCCCCAAGGAAGCTGCCATTTTGTCAAAATTTCCCTTCAAAACTTCCGGGTTGTGACATATCTTAAGGAGAACTGATGTAGCATGCGGTGCGCTTATAAGATGCAATACATGTCAAAGGTGGTGTACTGCCAAGTGTTTGGTTGTAATAATTGTTCCTCAAAAACCAGCTGCTTTCCTTCCTTTTAGAAGAACGATGAGAAGGACGTTCATCTGTGAACTCAAGAACTGAAGTGTGACCAGCCGGGTGAGTACCAAGCTTTTATATACGGTGTGTGAAGTCGTCAAGGCGGAACTAACGTTTAGCGACTGGTACGAGTGTGTTCCGGGTGCTAAGTAGCCGGTTCCTATACCAGGTGAGGACATGGCGAGGACCCGGCAAGAGGGAACAAGGTGACACTAGCTGGTACGAGGGCGTTGTAAGTGGTAAGGACCCGGTACGGAGAGGGAATGGAAACATTAAGGACATGGTGGACAAATTTAACGAAAATAAAATCTTTGCGGCCATAGAGATTTTCACCGCTTGTCATTTAAATTAAACGGTATGGGCCAGTTGGTATATAGCCGGTGCTATGTGATAGAACCATTAACTACTCGGTGCAAGCCAAAAACTTTCTTTACAACAATTGAAACTTCTCCCAGGAAGCATGACATTCAATAATAAAAGTAACAGTAATTTAACATTAATAATTTAATATTATTATTATTTTTCAAAATAACATATGTTTACATCCCACCTTCAGGTCTTTCACACATGAATTTTTTTGCATTTGTGCATGCAGCTGTACTCCATTTTCCATCTGTAGCTGATTGCGTTATCTCCACACAGTCACCTCCGGCTGTGTAATACCTATAGACAATGACAAGGGCAAAATAAAAACCATTTTACATATAAGTGAAGAGAGTGGGGGTAGGAGAGTAGGCCCTACTTTTCCTCACTCCACTTCATCTGTGTGTTCTTAGATGTCGAAATTTTTAGCATATTACAGTTATGTCATCTTGTTTTGCCGTAGTAGTTTTTGAAGGGGTTTCTCTCATTATTTGTGAACAGGGCCCTGTTTTATAAACACTTGGGATTAATCGCAACAATGTACATTAGAGATACGAAACTGTAACCTAGCAATTGGTTAGAGGACTTGCGATTGATTCAGATCAATTGTAACCCTGTATTAGATATTAGATGGAGCCTTGGACTTTATTTCCTTTTTTCTTTCTTCCTATGATATATTTTTTTCTCCCACCGCTGCGACCATATTTCAATAGCCATAGCTAACTTCTCACAAGCGTTATTCACAGATGAAACAGTAACCACCTTCAAAACTGTGGCATAATTAAATTAGACAAGCATAATGCAATTAACACATAAAGCTAATTTTGTCATCCTTACTTGCGATTCACTTACACAGAAAATTATTTAAATTTGTTGCAGCAATTTTTCAGCTAGTTTCTTTATGTTTTATGTGAGTGAATAAAGGTTTGAAAGTGAATTACACATGAAATGATGCCAGTTGATCTACACCATGTCTGACTAACTCTCAAGTCTAGAATCATGTCAAAATGTATCAATCTATGCACCCAATGCAGCCCATGCAACATGTATTTGCACACAAATCACAAATACCGTAAATCTCCTTGTATAAGGCCCAATTTTTTGCCGCCAAAAAAATTGAAAGTCAGGGGTGCGTCTTATACACAGGTACAATTTTTTTTTATAGATTTATGACGCTATGCCTGGCAATGTCTTCCAACTCAGTTATTGGTGTGTTGAGTCACCACTCGGAAACTAGAACAACACTCAAATTTGTCTGTCATCTTGGTTTGAAAGTAATCTTTTTAATAGATCTCAATATGTAGTTTATAATAATAAATTAATAATTCCTCCAATTTTGCTTTGGCGTACCACAAGGTTTTATCCTAGGTACTCAACTGTTTTTAATTTACATTAATGATCTTACACATTCTTCAAAAAGCAACATTGTTACTTTTATTTGTGACAAGTTCACAAGCACAATTTTTTTTTCTTTTGGGGGGGGGGGGGGGTCTTCAAAATAGGGGTGCGCCTTATACACAGGTGCGCCTTATACACTGAGATTTACGGTATTCATCTTCCTACAGCATTCCAAGTTTCTGCGCAAGTATTAAATTCAAGTTTAATCTGCATACTGGATTTACAACGGCCCCTGGTCTACCACTTTTATAGCCTCTTGTCGATGGCCCTCGCCCTGTTGGAGTCTGTAAATTCTGGCCAGCGAAGCAAATCAGAGAACCGAGGCGCTTGCGCTGAGGGCCTCTTAACAAGTGATCTGAATAATATATTCATGAGACCCGATTTCCTACTGAATTATGCATGTGTATGTGAATAATGTAACCACCGCAGCGATTGCCCAACACAGCTCCGGGAGATAGGCGGCCAGTCTCACTCTCAAGGAGGAAATCCGCACAGAGCGGTAGATATTACGCCATAGTAGCTCTCTCTCTGATTGGATGATTTTCACCAAACTTCAGTTGGGACGGAATATTCTCCAAACAATGAAAAACATAAGAAATTCAGATCACTTGTTAAGAGGCCCTCAGCGAAAGCGCCTCAGTTCTCTGGCTCGCTGGCCAGAATTTACGGACTCCAACAGCGCGAGGGTCATCGAAAAGAGGCTACCACTTTTACCACATAACCATACAATAAGAGCAGTTCTACCATCACACTTCTAATCACAGCTAAGAAACTCACCGATCGTCCGGCTGGTCTGTGTCCCACTTGGTGTAAGTAAGAGACTCTCCCGTTGACCACTTGTAGTTCCCAGCAGCTCCACCAACCTATTTCAAATGAATGAATGAATGAGACAACATCAATAAAAAAGAATAACTTTGATTTTTAAAAGAAAAAAGTGTTGGTACAAACATGGACCTATTACAAATGGACATTCATTGTTTTCTTAATGAATTCATTGTGAATGTCTTCGTCAATGTCATCTCAATAACATTCCGTACATGTTTCTTCTCTTTGATCTCATCATGGTCGCCGCCAATAAGCTGGGACAGAATCAAGATAGTGATTTAAAACATGTTAATCTACATGCGCAGAAGATAATAAATCGCTTAAATCATGGAAAATCGATGTGCAATTCTGGCTTATAATCGGAAATTGTTGTTCCGTGTACTGTACATGTATTTCATTTTGAAAAACATGTTGATATTACCAGATAGAGGTTATTTCTGGATTTTTTGGTTGTGATTTAAAATCCTGTTTCCCCCTATTTTCTCATAATATTCCAGAGTTACAACGCACAGGGCTGATACAGATCATGGCCTTCTAATTGTTTTATAAGGTCATAGGTGTGTGCGAAAGTTTGCGAATCAGTAATAATACATTTCATATCACCAATATCGTCTGCTTGTCAACTTTGCTGCTCCCCATTGAGGATGCTTTTATTTAAGACACACTCTAACATAGCACATCATCCAAACAAACCAAAGAGAGTGAAACTGCTTCTTTGTCAATGACCGAAACGCTTACGCAGTCGTTATTGTTAAAACAGCTGAATGTTCTCATTAAGATGCACATAATCAGAAGGCGGCGACTATCATTGGATCAAAGAAAGAATCACATTGAATGTTCATCCGTAATAGGTCCATGGTACAAATGAAAGTTAGTTGAAGTTGTGAGTCAGTCTAGTAAAGGGACTTATCACATATATATATGGTATACATGATAAAATATGTCGGCCATCATGTGGTGTGTGCTAGCTCCTACCAACATAATTTACAGCTAGTTTTGTATTTGTAAAATTTGCCTTTACTATCAGTGCAAATAACTACCATCAGTGATAATGTCACATGTTCCTCATATCTTCTTAAACCAAAACAAACTAATCTCCCTCTGCCAAATTATTTGTATTATTTGAATGTTTTTAGTGCATGATTATTCTATTGTCATAGAACTAATCAAGACCAAAATAGGGCAATTTTTCTAAGCTATTGTGTTGCAAAAAGTATTCCTTCTGATGGGTGCCCATTGTTTTGAGCCGATCTGCCTTTTTAGCAAACGTGCGACCGTACAGAGAATGTACCTGGTTATATCATAAAATATGAATGATAAAAGGTACACAATTAAATTGCAGTTTATTTTCCAGTTGGGCCCTTAAAGCTCCTTATGAAATGCTTGACACATACGATCATAATTCACTTTTGTGACTTACCGTAATTAAAGGTGTATTAACTGCACTTTTTTGCCACTGAAAAACATTAAAAGTCGGGGGTGCGTCTTAAACACGGTACACACAAAAAACAAAACAAAAAATTAAAGTTTAGATTTATGCCCCTCCACCTGGCGCTATGCCTGGCAATGTCTCCCAGCTCAGTAATCGGTGTGTTGACTCACGACTCGGAAACTAGAACAACACTTAAATTTGTCTGTCATCTTGGTTTGAGTGTAATCTTTCTGATAGATCTCAATATGTAGTTTATAATAATAATTCCTCCAATTTTTCTTCTATTACATGGCCTACCACAAGGTTCTATCCTAGGTCCTCTACTGTTTTTTAATTTACATTAATGATTTTACACATTCAGCTGCACCTCGCAGTTAAATGAAAGGCCTTCCCGCGTGGGTTTTTTAACAAGGACCTGGCTTGCTGCCGACACAGAGTCGGCAAAATTTTTTTTAGGGCGAAAAAGAGGGGTGCGGTTAATACACAAGGGCGGTTTATACACCGTTAATTACGGTAACCATACAGTTTTTCAAACTTGCTCCATGAATATAGAATGGGAGGTTAAAATTGTGTCAAACTCATGTTGAACTCCAAAACACATTCTGTTATTTTGAACTTCTTTTGTTATTCTTATGTCATTTAGATTTTGGTGTCGTGTAAAAAATATGTTTTTCTATTAAAATCCATAGTAAAAGCCTGTAAACACTGTATTCTTACCGTATCACTCAAGCCGAGCCATACGTTGGCCTTTGATACACTGACTCGATTAGCAACCATGGCCTGCTCTTCATCAGAACCGATCACGATGAGAGTTCCACCCACCCCGCGACAGTAGTTGTCAGCATTAATCCAGGTTCTTGTAAAGCCAAAGAACTTGAAGCATTTGCCAGCTACACCATACCAGCTAGAACCCTCGTCGCAAGCTAGAGGGAGTTCTGGGGGTGTAAAATAGTGACCAAAAGTCTCAATCTTATGATTTAAAGCACATTTTAAGCCAGTTAACAGCATTTGAAAAGGTATTCACTGTTGAATTTTGTAATTACACAATTTGTTAAAGGGGGCAATATACAACTTTTAAACCCCAATATAAAATGTTCATAAAATGTAGAGTACAATCAGTACATGCTGTAATAACAGTAAAAATATTGGCAGTCTAATAGTTTATGATCCTTTTACAAATCGACTTTGGAAAGTTGACTGATCCCTGACATCAATATCATGTTGAAATATACCTCTAATCTTAATTAATATCAAGTCCCTTGTACCCAATAAATGATTTGTTACTTTTTATCGAGTACTTTCAAGCTATTCCTTACCTTGTAATAAAATATTCCTTTTGTTTTTACAAGAAGTGAATTCAAACTTTGAGCTTGAATTTCTAATTTCATCTGGACTAAATGGAGCATTAAGGATTGTACATCTTTGTAATGTCATAAATGACTGTAAATGGACAAAATCTAATCTTTACAGTCTTTTATACGAATACTATATTTCAAGCAGAATAAAGTCAAAGAATATTCAAAATAATCTTGAGCTGAGAAAGCGATGATGGAAAATATTGTCTTTGAAGAGCCAGAAGGACCAGTTTCTTGAGGTTACTCCCTTCCGAATCCACACAGATGTTATGTTCTAACAAAATCAAGGAAATATACAGTGAATATCCAAGACTACAAAATAATGCTCTCTGCCAAAGAATTGGATAGAAAATATGTAAGAGCCAAGTAATGCGCAATAAAATATGAGCTAGTAGTGCCAATTTACAAAGACACATGAGGCCTCAAAAAAGGGCTGCTTTTCAAGGAACGTGATTTCCCAGCAATTTCCCAATTAACATTCAAGATTCATAAATATTAATGAACTCCAGGGTTGTGTTTTATTACTGCTGTTAAGGCAAACATTGTAAGCATAAGATTGCTTACAAATTTGGATCAAATTGGCATTTATTTTCATTATTATATTTCTATTACAGGTTGAGTCTGAGTTGTGTTGTGTAACATTTTTTAAACAAATATTTCATTTAATGGGACAAGTAGACCTAGGTTTTATAAAACAGAGGGGACAATATTTATACTGAATATTTGCTGAGAAAAACTATTTTGGGGGTGTATTTTTTATTTTGGGGGCCTTTTCACTCCAAAATTCTCAGACAAAATAAAAGAAGTCATTATCTTAAGTGAAGGGGCAAGGTGGTTTACTAAAGGTCTGCCACTTGGGTTTCAAATAGGAGTAAAGGATTGTGCTCCCCCTTCCCCTCCGCATCTACATTTGCCACTGCTCTATCACTTCTATGGCAAACTTGGCATATATATATATATATATATAACACGTATATAGGATGAAATCAGGGTTGCATATTTAATTTCAAGTTATAAGATGAAAACACCAAATAATAAGCAGAGTATATGTTGTAATCTGTATGATGTTCATTTATCTGTATATTGAACTACCTCCATAGCCATGAAATAAGTAATTTCATTAAACGAAATAACATCACACAGCATATGTTACTGAACAAATATGTTAGAATATACACCAAAAAAAATAAGTGTTTGTAAAAATAAAAATGAAATATGACTACTGTGCTAATAACTATTTTTGATGAAAGGAGTACTATATTTAGCTGAGAATATAAGTTCAATTATAAATTTAAACTACCAGTTTATACAAATTTGAATATATACGAATAAGCAACAGTCGATATATTGATAAGACAAGGCATATCTATCGGAAATCCAAAATGAGAATCAAAGAATAAATTCATCTTCCTCTTAATTTCACATGAATGGTCATAACTTGTGAAATCAGCAAATATCATATCATCATCCCAGCTTGTTTATAGGCAGATTATGCCGGTTAACAGAGAAAGGCAAATACATGAACATTCAATAACCAGTATTACCATTGTACTTTTAATGTGTAATAATTGTATTTGTATATGGGCTTGTGCAATATCGTTCTACATGGTTACCTGTGAGGGCTTGCATGCCTCTGGACAGCAGTGAAGCATTTCACTTTTGCAAACCCTGGCCCATAGGTAAGCATTTCTTTCCTTTTCTCCTTGCTTCTCATTTCCTTCTCTTTCTCTATTTCTTTTTAAAGATGATTGTATTTACATGTACTATGTTGACTTATATATATATATATATACTGTGAATTTCTGATTTTATGGCCAAATAAATAATAAATAATAATATGTACCGGTACCACTAGTAGCAAATGCATAACATGAGTGATTTAGCAGTTTCAGCAAAGATGCCCACTATATGCTTTGAAAAACAAAATATATATTTATACATATATAAACTATGGCTTTTCACTTGTTGGTTTCAAGTTGATAATTTCCTTTACCAGTAGAAGGGGTCAAGTCTTGACTGAAAGGAATATATATATGATATATATGGATTTCTAGGAAAGTGCATCCAGCAAGAAATGCTACAACAGCTCAATCAGGCAGGAGTTAGATCTCATGTACCAGGGGTATCCATATCAGGAACATTGTTTTTCATATACACCAGAGGTAAAGTTCTGGTAGCAAAACAAATCTTGGAATAGAAACCTATTTATCATGGTCTCCTCTTGCTCTATTTGTATAAAAACTACATGTATGCCATATATTTTCAAACAAAAATTACTGAAACTGACAACATTCTATCTGATCCAGATTTCAGATTTACTCAATCCCTGCTTATATAGCATAATTGCAGGGCTCTCCAGAGTCCCACTGTCTGCATGCACTGACAAGCAAAATTGGCGAACACATGAAATTAAGGAGAAATGATCATATCCCAAAACTAAAGTAAGAGAAGATAAATAGTAGTCCTGTAAAAATTAGAAGATAAGAAAGGGTTGATTCGAATGATCTGCAATTTTATAATTTATGTAGTGGGTATACACATGCAAGAGTGATGAATACTGATCTGTGAATCATGGACATGAAAAACATGGAACAGATCTGAAGCATGGCATGACGAAGGGACAGCTAAAATATGGGACCATATAAATCCATCTCAGAAAAACTTAAATATAGGAACTGAAATAGCATAGATCTGTGACAGAGAGCTAGTTGATTCAGAGAAGTGCTAAGGTGTCCACACTAGAAACAAGCTGAACTCTAATGCTTACCATTCAAAGAGTGTAGCTCGAGTTGTATGATCAAGCAGTCAGCATACACTTCATATGAGTGATCAATGAATGAATTTTTTATGTAACAACATGGAGGCTGATCACCGTAGCACCCCCTTTTTTCTAGCGCGCGCTAGACCGCGCTATCTCTCATGGACCACCCCCAAGAGGTGCTCCAGTGGCACGCCGTTTTGGCTCGCCGTGGCTCGCTGTTGGGTGGACCGAAACGACGTTGTACCTCCCACACCGCAGAGACTGCACGGCCTAGCGCGCGCTATCTCTGCCGGTGTGAACAGCCTCATGGACCACATGTATCCAGGGCAACATTCACAAATGTGTAGTTGTTGTAATGGAGGAGTTGTGGCTATGATACCAGCTGTGCTGTGGCAAGCCTATAGATACAGAATGCTTCAAATGTTCATGTTGACGATGTTGTTGTAACATGGAGATCTCTCTAATAAGGTGGTCCATTCAACTTGTTACAAGACCGAGACTGCCAAGATGCTATATGTCTGGTCTACCTTACACTGTTGTATGGATCCGAATGTTGGAAAATAAGCCAGGATATGCAGCAGCACTGGGAAGCTACTGACATGTGGTGTCTCAGTTGAATGGTGAAGATACCATAGAATGAAGATGTTCGAAATGAAGATGTCTTATAAAGAGCAAATTCTAATTATGATTGATTGCGAAAAAATGAATACTCTTCAGATCCACTTCCTTGCATGGCCATGTCCTGTGGAAGAATGCTTGGGAGATAGTTGCCCTTCTCTGGATACAATTGGAGGACAGCTAGAGCACAAGGAAGACAATGAATGACTTACCTCTCTTGGCTCTGAGATACCCCTGGTATAAGGCATATTGATATCAGCCAGCAGAAAGAAAAACACATTCAATGCCAGATATTGACAATTAAGCAACCTTACTGGGTGGATGTTGTATTGCATCTGATAGTATATGAGGGCATTAACTGGGAAGATAGCCAAGCCAACATCCCATCGAAAAAAACAATATTTACAACACAAGCCAATAATGTAGAAGTCATTGCCTCTTCCCTGTCTTAGAGAACTGGCAAGGGGGAACAACACAGGTTCAATCGCAGTATTTCCATCCAATAAAACATGTTTATCTTATATATTTTGATTAACCTTCAATCCCGACTCATACCAAATTTGATTAAATCATTTTGTCGCTCAACTTTTAAAAATTTGATTTGCTTTTATTTGTGCCAATGTATAAAATTGTAGTTTATGTAGCCTTGAGAGTAGGTTTGGCACTTTGTTTTCCTGGTTTATTAGGTGTATTTGTGGTATTAACAGTGTGCCATTTACCAAAAGGCATTTTAAAATACAATGTCACTATCTCCATGCATTCTCTTCATCTGCTGTGCTATTATCTTCAAGAAGAATGACCCACTGCTTTACCAAAAATCAATGTGACAAGCTCATATCCATACTCAGTTTGGAGTGCTTATATAGCGCCTTATTTGAAGATATAATTACCCAAATGTGTGCAAATGTGTGTCTAGCTCTCGCATCGTTGACATTTATTTGCTGATGATCAATAAGTTTTACCAAGAGAAATAATCATAGTCTAAAAATGAGCCTTTCCCCCTTGCATGAACTGGGATATACGAAGAGACGTACCATTAGTCCTTTCACAAAAGTAACACAAACTTCTAGTGCATTTTATATCTCTCCATCGACCTCCTGATCGCAGAATTGCACAGTCCTGTCCTGTCCAACCGCCGTTGTTAGGTTCTCCAGTGGCCCAATGTCTGCGATGACAGGCAAAAAGGCAAATGGGTCACGTTGCAGGGAAATGCCCTAATTGGTCTTAAAGCTGCATGAGTATATGTATACCATGTTAATCTTGCAGGCGTTGATGTGCGTGGGATGCCATTTGAATATGATTCATGTAAGGTATACAAGTTGATATGCAATGATGATGTTTTTAGTATGTTCGATGAGTAAATCATGGCCATAGCATGGAAACAAAATATCACAAATATTTAAGTTGAAGGGACAGCTAATAATGTGATAATATAGTCCCATCTCAGGAGCACTGATAAAGAAGGGATTTGAAATGAGAGCAAGATCGAAGCATGGATTAGCATAACTATGATGCTGCATCTCCTTTTACATGTGGACTTCGCAATCTACCGACTGAGCTATCGCGCCTCACTGGATGACAACATACCATTACTCCTTTCACACAAGTAAGGATAAGTGAGAGTACATGGTACATCATTCCACCCAGCTGTTGACCATACGGTTGCACAGTCCTCGCCGGTACTGTGATCGTTAGGCTCGCCGGGGAACCAGTGACTGAGATGACAAGAAAAACACAAAAGGGTCATAATTGTAACTGCCCAGATCCCAATGCCCGAGCACATGAATGTCGATCCAATATAAAAAAACCTCAGATTATTTACATGTATATATATAAAAGGAAGTGGCAACTTCCAAATTCTTAATGTTTGAGTACATAAATATAAGTATAATATAAATTAAAATATAGCAACAATTTAATTGTGCATTAGCAGCACATATTTCCAATGGCTACATGTTTGGAATGACATTTTGGGATTATATGAGTGTCTGGGTCACCATTGGGCAAGTACTTTATGAGCATGCACACAAAGAATATTGCTTTATATTGCATGTCTAAATGTAATCCCATGATTCATGTAAGGTATACAAGTTGATATGCAATGATGATGTTTTTAGTATGTTCGATGAGTAAATCATGGCCATGGAAACAAAATATCACAAATATTTAAAATGAAGGGACAGCTAATAATGGGATAATATAGTCCCATCTCAGGAGCACTGATAAAGAAGGGATTTGAAATGAGAGCAAGATCGAAGCATGGATTAGCATACACTTCGCAATTTCATCAAGCAAAGTACCAAGGACTGCATGCACACTGGCAACAAAAGAGGGATTTCATGTAATACTTGTAGATTTTTTTGTAGGTTTTTTATCTGAAATTGTTAACAATTGATGAAAAATTGATTTTAGATTTTGGCTGTGACTTAATTGTTCTATTTATATGACATTGATCGTTGTCATGTACATTTTCTAGAATGTATTTAAGTAAGTATTGTCTGTTGGGAGCCAGGGGAGTACAAATAATACAATAATTCCCCTGGCTCTCAACAGAGAGGTTACCGTAAATTATATTAAATTGTTATGTTATTTATTTTATTTGTAGTTATTTGTCTATGATATGTTAATGTAGTGTTATATTTTATACAAATGTGAGCCTTCATTTTATTTTGTGCATGACAATAAAGAAACTCAATTCAATTCAATTACATCAATTCCAGGGCGCCCACACACAAGAAAATTTGTATAAAGAATCGGCGTATAAATTCCAGGGCGTCCACACACACAAGAAAGTAATCCTGAAACTCGGTAGCGAAACGTCGTATAGGTGCTCAGTTGGCTACTGCAGTCATGAAACGGAAGCAGAAATGGGAGGTCAGGTCCCCTTTCGCGAGCTGTCACGTTAATTAGCCACGCCCAGTTATACCCAGCGTATAAATTCCAGGGCATCCACACACACAAGAAAGTAATCCTGAAACTTGGTAGCGAAACGTCGTATAGGTGCTCAGTTGGCTACTGCAGTCATGAAACGGAAGCGGAAATGGGAGGTCAGGTCCCCTTTCGCGAGCTGTCACGTTAATTAGCCACGCCCAGTTATACTGTTCTCGTTCGATCATTCGTCCACACACAACAAATTCTGTGATTCTTTATCGAGTTCTAGTTCAAAACGATGCCCAGACCCGCGTTTCGTTATACAACGTTTCATTATATGACGTATCGTTAGTAAGCGTACACACACAAAATTTCATTGTATCCCGAAACGGTATAACTATACCGTTTTGGGATGGTCATACAATGTGGACGAAGTGTATTTGACCAAGCCTAATTTTGAATTTAGAGTGGCAAATGTAGATTAAGATTTTGCCGAAGCACATTGCATGGTCCAGCATTAGGGATTCAAGGCCCATATCATATCCTGCCTGTGGTTAACATTCCAAAGACTCATCCACTAGACCATAATACACCTGTATGATGATCCATGAATTCTTGACAGACATGCATGTACTCACAAGCAATATTCTTGCTACCCCTCTCCCTCGATCCCCCCCCCCCTCCCCTCCCCCTCATCTTCAAGCTGCAGTGAAGGTATTGACATACCATTACTCCTTTCACACAAGTAAGAAAGAGTGTTAGTGCATGATATATCATTCCATCCACCTGATGACCATACGGTTACACAGTCCTCGCCGGAGTAGTCGTTAGGCTCGCCGGGGTTCCAGTGACTGAGACAACAAGAAAAACACAAAAGGGTCATAATTGTACCTGCCCAGATCCCAATGCCCGAGCACATGAATGTCGATCCAATATAAAAAACCTCAGATTATTTACATGTATATATAAAAGGAAGTGGCAACTTCCAAATTCTTAATCGAGTACATAAATATAAGTATAATATAAATTAATATATAGCAACAATTTAATTTTGCATTAGCATGCAGCACATATTTCCAATGGCTACATATTTGGAATGACATTTTGGGATTATATGAGTGCCTGGGTCACCATTGGGCAAGTACTTTATGAGCATGAACACAAAGAATATTGCTTTATATTGCATGTCTAAATGTAATCCCATGAATTTCAAGATGAAGGGAAGTTTAAAGACGGGTTATGTAAACCACTCTATATTTCTCTTTGATGATAAGGGTACATATGGTCAATGAAAATAAAAGAGGAATAATTTAGCTCTGATGGAAACCTGCCGCTTTTGAAAAGAGCTCTGAAAACAATAAAATACACACAAATTACTGCAATTAAGAATAGCACATTGAAAATTTTTGCTACAGTAAAAACGGGAAAAAAAATCATACTGGAAGGCATACATAATATGGACAAAGAATAAAATGGTTAATGTAAAAGCCAGATATATTTGAAATGTGTTAAGTTGCTTTTTATTGTTTTATGTGTGTATATATATATTCATGAATATGAAACAGTTATATACAATATACTTACAATACCTGTACAAAAAACATTAGGAATCAGTATTATTGTTCAAATGATAATATCTAGATATGCTTGGGTGGGATTAGAATGTGCAAGGTATAAATAAGATTAATATTGAGGATATAATACATGCATGGAGGATAACACAGAATCTAACATACATATGCTACCACTCCAGAGCCATAATAGAGGACGCACTGGCTGACCACTAGATCTGGAAATCTGTTGTACGGCATTTGCTCCTGCAACAACTGCTCCTCTGGTATTTCCTACACTAACCATTCTAACCAAAATTCCTTTGACCCAACACTACACCTAACTCTAATGCTAGCCCTTAACATATAATAAAACCAAGTTGCAACCCTAACCCTTTGCTATTAACAAAATAAGCCCGTAGCAGTTGTTGCAGGAGGAAATGACGGGTCACCCTGGAAAACATACCATTGCTTCTCTCACAGATGAAGGGTACACTTAGAGTACATTGAGTGTCACTCCAATGTACCCATCATCTTTGAGTTCAATACAATCATCTCCCCCTGAATCATCGCTGGGTTCGCCGGCACCTCAATGACTAAAGGTAGGTAGGTATAGGTAGGGTTGGGAGAAAAATGGGAATGCAATGTTTTTAAGTCTATGTGCGTCAATACATTTGCCTGTATTATACTAAAATGTCCTCTGTTTAGGGCAAGTGTACACTGAATTTCGGTACCCCCCAAAAAATAGGTAAATAAAATATGTTAAATATAGTCCGATATTATTTTGCTTGTTCAAAAAGAAATGTGTGCTAGATATTTGATGCTCCCTCTATGATTTCAAATAAAAAGTGTAACAATCTGAAAATAATGCCAGACAATGGCTATATAGGGCCTTATATACACTAGGATGCTTCTATCCTGCCTGCTCCCCGAACAGCAATATCAGTGTTCTTTTTGTTCAATGGGATTTTAGACCAAGGGTTATCTTTAACTGAATTAGTAGAACAGGGATATAGAGGGATTACCAAAACTATATATGAGCTTTCACAAAAGAAGTTACAACACCAGCTTTCCCTTGATAAACATGACTGAGTTAAGCTTGCACAAGGTTTTAATGAATAAGTTGAATACAGATCATTGATTTAAACTTCAATTTTAAAATAATAACCAAAAGTAGAAGTTTCAATATTTATGTTTGCTAATATAATAATGAAACCCTTGAGAGTGGCCCTTTTCAACAAGCATGAAATCACTTCCTTTAGAATGTCAAAACTTAGTGAAGCACATTTATCACTTCATATGATAAGATTTTTTAAATTTAATGTTAATTTTTGAGGAAAACAATTGTATTAGAAAATGTCTTTTTTAAAGGTTATACAAAGTATTGGGAAAATTTGAAATTGGCCAGATAGCGAATCTTTAAAATGTTGATATATTTGGATCCCCCTGAGGATGTTTTATAAGCACTAGAAAAAATAGCCACTAAAACACTTCTGCTTTGAGAAAAATTAAATATTAAAATTTACCAGTGCTGCAAGTAAATTTTGATAAATTTCAAATAGCTTATGAGGCCATCCAATGGTACCTGGAAATCTTAGAACATGCAGTTGCGATATATAAATCCAAATAGGAATAGCAAATTGGTCGATTTTAGTCAAGAAACATTGTTTTAAAGCCAAATTAATATTCTTGACTTTGAGAGTGAGCTATACACCATAAAGACTTTATTATTTACATTTTCATCACTTTGGACTCGATTTCAACCGCGACAACGATCACTGAATATTGTAGGATCGCATATGCTTCCAATATTTTCATTAGAACCAAATTCTTGACCCCATACCAAAACTTTGTATTACCTTTAATTCAAAAGAAACATTTTCAAGTACCTGTAAGAGAGCAAGTATTTAAAAAAAAAAAAATTGAAAATGTTCCTGTATGTCTATAACAAATAGAAAGGCTTATTGACCCAATGTACACTGTACAGATATCAATTGATATATTGAAACTTGGAAAAAAAACGTGTTTCTAAGAGGTTTTACTTGTGGAAAGTATAATTTTAGTGTTGTTTTAATTTCCACACTTTATTTTCTGATTCGTCCAAATCACTTACAATCCAAACATCATTTAGCACTTGCTAAACTCAAATAATGTTTATTTCCGGATCCTAATAAAATGGTTCCTTGTGATGGACTGTAAGGAAGGTACGTGCAATTTTCAAGCCGCAAGAGGCATTTCAAAAAGGGGAATTTGGTACTAAAAACTTATATTCTTACATGGAAAGTGTAAAAAATGCAATGGTGTGAATTGTGAATGCATTTTGATTTGGAAAAAAAATAGCATTTCCTTTTTCATGATTTAAGATCATTGCTCATGAGCTTGAAATGGATCTTTAAATTGGCATTTCCATCTGCGATTTTAAACTTTGTGCACCTTTATCTATTTACGTCATAGATTCTGTAAAATTTCATATCCATGACGCATTCAAATTTGCGATGAATGGGTCTTTTCTAATTCAAGTCCTGGTGACCATCGAATGTAATATGCTCATCGAATGTAATATGCTCATCGAATGTAATGGGCTCATAGTATCACACAACGCTATACCACTGGATGTCTTAAAGTAAAAATATTAATTCTGCAAATCACTTTTGATGGAAATAGCAGCTGAGATATGAGCGATGAAAGATTCTTTAAAAATCCAGCTTGTTGTCCCACAACATAGTCTCATGTAAACGTAAATTGTGCTTTGAGAGAAGGTCATTTTCAGGCTGTTTCCAGCAAGTTTATTTGAATTATTACGCTTGTCTAAACAACCATCTACTACTGCTTGAAAACTAGTCTAGTACCACTTTCAGCAATTTTTAAAGCCTCTAAAGCCTTGTCAAGATACGACTTGCAAAAAATGCTGTTGTTTTTTTGTAATATTCTCTCAGTGAATCCGAGCAGTACCTTTGTTGCCCGCAATTGCTATTCATTTAAACATTGAAAAACGTCGCATTTTTTACGGCAGTTTACCCCATCATATCCGATCAAGCAATGAGTGTAGCTTTTTCAAAATTCAAGACAGTTCCTCACACATTATGTACCAAGTCAAACTTATGCTTCACTTTACAGTATATGAAGCATAAAAGGGTAATCTTTCCTGTGCTTCCATCTGTAACAAAGAATGAAGACATTGCCTATGGGAAGAGATGATTTCTTCATTTAGTCAAATGTTAAGAGATAGCTATCTCTTTAAATTTAGCATTCCGATGCAAACAATGAGCCTTAATTGGCTTTGAAATTTAAATGCATTGTTGAGAAATGTAATGATAATGATGCGCTTTGCTTAAAGTTAAAGTATAAGAAGAGTCATTGTATTAAAATGGTACTTGTATACTGCAACAAGTCATTTCCAAAAATCAATTGCAAAATTGTACTTTTTGCTTTTGTACACAAAGAAAATGACATGTAATGAAAACAAATCCACATATTATTTCAAAAGTCATGTCAAGAGTAAATAAGAACTTTATTTCAGTTTACCCTGTAAAGATACTATAAATAATTATGTCAAAGAAGAAAATTAACAAAGGTTAAAACAAAATAAAATCAAACACAATCATACATGCAGCCTAAAACTAAAATAATTGTCATAAAATCACTTTTTCTCATTCTTTTATAAAGTATATTGTAGTAGAAGGGAAAATACATAGACAGAAACAATATCATGAAGTCAATACAGTGTCAATAGGTATAATTAAACTAAAATGTCAACTTTTCAATGCATTGCCAATTTAAAGATTTTGATTTCTATAAATATGGCACAGAGTGGTACTGTACCTCAGCCCACCCACAATGTATTCACCATGAAAGGAAACAACACCCCTTTGAGAGAACGTATGTACCAGGCTTTTTCTACTATTTACTACAAGATAAATAGTTTTATAATGCTTATTTTCCCCTAAAATACAAGAGGTTTACACAAGAATTTTTATATCATAACTGAATCTATACAATGCTGACCTTTGATTACCTTAACCCATACTCATTGGACAAGTTGGTATTAATTGGTACTTTATAGGTGATCTATGAACTCAAATTACCAAGAGCACCATTAAATAAAATTGGACTTTATGTGTTTTTTAAAGATATTTTGTTATTCTTTTCTAAAAATATTTTATATGAGTATTTATTTTTATAGGGGAGTGGAGAGAGGCATTTAACAAACCTATTTCCCAAATATTACTGCCAAAAACTTGTGAATTAACTTACGATGTGCTACCGGCAGCTGTGAGTGCTGTACCATCGACCCAATAGAATGCTTGCTCAGTGGCTAGATCATGAAGACCAAGTAAAGCTGCATTAACACCTTCTGATGTGAGTAATCTAGCCAAGAGGTCCTGTTTGCAAAATGTTTAGCATTCAAATGAAACGAAATAAATCATGACCAAACATGCGACAAATTCCAACTAACACAGAAAGTGCATACATATATAGTAGTTAGTCAACAAATTTATAGAGTGCAAAAACGAGAGATTCGCCAGGAGAATAACGATGCTTTAATGACGTCACATAATGGACCAATACTACCCAAGCAGAAGACATCCCATAAAGAATTAACATAATTGCAAAGCGATTATTTCTTAAATTATAATGAGTTTACCAGTAGTGTTAATAAATGTGATGGCATTTCAAACCATTTAAAAGGGGATATGAAACCGATTCTTACAACTAAAATCTTTTGTTTGTAAATACACAGGATAGGGGTTGATGAACAATAAAAGAAACCAGACTTTCAAATTGAAAAACCCCTGGAATGATATTAAGGACGGCATTTGTTCCCTCTTGAAACGCCGCACATACCGCGGTGTGTGCAGCTGAATATACAATGGCGTCTTATTTTGTTTACAAGCGACAGATTCCTTTATTTTTGTATCGCTGCATTTGTCATCAAAATAAAAACATGCGGGGTACTTTTAGAGTGAGGCAATAGATTATATATTTAGCCTGACGGTAGTGAAGTACGAGAAAGAACTCAAGAGAAGATGAAACAACAGGCACTGAAAATGTGTGAGATGTCATGGGACATCATCTGCTTGTGCAAATCATGTCCATCCTGTGATCTCACACATCTCAGCAGTGTTCGGAGAGCTCTTCAGGTGCTATGCCGGGGCTGTGTTTAAGCGTTTTGTAATTTATAATAATCATAACTTCGAATATTTCCAAGCATTGAATTTTGATAACCTTGTTGAATCAAAGTTTCAACTTTGCAATAATGAAAATACAGTTAGTTTTTAAAACCAATGAATATCTACTTTAAGTGTTGCAAGTTTTTGTTTCATTGACACTCCATGCAGAATAACATTCATCATCCAAATGCTCTTTTTAACCCCAAAATGTTTCACATTAACTTTGCAGCTATGAGCACAATCGAAGGTAAATATTCAACAGTGAAATATTTTCTAAACTCACATTGACTGGGGTGGTTTTAGCCATTGCCAGGTCCCCATCCATTTGTTTACAGACTTGTTGTGCTTCATAGTAGGTCTTAGCGTCAGTGTAGAGCTTGTAGCAACTGCCATCATAGAGGGACCAGCCAGACGGACACATCTGGCAGAACACTGAAGGGGAAAAATGGGAAGATAAGCTGTATTTCTATAAAAACTGATATGACAAATAAGAAAATGCAAGTTTGTGAAAATATAATTATTAAAACAAATATCTTTTCAACATTACAGTACGTTGCAAACCAACAGAAGGTCATGTAGATAAAACTATAGTCAAAAGAGACATTACTTTTCATAGAGTAGTTGTTTTTCTGTCTTAAAGGTAAACTTGAGTTCTGGTAAAAAAAGAAAATGAATTCTCACAGAATCAAACGAAACTTAACTGAATGTTCAAGATTACAAATAAATGTCATTTACCAAACAATTTTTGGTAGAAAATGTATACTGGCTGAGAAATGGGCATAGAAAAATAAGAAAATCAAGGTAAGTAGGCCCGACACACACCATTTGTGTAGTCCCATATACATCTTTCGGTGTAAAGTGCTTGTTACTTTACCAAGACTGGGCCAAATTTATTATGATTTTGATGACTCCAGAACCTTGCAGTACACACCATTACTTACATGCTCCATGATCAATTTTTTTTTCTGATCCATTCCACACCTTTTCTTTCACAATGCAATCATGACCATGCAGAACTCAACTTTGTCTTTAACTTCCAAGTCCCTATACTATACTAATACATGTACAAATAATCTAAAAATGATTTAATTTGATTATTACATCTGTTTCTATACCCTAATAGAATATGTAAATCATTATATAGGTTCTACTTGGGACAGGGCTTTGAATCTTTGACACAAAAGAAATGAAAAATATTATGTAATACAACCATGTATTAACCAGGAATCAAACTCATAGTGAACAGACTCTTCATAATAATAAATCAATCATTCTGCTTTGAACACAACTCACTTATTTCCACTTTCACATAAGCATTACAATTCGTCCTTGTTTTCACGAAGTGACGGTAGTGAGGAAAATCGTAACGCAAAGTGAATGCAATTTTTTTTTCACTATCGTCACTTCGTGAAAACAGCGACGAATTGTAGTTTTACTAATCATAAGGTTATATGAGTAAATTAAATGTACACAAAAATGAGAAAATACCTACAAATACCTACATACTAAAACAAGCTTTTGCCAATGCTCCCTTACTCTTCATTTCATCCTATCATTTTATACAAATTCATTCAACCAGCTTAAGCTCATGTGTATTTTTAAACATTTGATTCACTGACTTTATTGTTTTGTATATATTGTAAGATCCTTTGTTTATACAGTAATTTGAATTTAAAACGTTTTTATTCTTAGTTACCCAGCAGAGGCTGTAGCGCAAGAAGCAGAAAGACTTTTAGATGCATGGTTGGTCCACCACCATGCAGCTCCTAAATATATAAAATATATCCACCTCAACAAAAAACTTCAGAATTTTGATTTTACTGGCTAAAGATGTGCTCCAAGATGTGTAAATCAGCAATGTAAGAAATAAATCCGCAGAAACTCTAGGAAAACTTGAAAGTCAAATTTTGAAGCGATAGAAGCTGGACTCTTAAAACGTCCCCATCCACCGATCAGTCCAGAACAAACTGATCTTCATTTCATCATCAGCTTTCTTTCAATACATGGTACACCCACTTTGAATAAATGGATATAATGGCTCAGTAAATAAATATCCCCTTAAAGACATCCCTCCCCCTTGCACAAGTACCATAAAATTTGAAGGAAAATAAATAATCAAAAGATCAAAACAAGACTTAGCTAGAGCATATTTTCTGATTTGAATATGTAGAAAGGTTATATCAAGTTTCATAGTTCAATTATTTCAAGCTACTGTTTGCATTTTGCACAATTCACTCTCTTGGTACCACAATCTGAGCGGTACAAAAACAGAACATTTATGATACTGAAGTAATGATAAAATGTCTGCATCCATAAACTCATAAATAGAAGTTAATAAATCAAAGATTAATGCGAAGATCTATACATTCAGCATTTTTATCAACTACATTAAGTATTTCACCTATATTTCTCTCTCTCTCTCTCTCTTTCTTTAAGTCACACCTTACATCTAATCTTTTTTCAAATCTCTCTTTCCCTTTTCTCTCTCTTTTTGTTTCTAGTATATTTTTCAAAATCACCTTCTCTCTTCCTCTGCATATTATCTTACCCTTTATATATGTTGTATTTTTCTTCTCCTCATGTGTATATGTATACTTTTTAATTCTCTCTATCTCTCTCTCTCTCTCTCTCTTCTCTTTATCTTTAAATTTAAAATCTTATCTTTAAATTTAAAATGCTCTTTCCAGGGAAAGTCTTTTTATTTACTGTTTTGTATCATGAATAGGACACAGAAATATCACTACCTTCTACGTCACAAATCAAATCCAATCACCAATACTTTTTTTTGAACTTCACAATTTACAATTAGAATGAAATCCTGAATTTTCTCAGTTAAGATAAATATTTGCAACTACTCGACTACTGTGTAAACTTACCATTACCAAACATTTTTTTGTAAAATTACAGTTAATTGCCTCTTTCATGTCTCAGATTTACCATTACGACATCACGGCTCCTGTTTGTATACTGACAGAGATAACGGTATCATTATACTTGCTATGATCACATCAACTTATCAGATGCAAGCAAATATGTGAAAACATTGTACAATCAATTTAAAATCTTTGATTATGTGACGTAGATGTACACGGTAGAGTGAAGAATTCAAAACAAACAACTTCCACTTTCCCCATGCATAGTCACTTCAATACTGCACTATATTTTCTCCTTTCCCTTTTTTTCTTGTTCGTCTCCTCTTTGTTCTTATCCTGATCTTCTTCCTCTTAATCCTATTAATAAAAATTAGATAGTTTTTTTTCTTCTTCTACTCCACCTTGTTCTATTTCTTCTTCTTCATTTCCTCCTCCTCCTCCTTCATCATCATCATCATCATCATCATCATCATCATCATCATCATCATCATCATTTGTATTATTATTATTATTATTATTATTATTATTATTATTGTTATCATTATTATTATCAGCAAAAATCAAAACAACCTGGGCCTAATTGGCATCTTCTCTACAAATATCTGTAAAAGCTACTAACACACTGGCCATTTATTCAATGAATGTACATGCACCCGACATTTTCTCTCACCTTGGTCCTTCCCGCAGTAATACACGCGATCATGATGGTGGTAGCGGTGGGTTGTGTTGTGTAATTTTACCTAGTACTAGTTTCCCCGCATTTTATGTGGTCGTGATCCGGACCAGGGATCTGGACACTTAAAAACTCTGCAGCGACATTGGTCATGATATCGGTCCATGCAGTTTATGCTCCAAAGGCCGAATAATCACACTGATTTATACCCTTTTAAAAAGCCAAAAGTCTAAGCTCAACTCGGTCTGCTGAACGACATGAGGTTACTTGACCATCTCCCCGTGTATCGGGGTAGGCTGCTGGAATCGTACCGCTGGCTTGGGCGGAGCTCCCTGGAGTTAGCTTGGGCGGAGAGTAACCCACATCTCCAATGGACAGTTCCTCAAGCCGCCGCCCACAACGCACACTCACACACAAGCGAACACACTTCTAAATCCACCCACCTCATTATTCAAAAAATCTTGACAAAAAAGAAAATTGGCTTATCGGGTTACGGAAAGAGTAAACCTACATAAAGTCATAATTGTAAGGCCTAAAATAAACCAAAGCAGAGCAAGTAGGCCCATTAATGATCGACCGGTTTATCAATTCACTAAGTTTTCCGTTTTCTATCCTTTTTTTCAAGATTTTTTAAACAAATAACCTCACACGAAAAAAGCTTACAGCATTAAATTTAGGCTAATTTTTTTCCGTCTATTTATCCTCTTTCGAGGGACTTTTTTACGTGTTCATAATACTACTAATAATAAGATTATAAAACAGCCATTTACAACAATGTTTATAAATACAGAACTCACGCAATATTGTAACATATCATATATAGTACAAAACATTAAACTAATGTTAAATAATCACTGTTACTTCGTTTGTATCGAATTTCTTTTGATTACATTTCATATCGAGATATCTACCTTTAATTCTTTTATCAAATATACAGCATGTATCCTGTGCTTTTCACTTCCAAAAACATTCTCTAATATAGTTTCTATATAATAAACTGAGCGAAGTTTAAAATAATATATTGACAGGATTCATTTCTCTTCTCTCTATTTCATGACCTATACAAATATATTTTAAGTTCAAAACGATTCATAAATTAAACAAAGTATCGATTAATTTGGATACAATCTTCCAAAGAAGTGAAACCTTCTTACGAGCCAGGAGAAAGTGATTAGGCCTACTTGTATCTGGGATCTTACAGATATCCCATAGATTATTATCTTTAATATTCCATTTACATAAATCGTCTTTACTGCATCGGTATATATTCTATGAATGAATTTAAAATTAAACTGCTTAATTCTGTTGTCATTTATAATGTGAAATTTGTAATGAAGCACCGTCTTCCAATAGACCATTTTCGTAATGTAACCAAATTTAATGCACAAGTCTTTGTGAAGTGCCTCAATACAAATTATTTCATTCACCTGATAAAAATAATAGTAATTCAATAGTCAGAATGCAAACTGCATATATCAAGTGTTGCTAGGTAGGTCAAGCCATAATGTTTGTCCGACCTGGCAACGATTAATGTATGCAGTTTGGATTATGTCTATTGAAATACTATTATTCTTACCAGGTGAATGAAATAATTTGTATTAAGGCACTCCACAAAGACTTATGCATTAAATTTGGTTACATTACGAAAATGGCCTATTAAACTCATTAGGTAAATTAAAATAAGCGTTCCAAAAATGAATGCACGGCAGGTCCTGGATATGTTTTCCTAACATCAAATTACAATACTGTTTGGCTCTCATGTCCGCCACTTCAATGGAGTCTTTGCACCTGTTACCATTTCTATTGCACTGGATTCCACTGCAGACGGTGAACTATTTACATATTGTATCCTATTACGTAACATCTGCGTCCAAAAATTCGAAAATGCACTTTTTAACTGCCAATTTTGAAAGCGGAAAGTAATTCATTTTCTTGAAAATTAATACAAATTAAATCAACTTCTTTCTAAATATGTTTACTAAGACTTGTTTCACTTTAGGAATATTATTTCTTATCCTGTTTGGAAAATGCAATAAATCATTCCTATATTTGATATTGCTGTTATACCAAATCATTTCATTTTCAATATCTGTTACTTTAAACCGGGAGGTGATAGAGAAGGAGTGGGAACTCTTGTAATTTATTCAATCGCATTCGTGAGTTAACAATGGGATGTGTAACATTCCACTCTCGGCTTTGAAGTTCCATGCTTCGAGCCGCTCTTTCACTGCGTAGAATCACGAAGGCCAGGCACCAGTTTCACATTTATTAAATTGCCGGCGAAATTTTAGTGTAAGTTATAAACTTTATATGGGGATTGTATTGGGAATAGTACATCAAACAATTTTTCAAATTTAGTACTCCGCCCTTCCTATAATTTGTGTGCCAGAGCCCAGAGTTGTTAAAAGAAAAAATTAGATCCTCACAAAAACTCAATATTTAGGATAAAATCCGTTTATTTTCACACGTTTTAATGTCCCGTCATTTAATCCATGATTTACAATCTTTGATATTTTTGAGTTTGCTAATGCGTGCTTTCGCGTGCTTTTTGTACTTTTGCAGTTGGAAAAAAAAGTATGAAATTACGAAAGTTTATGTTCGCTTGATCAACTCATTACACATTCAAAAACTGATGTGAAATTATTGAAAGGGGACAGCAAACCTTTACAACAATTCGTTCGTATAATGTTAGTTTTCTCATTTTCCATAAATCCAAGGTATTCTTTATTTTCTCTACTTTACTTTCCCAGTTAAAATTTTGAACATCAAAAGAATGTTTACCTATATTGTATACCAATAAATGTTATAGGGTCTTTGGTATAATATAAATCTTCAACTTAATCGTTATTTATATTAAATTAATTAAATGTATACTTATACAGAAATTTAAAAAAGGTGCAGTTCTCCCTTAAAAAAAAAAAATTTCCTACTACTATATAGCCAAGCCCTTATGGGAAAATCTTTTCAATCAGTAATTTCATTTCCTTATATGAATATGATTTGCAGACACATACATGTTGAACATTTACTAACCCTAATTGGAAAAGAAAAAAAAGAAAAAACATAGTATATTATGAAGAGTTCCCCAATGTTGACATGATCATGCTGGGGTCAAAAGGCTCCCGATCGGTTTAATACATTTAAAGCAAGAATGGCCTCATGCAGCCATCATCAAAACCAAAAAACCCTTCGGTACCGCTGTTAAACTTAATTCATAATCATAGATGTTAATAATCATTATACAGAAGGGGTTACTGAAAGGGCCAGTACTGTATCCACCGCACCTGATATTTTTGTCTCTAATATGCGTTTGGAATTGTCAAGGATACATAGCCACTCGCATAGCGTGTTTCCCAACCGAACTTCAGTTTCAGACATCCCCAGACATCAGAGTTTTTTTTTAAAGATACCGAAAATAAAGTTCGGATGACCCTGGAAAGAGAAAGAACTTTTTCATATCTAGCCTTATACACACCACAGGGTCAAAGTCAAATACCCAGGCCTATATACGACGCCTTTTATGACTTCCAATGTATACATAGTGATATCTTGATCACTCCTGGGGCACACACACACCTCAGACCCTGTTCTAATTGCCTTATAGGCCGTTTGCTTGCTTAAAGTATGTCAAGAAGAACAACGCCATAATCATGAACTTCCTTGGAATAAAAAGAAGGTCCAACGCAATAGACATAATTGAGGTGAACGCCCATGACGCGCCCCTAAATTCGGGGCAAGCGATCGAGCTGTTGCTATGAATAATGATGTCGAATGCCTGTATTCAATAACAGTTTCTCTTTTACAAACATGTCAAATGGGAAAAGGATAAGTTCGTACTAGTAGTTTGGAAAACAATTGATTTGCTTTACTTTAATTTGTCCTAAGAACGGCAACCGCGACTCTTGACTGGTTCTTTCTCAACAAAGTTGGGAGTCATAATTATCTAGATTCGTAAGACACTGATCCTACATTTTGTCAGTAACGCTAAAACCGCACTAAACGTCAAAATAAATCTATCAATAAACAGCACAAAAAGGAAAAGGGTTAGGCCTGAGTATGTTACAATTTACTTACAGAACATATATAATAGTCGCTCTTGACAAATACCATACCTAAATATGAACCAGTTTTCAAACACTAGTTTTGAGGAACCCTTAAAAAAAAAAGTTAAACCCTATTGATGTGTTCACCGAGTATGTGTGCCGGATGTCGGTGGATGAAGATGTGGGTGTGAAAGAGGGTGATGGCCAGGGACGGTGGATCATCTTCTCAAGGTTGAGCGTCACTTTAAAGCAACTGCTTGTGGTGGTGATTCATAAATAGAAATATCCCTAACTTCTTTTTTAAAGGCGTTATAATCTTTTATCTTTTAAAATCTTTCTTTTTGTATGTAATCAAAATCATCAAGAACACAATTGCAACTACTTTCGATAATTTCGAGAAGTCCATCCTGATATTAAATTGGTTGTAATAGAAGCAGAACAATTTGAGAAACAATTCAGTGAAAGTTTGAGAAAAATCGGACTACAAATAAGAAAGTTAGGAATCTTTCAAAATCATCAAAATCATGGATTCTTTGACTGCAACGCGGTCAGAAATTGTGACATTTCTTGCATTCAACAAAGGATATAATGTGAGGGGCGACATCATATTTAGAGCCAGCTTTGCCAATTTATCTCACTGATTTGAAAGTATTTCATGAAAAGTTATGGATTTTAAAAATCCATAACTTTCTTTTTTATTGTCCGATTTTTCTCAAATCTTCACTGATCTGTTCCTCTCACTTTTCTCCTTGTATTAAAACAAACTTATCATCAAGATGGACTTCCCCTTTAAGGCCTTGTTAGTCACATTTTGAAATGTGTGAACATGAAAATGATGTGTAACGTAATCAGAACATGCAATAGGGTATATAGGCCCTAGAATCTATCGTTTACAAAAATAGTTGCGATCATGTTCAAGGTTGAGTGTAGTGTCTGCTATTAGATTTGGTTTAAAACAACTCATTTAATTTTCAAACTTTTTCTCTTTCTTCTTTTCTCTTTCTCTCCCTTCCAATTGCTGGAATCATACACAAATATGAAAAAGTGATATGCAACTCTTCTCCAACTTAGAGTCAACAACAAACACAGTGAAACTGCATTTTAGTTTACTGCACAAGAAGAATATTTATTAAAAGATTTGATTTCAATATAATACTTTATATAAAATTGTAGTTTGCAAACTTGAGATTTCAAAGATAAACCTGTATCCACATACTTTCTTTCATGTACAACAACACCAAAAGCTCAGACGAGGGTACATTATGACATCAAAATATGCTTAATAATTCGAATATGATTAAAGTGTGAAAAAATATATGCATATATATGTATTTCATTTCATCACTTAATAAATCGAGACATCATCATCTAATTTGCATGACTGTACACATGGAGTATTGCACGTTTACAGTCATTCCAGAACAAAAATGAATTGCGCAAATTAAAAAAAAGGAACATGATAAAGAGAAGCGATTTGATTGTCACTGTAAGTACAGAAAGTCATAAAAAGGACATGTAAAAAATACTGCATGAGCCTTAAAAAAAAAAAAAACTTATCCTCATACAGTCTACCATAAGTAAAATCATGAACCTAGCTATTTTGATAAGTCAGAGAATATATTTATAACCTTTCTGTGAAACAAATTTGTATACAAATAGATCAAGGTATATATAATTTATTAAACAAAACACTGTTAGAAAGATACATGAGACATAAATCAAAAAGTACTATACAAAAGTAATCAAAGTTTCATACAAAATATGACAAGACTCTTCATACAAAGACTCTGACCCTCTGATATTCTGTTCTTTAATCAAAATTATCATTATTAAAGTTATATTCAATTCTGTTTTAAATACAGAAAGTGTACACGTAAAAGCATAGAGGGGCATAAGTCCATTCACATCATGAAATACAGAGGTAGAGTATATTATGTGAAATGCCCTTAGAAAAAGCATAATTTCCAACAACAGGCAAACGAATATGAGAAATTGAAGGGGGAGGGGGTGTACACTGGTAGTAACTTACACAGTTTTGTGACATTATCATGCATATGTAAATTTTTGCATTGTATTCTGTGATAGAGTTGGGTTTTTTCATAGAAAAAGAAGGTTGCCTAGAACGAGACATGTAATAGAAAATTAATTTACTAAAAAATGAGTTTAAATGCAAGTAATACACATATGAGAGGAATATGACTTTAGTTGTAATTTCCATAGTCATTTTAGAGTATCACTCTGCAAGTACTTAAACTTGTACTTGGACATAAACTGATTTAGAGCTAAGAATAAAAGAGAATCGTGACAATGAGAACATTTGGTTTTTATATCTACTTTGAGCTAACATTCAATCAGCTTCACTATGAATTACAGCTACATCACAACTATATAAATACTATCAAAAAAACATTATGCATTGGTTTCAAATGCTGAAAGCTTGGTACCATCTTTCTCATTGTAAACCACATTCTCAAAGCCTGTGCTGGACGGGATTTCTGGAGTTTTCATAGGAGCCTTGTTCTTCGATGAATACAAGAAGAACACCAGAAGTCCGGTGACACAGATTATGAGGACAGCAGCAATGACAATACCAGCGATGGCACCAGTTGAAACACCTACAAAAGGAGGGAACAAAGAACAAAGAGTACAAGTTCAACTAATTTTTAAAATTTTAAACCTTGACTCAATAGTCCTAGAGGACGAGTTGAGAGAAACATATACCAACATTTTCTTTTCATCGTAAGTCATTTGTTTAAACCCAGCATCAGGTTTAGAGTTAGAGTATGTATGGACTATATTTTTAAGTTTCATGTTGTGGGTAAGTCTAACACATCCACACCTCAATTTACTAATATACTGTACATAGAGAGGTAGCAAACGTGATGTGTTGACTGGCTTAGCCAACATTCCGAAAGGGTTTTTTGGACCAGTGCAAGATTCAAACTAGCCTTTATTTGCCTCAAAATCCATGAAAATATGGAAAGATTATAAATATTATCTTTTCATTCATATGAAAATATTCATTAATAAAAATCAAGTGTTATCAATCACTTGGCAGCCTAGTTTATTTTCCCATTGTTCCATATGTTCATGTTAAATAGTAAGAAAACAGAGAATTAAGACTGCTAACTAAATTGATAAAGAAACATTACATATTAATCAATAGTTAATGTGAGTAAAGCGTCAAACTTACCACTAGAAATCGGAGCACTGTTTGTAGGAGTGTCTATTGTATTGCCCCCTGGTCCTGTGTAAAAGAGAAATAATTTAAAAAATAGTAAATTTACACATCTTCATATCTTTTCTTTCCAGATTTGAATGTTAATATTGCCAATAAGCCAAGTACACACATGTAATAATGGTAAGGAAACACAGTATAATCTTTTTAATTTCTAGATATAGACTAGCTCTAACAAAAGACAAGAAATTTACTAGTTAAAGAATACTGCAAGTAGAACAAAAGATGAATATTACAAATACACGGCCAAAGTTATAATTAAGCTCACTATTTGTTTGCAATTACCTCACTTCAAAGGCAGTGAATTTCAACTCATGTAGAAATCTTAATAACATGCTATCTATATCACAACTTTTTAAAAAACGATAGTAGTAATAATGTTAATAACGATAATGATAATGATATTATATTTATGTTTTACAACGTGATGATGGTGTTAATGATTAACAGTAATAATATGTTACCATACCTGTCATGAAATCACAACTTTTAAAAAAATTGTCATGCAATTTTTTTTTTCCTTTCTTTTTCTCCCTCTTTCCTCCATTTTCTTCTCATCTATCTTTTCTTTTTAAAGCTTTATTTTAACCAATATCAGGTGCATCTAGTCGGGTGTGGGGAGGAAGGTCTGCGGATCACAGTTATTTGGTTAACTTTTTCCATACCCGGGCAGCTCGACCGGATGCACCTGCTATTGCAATATTTATATATGCTTTCTATTGATTTTTTTAATCTCAATTCATGTTTGTTATATTGTTGTATTATGTGACTTGATTTGCCAAATAAAATAATAATAATAATAATAATAAAATTCATGAAATTTGACACTTAGATTTTCGGTTTGGATATGCTGTACATGGGCTGACACCATGGCTTTACAGTATTTCAAATGCAGGGAGAGGTAGACTTACCTTGGGCTTTGGTTGTTTGGCCTGGAGCTAGGGTCTTGGGAGGGCCTTGTGTAGGCTGGCCTGACAGAGGGGCTAAATAAGATAAAAGACGAGACTTTATTCTACTAAAGACTTTTTCAATATTCATGACAATTCTTTTCCAATGAGTATTTCTGTATTAAAAGGTTCAATTGTAGGATCAACACCCTACAAGATGTGACAAATGCACTGGAAGAGAGAAGAATAAATTACATAGTTATAAATTCATTGCTTTTCCTTATTGTCTTCCTTTTTGTGGTTATAACCGCAAAACTTATCTCCGCTGGGAATCAAAACAGGGTTCACTCGATCAAATTGACATACATACACAATGCATCATCAGGCATAATGTATAAGTGATAGAAAAGAAAAATGGGTTAATTGCCCTGATTTCATTGAGAATTGGTCATAAAGAGTGTCCAGTGAATGCACAATTAGCTTTGAGCCATTTTGGAAAATACCATTCAGACTTACTTTTGGGTGTTTTGCAGACGTATCCTTGAAGTGAAAGACAGTCCAAGTCATTCCATTTCCCGGTCTCTAGGTACATCTCTGCACAGTCCTCATCACCAAGGAAGTTTGAGTTGGGTTCACCGGGGTTCCAGTTGGTGTAGTCCACCGGTGTGTCATCAGTCCAGGCAAAGGCAGCTGACGATTTGGGAGAAGAATAATTGTAATTATCACAACGATATAATTCTAATTAGTCTGTGTATAAAGACTACTCAAGGGAAACAAGAACATTGGTCTGTATAGGCAGGCAGGTGGCCTTTGTGTACAGGTTTAAATAATAATACATGGTTCAATGAAAAACCTTGTTCTCAGGAAACCAAATTGTGGTCTTTATAAATATTATGTTCTTATAAAAGACCAGTTGGAGAGCTTTGATTGAACTAATAAGTTGTATAGCTTTATTGAGGCTCTGTGTCAGTCAGACATCTTTGTAGGCCTCCTGTACAAGTACTCATTGTTTCATAACATGACCTGGCATGAGTCATGGGTTGCAGGTCATTCTATATTTAGTTATACATGCTAGTCTGTATTTGCAGACTCTGTTAAACTACATGTAGCTATCACTACACCTCCCTTCTTTAAAAGAGGTTTACATATACATATATAAAACTTCTTAAACTGTACAGAGTGACAGGGTGGACTACCTGTACACTCTCGACTGTACTAGGGCATTATTCTGTCCCTTAAAGCTAGAGTACTGTCGCTTTCAAATATGTAACTTATTACGCGACAGTCCATATCTTTCAAGGTTGCGATTCGCGAAACTGGAATTCTCCGTTGAGGTTGAGTGATATCTGTTGATTTTTGTAATCAAAGTGACTGATTAAATCCGGTTATATTTTTAAACTATAACATGCAAATATATGTGTCATGCTCATGCAATCCTGCAGTTATGTTTTAAAGTCCAGGTTGAACTCTGTAACTATAAACTATTTACAAAACGTGAAAGTCTTTCTCTGTAGTTTGCTTTCATTTATTACAAGTTCAAGCGATCTGGCGGTTTAATAACTCGTCCGCTTCTGGTTCTGGTTGATGACGTAGTTGAGCTTTCTTCAGATGCTGGTTGCTCTGTAGCTTCTGCAGTGTCATTTAGCTCGAAGTCATCCTGTGTTGGTAGTGGAATAGACTCGGCTTGTTGTTGACGTGGGACTGGCCTGAGGTGACGTCTGTTCCTGCGACGCATCTCTCCTGTTTCTGTCTCGATCTGGTATGATCTGTTTCGATCCTGGACAGACCTGACAATACCACGTTTCGACCAGGTGTTGGTTTTCATGTCTTGGAGTATGACATGATCTCCAGGCTTTAGCTTTGACAAGTCTCGAGCATGTTTGTCGAATCGCTCTTTTTGCTTCACCTTATGATCCTCCTTTCTTCCCCTCACTGATCGAGTATTGACCAGTTGGTTGTCGAGTAAACTGTCAAGCATGGGGAGATTCGATCGAAGTCGACGATTGTAGAGGAGTTCTGCCGGAGACTTTCCGCATGCTAGTGGTGAACTGCGATAGACTTGTAGAGCTCTGTGGATATCCTGTCCACTGTGCTGTGACTTCAATATGAGTTTTTTTACAATCTTCACAGCATTCTCTGCGAGGCCATTGGATTGCGGATAATATGGACTCGATGTAGTATGGCGAAAATCCCATTCTTTTGCAAAGCTCTGGAACTCTTGGCTTGCAAATTGAGGACCATTATCCGACATCAGCTCACATGGCGTTCCATGGCGGGCAAATACTGCTTTCATGTGGTTGATCACGGCCTTGCTACTAGTAGAAGTCATAGTACGTACTTCAATGAACTGTGAATAGTAGTCGACGATGACCATGTACTCTCTATTGTTCAGCGTGAACAAATCAACAGCAACTTTTTCCCACGGGCGGTTCGGCACGTCATGAGGATGTAGACTTTCAGCTTGCTGTTTTAGTCTGTACATTAGGCATGAAGTACAACTTTGGACCATTTCAGTGATGTCTGTGTTGATTCTGGGCCAATAGATGACTTCTCTAGCACGTTTCTTACACTTCTCGATGCCTAAGTGTCCTTCATGGATTTTGTTTAGCATGAACCTTCTCATAGTAGTGGGAACCACTATTTTGCTGCCTTTGAAGATGATGCCATCTGCTTCAGAGAGTTCACTCCTGATGTTCCAGTACTCCTTGACTCGAACTGGACATTGCTGCTTCGTTTCCGGCCAACCATCTCTGATGATGCCTAGCAGCTCTTGCAGTTGATCATCTTTCTTTGTCTCTTCGACAATCTGATTTCGTTTATTCGATGTAACTGGCATGCTCTTGACAATAGCATCTACGTAGACTCTGATATCTTCCTCAGTTTCAGCATTCAACTCAGCCTTTGGATCTACTGCTCTGGACAATGTATCAGCAGTATACATGTACTTTCCAGGCGTGTACAAGACCTTGAGATCATATCTCTGTACCCTGATGAGTAACCTTTGAATGCGTAGGGGACAGTCACCCAGTGACTTTACAAACAGTGGAATAAGTGGCTTGTGATCAGTCTCCACTTCTACTTGTTGTCCATAGATGTATTGATGGAATCTTTCACATGCGTATGTGATTGCCAGCAATTCTTTCTCGATCTGTGCATATCTAGTCTCTGCATCAGTCATTGATCTAGATGCATGTGCGATCGAAACCCAATCTTGATCATATTGCTGTAGTAGCACTGCACCAATACCATCCTTTGATGCGTCTGCTGACAGCTTGGTTGGTTTCTAGCTGTCATAGAAATGTAGGACTGGCTCTTGTATCAGAGCTTGTTTCAGCTGATTCCATGCATCCTCTTGTGCATGATCCCATGTCCATACATTCTTTTTGTCTAGTAGATGTCTCAGCGCTGCTGACTTGGTCGACAGATCTGGAATGAACTTCCCTTGGTAATTGATCATACCCAAGAACCGTTGGACATCTTTCCGACATTTCGGTCTCTCAATGTTCAAGATAGCAGACACTTTCTTTGGATCAGGTTGAACTCCTTGATCACTGATCGAGTCACCAATGAATGTGAGCTTCTTGACATTGAACTCGCATTTGTCTTTGTTCAACTTGAGATTCATTTTTCTCACAATGCTGAGAACCTCTCTCAACCTGTCATCATGCTCCTGTTGGGTAGTTCCCCATACAATCACATCATCCATCATTGTGTTAACTCCCGGAATGTGTGCAAACAGTTGGTGCACTATCTTGTGATAGACTTCCGGAGCACTACAAATACCAAAAGGTAGTCTCAAAAACTTGTACCTTCCGTATGGCGTGATAAACGTACAAAGCTTGGAGCTTTCGTCATCTAGTTGGATCTGCCAAAAACCACTAGATGCATCTAACTTGCTGAAGTATTTGGCTCCTGCAAAATGTGCAGTTATTTCAGCTCTTGATGGCAATTGATAGTGTTCTCTTTTGATTGCTCGGTTCAGGTCTCTTGGATCTAGACAGACCCTGAGCTGACCATTCTTTTTCATCACCACCACGAGAGAAGAAACCCAATCAGTTGGCTCATCAACTCGTGTGATTACGTCCATTCGTTCCATCTTATCTAACTCGTCTTTGAGTTTATCGTTAAGTGGAAATGGAACTTTGCGACATGCATGCTGAACAGGATGTGCGTCCTCTCTCAATGTGATGTGGTGTTTACCAGGAAGACAACCTAGACCTACAAACACATCTTGATAGTCTTGAACTACACTTTTACCCGTTCCGTGTTCAGTTTGTTTCTCAACATGATACACCCGTTTCACCAGATACAAGTCTTCACTCGTCCGTAATCCTAACAAAGGCTGACGATTTCCAGGAATGACTAGACACGGCACATTGCGTTTGATCCCTTTGTACTCAACTTGTACACAACAACGACCTTTGACCGGGATATCTGTCTCATAATAACCTGTCAACATCACTTTGGCTTTTTGTAGCTTTGGTTTTGGTTTCAATTTGTGAAATACTGTCTCAGGAAGAAGATTCGCCTGAGCACCAGTATCAACCTTGAAGTCAACCGGCTGGTTATTGACTAGTAGATTAACTATCCATTCATCCTTGGATTCTTTTGATTCAACAGAGCAAATCATGAAACCTTCTGAATCTACCTCCAAGTGCTGCAGTTCATTGACCTTGGCTACTGGGGTTTTACAACATTTAGCAAAATGATTCTGCTTACCGCACTTCTTGCATGTTTGACCTTGTGCGGGACATTTGTCTTTGCTATGTCGGTTTCCGCACCTGCTACATGCATCACTTTTAGTACGACCTTGAGATTCTGACCGTTTTTACTTTGAACCAGGAAATTTCTTCTTAGTCTTGCTGAAAGAATCTACCGGAATTGAGGCGTTTTCCCCTGCGGAACTCAACGCTTGTGCCTGCGTTCGAGTTTGTTCAGCCGCACGACATACTTGCAACGTTTTATCCAATGTAAGATCATCTTGCCTCAACAAACGTTCTCTTAGACCATCGTCTAAAATACCACAGATAATTCTGTCCTGGATAAGACTCTCTTTCAACATGGAAAACTCACACGACTGAGCACGACTCCGCAATTCTGTTGCGTACTGATCAACACTCTCATGCACTACCTAAGATCTTGTGAAAAATCTATATCTCTCATACGTTAGATTACGTTTCGGTATGCAATATTCCTCATATTTGTTCAACACTTTCTCAAGCTTCATGCTCTCACCCTCAGCAAATACAAACGTATTATACAATTCCAAGGCAGCATCGCCAATCACGTGTAGAAGCATTGATGTTTGTAACTTTTCATCTTTTTCAGACATTCCTGAGGCAACATTGTATAGAGTGAATTTCTGTTTAAATCTTCTCCAGTTCTCGGAAATATTTCCCTTTAAGTCGAGTGGAGGAGGTTGACTGAGATTTGCCATTTTGTTTCTTTTTATTTCTTAGCCTAGTGTAATCACTCACATGAACAGCATAACAATTAGCTTTTTCTTTTTGTATCTTTGCAACAATTACTTTAAGCTCAACTATTAACTTTCACTGAGTTATTCTGTATGTTCATGTCCCATATATGTCACGCTTACTGCCGTTATACTGGAACTGGCCCGGCACAGAACTATGCACTCCAATCCATACAACGACAGCGCTAACCATTATGGACATAACTACATTCACTGGACATACACTTAGACTCTAAGCCCTCTTATCATCTCTCACATCACAAAGAATTGGATTGAACTGGCCTGATTTCAATGATTCCTCCATATATATATACTGTAGGCTGGGTTGCTCAGCACAAACACTGGCTGCTAAGTTCTGACACCATATTATGTTCTTATAAAAGACCAGTTGGAGAGCTTTGATTGAACTAATAAGTTGTATAGCTTTATTGAGGCTCTGTGTCAGTCAGACATCTTTGTAGGCCTCCTGTACAAGTACTCATTGTTTCATAACATGACCTGGCATGAGTCATGGGTTGCAGGTCATTCTATATTTAGTTATACATGCTAGTCTGTATTTGCAGACTCTGTTAAACTACATGTAGCTATCACTACAATTAGACAGGTTATCTTTCAATACAAGTTCTTGTAGTTACCAGAGTTGATTTGACTAAACACAATTCAGCTGATAATTCCAATGCATCTTTCTCTATTTAATTTGTTTTCTTCTTCAGTTCTATTGATAAAAATAATGATGGTTAATCCGAATGGTTTACCATGTACTAGATCACTGATGTGGAACAAAAGAACTGTTAAAACAAAAAAACTTATTGCTGGAAATCAGATTCAGTGAAAAATCCATGTTCTGTTACCTACTCAATACATGGTCAGGGTATTAATTAAATGGACAGATTAAAAACAAGTTGAAGAAACGTACTTGATGGAGTGGCCTCGAATCCGATCCAGACATCAGTCAACTCCTGGACCAGCCTACTCCTGATCCACTCATTCTCCTGCTTGGAGTGTATACTGGCCATATGACCTCCCCCCTGCCTGCAGATGTACTCGGCTGAAGGCCACGATAACCTCTCTGTCGCAGCGGTGGAGAAGAGGTAACAGTTGGAGCCATAGGAGACCCAGGAGTCTGGGCAAGTCCCTGGGACATCAGGGTGGTTGGTGGGGATGGGTACTGTCAACAAGTAATGGAGGCAGGACAGAGTGAGAAAAATTCCTACCACCACCAGCTGATTGTATTTTGTGGTCTAACAAAGTTATATGACTGTCAAATCAAAATAACAGCCATTTACAGTGAGATCATTGAATGACTTTTAAGAAATTTTGATTTGGTTTGAGACAACACTCGTCTATTGTTTCTGCTCTTTAAATAGCTAAAGCGTTTTCCAAATTTTTTGCTTTGGTTCTAGGCAATAATTCACCATCATCCATGAGACAAGAGAAAAATCAAACTAGAGCAGTTTGTTCACCCGTTGAATATTTTTAGAACTCTAGAATGACTTGGTTTGGATCTAGAGTACGTACATCTATCCAAACATGCATATTAATATTGCATAGTTTTAAAGCTCTTGAATGATTTGCTGGGAATTAGACTGAAATTACTTAACTGTGCTAATGGACTGATGTCATGTTTTTATGAGACCATATATTTCAATGAGTCTCTTAGATAGCTTTAGGGACATTGAAAGACTTTAATTACGACTAAAGTTAAATAAGAATAAGAGTTTAGTATATTGATGGTTATAGTCTCTTGAGTAGGACTAGCTAGCACCCTTTGGAATAACATAGTATTGCTACTGCCTTCAGACCCGGCTTAAAGTATGTATAACATATTAGTTTTAAAGATGACTCACCTAAGCTGTATTTACAGAGAGCTCCTAGCTGATCAGTGCAGGAGTGGTCATCCCAGCCACCTAGACCGATGGCTGTACATCCTTCACCACCACCCTGGCTTGGTTCACCCTGAGCCCAGTTGGTAAACCACACAGGGTGACTGTCCACCCACTTGTACTGACCACTTGCCTGAATGCATGAAAAAACCATATAGAAACACTCATTGTGTGAAGTGATATCATTAACCCATTTCTTGCTGATATCACTTCTTCTTATAGGCGTAATACCGAAACCACCAGGTTCCCATGGGCAACAGGTTGATTCTGCCTGCACAGTCAGAAAGCAATTAAATGTTACCTCTGTGCATTCTAAAGACAAATTGTGAACTTTAGCTTGTTACTGTTGCTCTGCTTTGTTCATTTAGCAGAGAACATGCAATGGTAATTAAAGTTACACATTTTGCACATTAGTAGAACTAAAAATGAGTGAAACATTTCTAAAGAATCTATACATCTTTGTAGGGCAGTTTTTCTTCTCTGTGAATATCCCAACTAGATACTCTAAACAAAGAAGTACAAAATAGGTATATATCTTCATTTTAAACATTACCTCATATTGATCTGCCTTGAATCTTCGTGTACCAAATTACCTTTGTCCAGAAATATATTTAAGCAAACTTTATGGATATGAACAGAAGGTCTTACAAATATAATAAAAAGTACCGCTAAATCTACGACGGTAGGAGATGATCGGTACATGGATCGGACACCTACCTTATCATCTAGGAGACCCAGCCAAAGCATGACATCTCCATTGTAATGCAGCATGGTTTCTGCAAAGGCATTCTCATAGACGTCTATGATGCTGGCCAGGTTGGTGTCTGATCCCTCGTTGCGACAGGACTGGATTGCATCGGAGTAAGACATCACCCTGGGAACAACCTTGAAGCAGCTGTCTCCATACTGGGAGAAACCGTTGCGGCAAGAGCTTGGTGGCGAGGGCGGTACAGCTGCGTTGAGGTCTGTGAAGTGAGAAGAGAGAAAGTATAATATTTCATATCAAATATGCAGGATATTGTAAAAGTATCTTATCATGTTTTTATTCAGCAAGATATCTCAACCAGATGCAGTGAAATAGTTAAAAAAATATGTGTTTGCCATATATCAACAAGTAATCGCATAACAATAAGATAATGGAAAGTACAGTACATCAAAACATCGGACAAATTACAAGACTATAAATGGTTAACAGAAGAAGGGCAGAAAATGAATGGCATGTGCTTTGAACTTAAAATAGGTTTATCAAACACTCGGTGAGTGTTCCACACCAGTGGAATCGTTAAATATCTGTCATTTCATTAAGTCTACAGGCCCTTTATTTTATTAATTATTTATCAAACACGGACAAATTAGAATAGAAAACTCACCGAGTGATGACTGGCAGATGAAAGCATTGTAATCATTACAGGACTGGTCATTCCATTTTCCAGCACGCTCAGGAGTCTCTACCATTTCAACACAGTCTTCCTGAAATTAACGACAAAAACAAACCAGTGGAATCGTTAAATATCTGTCATTTCATTAAGTCTACAGGCCCTTTATTTTATTAATTATTTAGAAAATGAAAGAAAGGGATTATGCCGCTAAGCTAAGTAACTCGAATGAAAAAGAAAACAAAACGTCCTAGACCTGAGACAGCTGTTCTAATCATCAAACTTATAAACCCCCTATACTTACATAAATATATAATGCTCAATATTACATAATATAAAAAAGAGAGAGAGAAATAGAGTTTAAAAATAGAAAAAATGTTGTTAACCATTTCTGGAAAGTGTGACTTACATCACCATTATGATCATTAGGCTCATCTACATTCCAGTTTGTAAAATCTACAGATGTGCCATCAGTCCACCTGAATTGGCCATTGTTGAGAGAGTCACTTAATCCAATGTACATCTGGTAGTCAATCTCCTTCATTTGAGTGGTGAAGAATGCTGTTTAGGATAGAAATCGGAGCACTGAATTTGAATATAGATACTGGCGATAACATATCCTTTTACATCCAGGGGTTGTAAAAAGACAAATATTATTTATAATTCAAGTAATGTATATGTAGATGGAGCAATATGTTAAGGAAGGATATATCTTCTTTTCCCATTGATTTTTCTTCTGGTAAGATGCTATGGTTATTTTATCATAACAACCAAGCTGTCACAATATTCCCCTTAGTACACTCTCTGCTCCAGTTGTTAAATCAAAATTAGAATTAATGATAGCAGGTAGTTGGACCAAACAAACTTTCTATTTCAATTTGGGTTGGTCCTTATGGTTGGATCTCTCATTAGGTTCTATATCTACTCAAATATCAGCATTAGGGTTACATTTTGAAGGAGAGGGGGTTAGTACTCACACTGCAGAGCCTGGCTGTGAATTGTTGCCAAATCTCCATTGTAAGAATTCCTGCAGATGTCCCTGGCATTATACCACGTGTTTCGGTCGGCAGAGTTTGCACCGATCATACGGTAGCACATGTTGTCAAAGCGCATGGTTCCTGATGGGCAGTTACCATCTGGGACTGGGGTAGGTGCATGGGTCACAGGCATAATTGACGACACAGCCTTCTTGCAGACAAAGGTTAGCTTGTCTCCGCAGTTCAAATCATTCCACGATCCATCTGATATGTTAATAACAAGATTAAGAAATAAACATCAACAGTGGGACTTTCATCAACAGGTACCTAATTATTTACATGAAAATATATGATGAATCTCACCGAATATTGATTATGATCAAAACAATCCATCTTGAACTAAATATTACATAGAACTAGATATTGAATAGAAAGCAACATTCATTTAATTTGGATCTGGATCTTGTGTTTCTGCTTCTTCACCTTAATATAAGTCATTCATGACACAAAGGATCATTTAAATGAAGTCTATTGGACAGAGATGCCAATATCCATACACTTTGTATGATAAAAGTATGACTTTTGTACTGTACTACATTACCTTAGTACAATCTTCTTCCTCTTTCTGTTGCACAACATCAAAGAAGCAAAGAGACTGACAAGATTTAATTAGCCAAAAAAAAGAATTGTATCTCATTTGATTTGATTTTTGTTTACCTTGGTAGAACTCAGCACATTCCTCTTCACCATTAGCATCATTAGGTTCATTGACGTTCCAGGCTTGGAAATCAAGAGGAGAGCTATCAGACCACCTACGAAAATGACAAGAATAAAACAAGAGATGGATGATAGTCAATTTAAAGATATTAGGATCAAAATATCAAACCATCAATCCCTGTTTATTATACAAAGTATGTGTGATTTTGAATGAAGCAAATCAATTGACCACTTGCTTTGATAATTTCTATGGATGGTTTATCTAACATGGGCCTACTTTTGCACTTAACCCTTTGTACTATGGAGAATTAGAAAGAGAGTATTTAATAAATAAATAATAAACAATACACACTCACTCCAACACATTGCTCACATCAAAATCCACATCAAAAACCATCTCCAGCCCCTCCCCCACACACATGTGCAGGGAATATTGCAGAGAACATTGAAAAACTCATTCAATACAAACTTTTTGTTTTAGTAAGAACAAATCTATGATGATATTAACTTTCCATCACATATCAAAACTTTCTGATATGTACATCTCTATCACTGTTACCATTACTGAGTCATGCCTTTGTTGCCACATCAAGTCTATAATCAATAATACTTACTGATAAAATCCAGTGCCGTAAGTTCTTAGACCAATCCAGTCATTACTGTCTGCATACCTGGTGAGCTGCAGTAAGAAAGGGCATCGATGAGAAAAATTAATTTCTTATTTGGGACTTACAATTGTGATGCTTCTTGAATACATCACGGATGTGTAATTCATCAGTGGAGGAGGCAAGGTTGTAGAACACATGCGCACGCAACAATTCCTAAAAACACTGGCCTAAATCTTACCTAAACCCTAAAGTAACCCTAACTCTAACCCTACCCTCTTGATGAAATATAGCTAGGCCAAATGTCGGACCACCAAATGCACAACTACCAAAATTAGATATTCCTATGTCATAAAATATAGATTTCACTGTGATGTTTCATCTCAACATAAACAACCTTTCAATGTCACATGTTTTCCTACTTTCACATACTTAATTTAAGAATGCAATCAAACAAACAAAATCATTCAATTCATTGTATTATGATTCTCTCTAATAAATACCATAGATTGAAGGAAGTTGTTTTCATTGGTAGAATGCAGGGAGACCAAGTAACCACCACGTTCCATACAGTACGAGTTGGCATCGCCCCAGCCCATCCTGGCATCAGAGCCAGTCAGACCACCGCTGAAGAAGTAGCAATAGCTCTGGAACAGGACCCAGTCTGGGTCTGTGGGACACTGGGGCCCTACAGAAGCAAGGAGAGAACATAGATTGGTACTGGGTATAAGTATTCATAAACTCTTATTTCAAATTCAGCACCAACATAATAGAGTACCAAAAGCTTATACATGCATAAGTGTTTTTTTCTGATCAGAGGTTGCCTACACCTTTAGACTGTTTAGCCTACAAAATTACCAAAACAAAATAAACATTAACATCACAGTGATCTTATTGATATTGAGCCTTCCTTCAATACAGGATAGTTTCATCTTTTTTTTTTTTAAATACTATAAATGAATAGGATTTGAGAGCTTGAACTTTGCCTCTCCATAGTTTGATCATGTCTTTGTATGATTTGACACAGAATCTTTAAAAATGACTTTATAGTGGATAAAATTAATTGCAGAAAAGCTCCATAGCAAAGTTGGTGTTAACAAAAACGTACATGTATACATAAATAAACTCAATGAACAGTACTTATTGGAGAATTCTATACCATTGGGAACATTAATGGGTTACTTACATGGTGTTACTGTTGATGGTCCCAGGGTAGATTTAGGCCTAACACCTATAAAGGAAATAAAACAATTCTGTTACATACTTTTTCTATGAGATGTATGCAAAACACTAAAAGGAAAGGCATACTTCATTTACTTGGATGAACTTGAATTAAAAAGAAATAATAAAAAAATCACACTTTATGTAGTATCAGGATTTGATTGCAACCTATCAAATACTACATATAGGCCAGAGATTACTCAAACTGGAGTCAATATAAAATGCATGTAATATACCAAAATGTATTCACTGGATTAGAAATATTTTTTTATATTAGTTAAGAAGAATACTCAAATCAACAATAATTTCTTCAAATTTCATTAATCACCATCATTTAGCAACCATTTTTTTCACACTATGGGATTCGATGTCCCATTTCCTTCATGGCCCTTCTCAAATCCTTCCAGTAATTCATAATCCACCTAGATGAGACAAGATGCTCTAGTGTCTTCTTCCTGGTTTTGCGAGGTCTGCCACTGGGTTTTTAGCTGGCAACCACATCCAAATAAACTGGACACACTTCAGTACATACCTTTAGCAATCTTGCAGACCCAGTTTCTAAGACTGGAGCACTCTTTGTCATTCCAGTTTCGCTGGCCACCAAACATCTCCACGCAATCCTCTCCTAGATTACCAGCATTGTTAGGTTCACCCTCCCACCAATTGGTGTAATCTACTGGTGTCCTGTCACTCCACTCAAAACCTGATAAAAGAAAATATTATCAATACAAAAGACGGCAATATAATAGTTTTTTAATACTGAATATTATATTGTTTTTAAAAAAACGGGGGCCAGGCGCTCTTGGAAGATTACTGTTTCAGCTCCCCTGACTGTGAAAACTGCATACCATAGTCTGGTCACGAGAAGTTTCACTAATTCTATGACTTTATATATATTTTTTTTTAAATTCAAGCACTTATGTAAATTGGCAAGTTCTATGTCTTGGCCATTCTATTATTTACATGTTACCAAGTATCATGGAATTCAAAACCTGAACAAAAACAGTAGCCAGCATTTTCCTTGATAGTTTGTCTGATCCCAGCTAAGGTAAATAAATCAAGTAAATTAAAAACTCTGATGTGGTCAGCAACATGCAAGACAAAATACCCTCAACTTGCCTGAAACATAAATTTGAGAAGCATATTTGAACAAAACTAAAAGGGAGAAGAGGAACTCACCAGTTTCTACGGATCTATCATGAAGACCGATCCAGTAACCATCATCACTGGATAAAGTAATACCAATCAAAAGCAAGATTACCATCAAGAAACAGACAGTAAACAAACATTGACTTGGAACAATCTATCTGGTTACTTACAATAAAAATTCAACAAACTGTTAGTGCTAGTAAAGTTGAGAATAAATATTACTGCTCCAGTAAAATCATTTATACATATATCATTCATACATAATGAATATTCTTGAGAATCTGAGAGGAAAACCACTAAATAACCCACGTAGAGCAAAGGAAGTAAATCCACTTAAGGTCAAATTCAGTGAATATATTTCTGAAAGACAACAAAATAGAAACTTTAATGAACTTTAATTGAGGACTTAGGAAGGAAATAACAAATATCGAATTTCACAGTGAGAAAAAGATTATGTGTTTGAGCAACTTTTGAAAGTGAATTTAGTGATTAAAAAACAAGTGATTAGTATACACACTGATCTTATCTAAATGGTTATGAAGGACGTTCTTAATCAGTCTCAGATCTCATCAGAGAAAGGTTTTATATCAATTTTCTTACTTAATCTTGCGTATTATTCATACAGTTTTTCCAATAGAGGCATAAGGATCATGAAATCTTACGGCATTGGGATTTTAGACTTGATGTAGGCTTCTTCATCAGGGTCATGGAAACTGGCGAGTTCAGCTCCATCAGACACACAGGCATCACGAGCTGTGCCCCAGCTACGCTTGATCTTATCTGCATCCTGGCTAACGTCTTCAGCGGTCTCAATCTAAGATGGTGGAAAAGATGAGGAATTCAGAATTGAGGGAAATTGAAGGTCATCACCATTATATAAACTAAGAAAATGGCTATTCAAGACCATTCAATCATTTACTTTCATTGTAGAAAAAAAAAAGTATCCTTTAAAATCACCCCATTCGAATATATAACCCACCAATAAAACTATAAGCTGGATGACTGTCATTACTTCTAAGCTGTTGCTTATGTGATTTTGCTATGAAGTCAGGTTGGATTCTGTTGGATATGTAAAACCTACTACCGGTAGTCATATCTCTTGCAGAGTGACCTATGTAAATGATTGATCTATCAACAGCATAAAAGGATATAACTCACAAAACAATAAAAGAACATTTGTTATGTCTGAACATTGTGTACAGTGTACAATGAAATATTGGTGTTAAAAAATCCAACAAACTGTAGAGCAAAATGCTTAGCAACAGAATATGCATTATGACACAGGACTCATAGTTACAGGGTGTATAGAAAAAAAGATCTGACCTTGAAGCACCAGCCTCCGTAGCCAACCCAGTCATAGTAGCAACCATCATCGCTGGGTACCGTTGGGGGTCCAGGAGCAGGTACAGTTGGGCGGGGCGTGAAACCAGCCCTAACCTTCTCACACACGTATTTGGCCTCGGTGTCGCACTGGATGTTTCTCCACAGGCCAGCAGTGCTGCCTGATGTTGAAGCCACGCAGTAGCCACCAGAATCATCTAAATAGACAGAACATGGAAGGAAAAAAAAAGGAGTGGTGATTAGAAAACTCAGTGCTGTCAGATGTTGGGAGTCTATCATGTGAATTGCATTTATCTTGTGTTCATTGTCTTATTTGGGGTTCCTTGGTTTTGAAATAAGATTGTCACTTTGAAAAGTTATTTCATTCAGTCTCAAACTGTACAAAGCAATATGCATTTTGAGGGATAAAATGTTTTCTGTGACCACTCTTAGCTGCTTGTTCTATAAACTGGTGGATTGATGTGATTGCAATCATGTCACTGCAATATGCAATATGATTCCCATGAAGTATCAATCAATCAATCAGACCCAGTCAAAGAGCTTAATCCAATTCAGTACCATAAGTCCATAGATTAAAGTTAAACTTTACAATAGGAGATCGTAACCAACAGAGGTATCTAATATTTTGGGGTCAGGGAAAGTTTGTTGATATTCTTGAAATTCAAAATGGGCTCATAAATTGTTAATGTTGATATGATGGGACACTCTTCGTTTCAATACCAACAGAAACAAAAGGCCCTACGATTATCAACTTGCCTCATAAAATAGACGAGATATAAGACATGAAAAATGTTTATAAAGTTTGTGACAACATAAGGTTACAATGAAGTCCGATGTCCCCTGATTTTTACCTGGTTGTCCTACATCCCAATGGGTGAAGGTGATGGCAGTCATGTCACTCCATGCATACTCCCCATAGTTCTGTGTATCACTCAATCCAATCCAGAATAGGGTGCCATCTTGAAGGCCTAGAAGACTGGATATGACAGACTGCTCAAACCTGTCGACAAATGAATACAACATATTTTGGAAATTATCCCACTCCGTTAGGATTTCAGCAATTAGAGGACTGAAGAATTCAGAAGCAGATTTAACATGTCGTTATTTTACACTCTCATTTGGCAAAATATCCATCCATCTGTTCCATCTTTTCCATCATTAAATGTGGTTTTGAGTTTGGTACTGCCTAAACTGCCTCAGAACTTGTGAAGTACAAATCAAATAAACTGTAGAAATAAAAAATAGAAACTGAGAAACATAAACCTTCCAAGCCACTCACATAAAAAAAACCTACATGTAGTGGAAGATTCCTAGGATTTCAGGAAAATAAAATTCCCTGATGTTTCCTTGATGCAGTTTCATAATTCCAGGATCACTATTTGAACCTTAATTCCAGTTTGGAACCTTGTTGAAGAACACTAAAAAGCTGCCATATCCAATCGTCCAAGGTATGAGAGACTGACAACTTTCTTTTTAGGCCAATGAAATTCAATGACTTTCCTGCTTGTAGGATTTTTTTCTCAAGTACCGGTACACCATTTTCAAAATGTAATACATGTTTGCCTAGTGCCAAGTCAATAGTCAGAATACAAATTGCATATGCATGTATTGCTAAGTTGGACAAACATTATGGCTTACCCTATCTAAGAAAATACAATTTTCATAACAGATGCAGGAAATAATTTGTAACAAGGCACTTAACAAAGACATATTAAATTTTAATACATTATGAAAATGGCCTTTTCCCTTTAATACTAGAAAAACAAAACAAACTAATTCTTCATGTTTTCCCTGAAGCCCAGGATAGCTGGAAACATTACATTATGCAATGGCTAAGACAATGTTTATTTGTGGCTTTACCTGTCAGCGATGGACACCAAGTTTGCTCCCTTAGTAGAACAATCATTCTGTGCATCAGCAAATGACATCGGCGTGGTCACCGCCATGTAACAAGATCCTCCATAAGCTACCTCTCCCTAAAGATGGTCAAAAAATAAACAAAATTCTCAGCATTATTCTGTCAATTCCTCAACATTATCAGTGAGGCTATGTCTCGACGAAAACCAAGGTTGCTCTTTAAAAATTGTTGTACAAATGTGTTCCTCTTGTTCCTGTGGCTTTCCTAACTCCTAACATCCCTATACACAATCCTTACCCTAATCCCAATTGCAACCCTTACCCCTTTCTTTGGACAAGATCATTAGGCCTAGAGCAATTGCAGCCAACTAAAAGAACCAACTCAAAATAAAACTTTCAGTTGATGAATGAGTTAACTTGAGAGGAGGGCACTAGACCAACTTACAATTGCCCAAAATGATAATGTTAATATCATAGTGATAACATAATACTATAAATAATCAGTAAAATCTGAGAAAACCCCGGTAAAGATCCAACTCATTGGTAACAGAAACGATATTACCTTGTCCAAGTTCAAATCATTAAAGAAAATAGTCATATGCCATGAGGTCATGTGATACCAGATTGTGCAACCTTGAATCATGTGACACCTGATCATGAGACCTTACCAGGTTGCATCCTGAAGGTGTGATTGGTTGGTCTGTAGGTGGCAGATTTTCCTTCTTCAGCTTGCATATGGATGGGATGGTACTGGCACAGGCGATGTCATTCCAAGCTCCCTGTAAGCAAATAATGGTGAGATATAATGTCATTGTCGGCTACCAGCCCACAAGAAGGCCATCAGATCTTTCTATTGTCTATGGCTGTAATGGCCTTCTTGCGGGCCGCTCAAGACGTATGAAACAGGTTAATAATTTACCATATTCTTTATCATACTGATACATAAATGTACTATAAATTCAAAGAAAACTCGGAAGCAAAAAAAATTGATAAACATATTGTTTTGGCACTCGCACTGAGTCTTGCACATTAATATCTTGCATGCATCATTTTCATGCTTCCACAATTTGATTTGGAAATTAAAAATAGTAGATTACCATCCTGTGCAAAGTATTTGTATAAAGCTATCAACTAGAAAAAGAAAAAAGGTATGCAAGGTTTCTTAGAGTGATGATATGGCTACAGAAAAAAAGATTGGGGAAAGGGAGAAAAGGAGTCTCTTACATTGTTGAACATCTCAACGCAGTCTTCATTGTTGCCTTGATAGTTATTGGGCTCTCCAGTGTTCCAGAAGGTGTAATCTACAGGGGTACCATCACTCCATTCAAACAACATCTGAACCCTGAGGTCATTGATTCCAAGCCATACAGCACTGTTGATACCAGCTAAAGGTATGAAGGGATAACAAATGCAATAGAATTAAATAGTATTGACTGGTCTTTGAGGGATTTTTTCTTCAATTACATCTTTATTCTTGAAAAATAATGGAATTTAAAAGAAGTCTGGGTTACTTTTTGTTTCAGAACAATGTACAGGACAATGAAACATATAAAATGAAAGACACCTGAGGGTTGTACAGCACATACTCCAGCATGACAGTTCCTCTGTGGTCGATTCAAGGCCAGCACAAACTAAAGTCCTAACTCTAATCCTGGATTTTTTCCTTTACCTTACCCTAACCCTCACCTAAAAACCCACTAGTAACCCTTACCCTAATCTTATCTCTCGGACGACATAAAGCCCTGAGCTGTTGATGCCAAAGCATATATGATGGATCACTGACCTGAGGCATAGAGTGACTGGACGAAGCTGTTCTCATTGGCATCATGGATTGAGACCAGTTCTGCACCAAGAGCTCTACATTGAGACAAGGCCTGGTTGTAGTTGCCTGTGGATATCTGGACGTAGTAGCAGTTATCACCATAGGATGCCCAGCCGTTGCGGCATCGGTAACCAGGTGGGATGGTGGTCGGTGCTGGGTCTACAACGTCAGTTACTGGCATGGGAAATGGGAGATCAGAAAAGTTATACAATTTGAGATTTTATGTAGCACATAAAAGGGAATTCATGAATTTCTTTTTCTCTAAAGAAAACAAGTAACCATGCATGCATCCTAGATATAAACATTGCACTTCTATTTTTGCACCATCCTTGTACAAACAAACCCATCCCTTTAACAACTTAGAAAAAGGACATTTTGAAATTTTCTGTATAAAGCAAATTGGAGAGGACCTTAAAAGACACATATACATCACAGAGTTTTTTTTGTTTGATTGAATGCAACTATAACAAAAATCAATAATCTATTTTTTATCAAAATTTCACAAATCATTTTACTCTATAATTTTTCGATTAGAAAAAAAAAGATTAAAATCAACTAAATATATGGGGTGAACTTCCCCTTTGAATTGTCTCTGTAATAATCATCACTCGTCCTTACATCGTTGATAATAATCACTGTTGCTGCTTCCTCTAAGCATTGAACCCATGTCCTTGGTCATGTCACTGAGAGCACACTCCATGGTGTCACGATGGTAATCAAATGAGAGACAGTTGAAGTCAGTCATAGTGATGCAAGTCTGAGCGCAGTCTTCTGGGTACATGTTCTGGAGGATGATGACATCATTGCCATCGAGGTACGAGTTGGAAACCACGTTATAGTGTGTGGTCAGATAGCCTAAAAGAGAGAAAAGAAAGACACTGTAATGATATAGTGAATTGGAATAGGAAAAAATACTTTATGTTTCCAATTTAAAAAAAACGAACAATCTATGGGATATTTTACAAAGCGCCTTTCCTTGGGTTAAAACGTACTGCACGCAGTGCTCCACATGTTTGGGCCACTTAAACAATGAAAAATGACCAGTTCAGGCAACCACTTTTGGAATGACAGTGATCAAATCTCTGCACCCCTCTGCAGGCCAGTATAAACATAAAATACATCAACCACTTATAGGCTGATGTTATTTAGATCTATTTCTGTTAAGATATTTACATTAAAACTGTCACAATTGCCTTTTCTTGAATAAGAGAATAACCAAGAACTAAAGCATGTACCAATAAATGTATTTATTGGGAGAAAAAGTAGAAGATACTAGACCAAGAGGGATCTAGGGTGGCAGATAACAGAGATGCATGGACAAATGTTGCAATCAACCTCCGAGCTGGAGAAGATGGCTTGATGGATAGAAAGCATGTACCATATTATGTATTTACAACATTATATTTAAGTATGTCAGTCTTGACAGTATGCAAAATTCATGACAGCTTAAGAGAAAAGAGCTATATTTTCTATGTAGAAGAAGGTTCCAGCATGACAAGCAACAGCTTATCGAAACAGGCAACATTTCTACTGATTATAAAGAAAGAACTAATTTTCAAACCCCATTCAAGGTTTCTGGATTTAATGCACAGTCAGAGAGAGAGCTCTCAAAGCATCTTGTCACAACATAATTACTTTCTTCTTACCATTCTTTTTACAGATGTAGCCAATCTCCCTGTCGCAGAAGAAGTCGTTCCATGTGCCAGTAGCATAATAGATCTGTGTACAATGCTCTCCAGGGTCGTAATTATTGGGCTCATCTGTGTGACAATGCAATGTACAAAGAGCCTATGTGACTATACCATAATCAGTGTGGATTGAATCATTTATCCACTGAAAAGTCTACATTAAGGTATGTTTTTACAAAGAAGAATAAAAATTGATCTAACTAATGTTGGCTGGAGGTTAATTTAAACCAAGAACGCCCTAACCTAAGTGCACATACTCTACATTTTGTACGCTATTAAACTGGAACTTAGGGCACTTCAGGGCTGCTTCTAAAGCATCATAATTCCCAATATATATAAAAATAGAACAAGGGTAATTAAAATCTTCATGTTATTAACTTGCTGGCAATTGAATCAAAATTTGGACAACTATGTATTTGTGTCACTCTGTATTACAAAGAAACTTAGCTTCTAGCTGTGACACAAGTCTTCAGTCTACTTTGTTTATCAAGAGATAAGAGGGGTCAACCTCTTTTCTTACCAGGACCCCAGTTGAGATATGCAAAGCCACTGCCATCACTCCACTGCCATCCTCCTTCCAATGATAGATCATTGGCTCCTATCCACAGACTGGATTGAGTCACATACACAAGACGAGCTGCAAAAATAATAATGATAATAATAATAATAATAATAATAATAATAATCTTTTATTCCACTACAAATTTTATTAAACCGAAAATGGAAATTCTTTTTGTCCAATTGATCGTGAGCCCGGCAGCCACTGAGCAGCGCCAGATCGAGGATGTAACACAAATCAATTGAGATATGATACATTCCAGTCATTCTATGTTTCAGGTTTGTTCATGCGTGAAACATTGGCTGATATCCATAGACTGCACTAGGTTATGGTCTCCTTTTCTGTCTATTTTCTTGTGATTCTTGGTATTCCATCAACTCTTTTCCTCCAATAGTACAACAATTGATTTCTTTACATATGACCTTCACAACCCTGAGAACGGCTCTCCCATTCAAATTATTTTCTATCCTGCTTTTCCCTTCTGTTTCAATGTGCCTTTTAAAAAATATTTTTCATTTGTATCCCTATTTATTGTACCCATCAATGTCACCATTGTAAATATAAGATATTTATTTTTGTAAGTATAGCATCTTTTTCAACCCACATGATTTTGAACCATGATCACATTCCTCACAGCCCTTTAGTCACTGTATAGTGTGTTGATGTCACTTGCCATTGATATAACAGCTCTGCTCAGTCTGTTATAGTAACACTTTCACTTGTACAGTTATAATTTTTAAACCATATATCATGATCACTATTAATTCATAGTCATTATATCCAGTGCTACAGTCACTTACCATTGATATAAGTCTGTTCCGTTGAGTCTAAAATGCTGAGCAGTTCTCCTCCACCGAGTTTACACTGCATCCTTGCGTCATCCCAGGTCCTGTAATCAGTGGTCTTGAAGAGGTAGCAGTTCCCTGAGAGGGGGTCGTATTCCCAGCCGTTTCCGCATCGAGGATCAAACACGGCTATGATTAAGGCAACAGGAGAAGAGACTTGAAATATTTTTAACCCCTATGTGCCATCAAGTTTATAGCAAAGTATCAAACATTGAGTTTGATACCTGCAGTTTCCAATCACAGTGCCTTTCACCTTGCCCCATTGTTTATTATGAGACAAAAGTTATTCCATGATATCTAACTCCACAATCAGCGATGCAGTTTTGAATTTCATGAAGAAAGGCAAGCTTTTTCTTTATTCTCTAAAACAAAATACAATATCAAGGCAGAATAATCTAAAGAGCTATCATTTGATTTGACCAACAAAAAAGGCAAGCTCCAAACTCAATAACTTTGTTACAGATAGATAATAATACATTTTGTCTGTTTGGAGTCGGAAGGGCATTAAGTCAAATACATTAATACAGAATTAACGCCCTTCTGGCTCTTAACAGAAGATTTGCTGTGTAAACATGAACAAATAAAATAAACTACAAGTATGAAAGAAGAAATCTTACGCGTTGGGACAGCTGGCGGAGGCTGACTTTGTCCAGGTACTGTAAAGAGAGAATAAAGTATCATTTACAATAATAAATATAGGAATAAATATGAATATAAAATATATATTATTACAATATGTCATAGAGAGATAGATAGCACCTTTTCCCATGAATATCTAAAGTGCTGTAACTGTAGTCCTTATGTAAGGCAATTACTACACTGACGGTCAGTATTACTGCATGTATACTAGTAAAGAAAACTTGCTCTACCATACTATTTTTAAGAGGTGCTGTGCTTAAATATGAAATGAATATCCAAAAACAGCCATAGCTGGATTCATGACATAATTCTTTCCTGAGGATACACAGCATTGAATTTCATTAATAATTCCTCTTAAGCAAAGTTTTAATTATAAGGTGCTCAAGCATTCAAAGAATTTTACTGTACCCAACTTCCCCTGGGCTGAGAGTGGGAAATGTAGATTAATGTTACAATAGAGATTGTTTAATTGTATAGCATGGAATTGATTATCATACCCCACGGTCTGTAGTCTGGCAACTAAGCAACGAGATCACAACATCTACAATTGGTCATGTCAAGTGATAAATGATTTTTTAAAAATCTCCATTAATTTCATGATTTAAAAGAACAATATTTGCAAACAAACTCACTTTTAGGCTTTTTACAGACGTAAGCAGTGCGCGTCTTGACACAGTTGATATCATCCCAGATACCCTCTTCATCATCCGCATATTTGATGATGGTACAATCCTGACCATCGTCGCTCCAGTCATTAGGTTGGTTTGGACCCCAGTTGCTAAAGGTTACCTAGACGATACGAGACGGGAGGCAAAAACAATCATCATCATCATTGTCAAATGAAGATACTTTGCTGGTCATACGTATGTGTTGCCAAAAAAATGATAGTTGTGTTTTGTTTGAATCTTGTTGGTCTTAGATCTTAGAAATAATAATGGAAAAAAATATCTTTTTTCGAATTTATTTGTAGCTTTAAAAGCTGGAAGATTATAGAAATAACATTATTTTTCTTATTAGAATCTCTGATTATTTGTAACATAAGTGGCTTATCAATTTGTGTAATTTTATCATCGAGCTATGTTAAATTTTTATTTTGTTAAGCTCATGTAGATGACAACATATAATACAATATAAGCCTAACATTATTATGTTTATTATTACTTACGGGAGAGCCATCAGTCCATTCAAAGTTGTCCTCACTGTTCAAGTCAAAGAAACCAATGTACAGATTTCGCTCAGCCATGCTAGCACGCACTTTAGGAAAATGAAAAGAAAGAATGTGCCAATCATTACAAATTTATATGATGAAGTCATCTACTACTACTACTACTACACACTACTGTCATGTTGCAGAAAAATGAATTATTATTAGAGGATATCATCAAGAAAAATTGCACATTATCTTTAAATGTTCGTGAATAGGTGACATTTTTGTTGTTGGTACATGTATTAGTAGGCAGACATCCACCAGGAAAACAAATCTTTTTTTCTTTGACATCCGTGGAAAGTGGTGTCCTTTTTACATGTGCAAATATAATCAAATCTGAACCAGTTGCAGATTTTGTGAACGTTTCATGCAAGCAAAATTAACAATTTTTATGTAGTTAGTCCCCTATAAAGGGAGAAATGATGAAATGAAGGTCCAAATCTAAAGTTGACTTACTAGAGAGGAAAGACTGTTCCTCTTGGTCATTGATACTGGTCAGATGTGCTCCCATCTGTACACAGTCAGCCTCAGCGTCATCAAAATAAGCTGCGTTACCAACAGTCTTGTAGCAGTGGTCTCTGTTCAGGGTCCAGCCAGCCTCACAAGAACCAATCGCTGATTGAAGTCAAGGAAAGAATAAAGTTAGAGTGGAATAGAAAAGCTTGTGGGAGCGCTGGAGTATATCAGCGAAGTCAAGACTCTTGGTTACATCCTTGGACAAGATGTCTTGTCCATACCGTTATTTGTCACAAGAGTAATGGGTACCTCCTGCTTACTGCATTGTATTGTCTCATTACATACTAGTTGAGCAAGTATAAGAATCTACAAAATAATGATGATAGATGTTTCTTATAAGGCGGTTCACCACTTATGACATAACTGACCAATACATCTAAATCCAGAGATGTGCTCACCATTTCCCACCTTCCATGTCATTCTATCATATCACTTTTTATATAAAACTATCTTGAAAAAAATCATCAACTTACGGATATTGGGATCAAGGGGGAAGATGGGTTGACCTGTGGAAAAAAAACGAGAATTAATATGAAAGCTTTTGATTTATATCATCATGCAGTCAATTCCCAGTAAAATTGCATTTAACAGAAATAAAAGATGCAGAGTGATCATTATAATACATGTCTTTCACAACAAAACAGATGTGATGGCTCAGTGGCAGAGCAGTGGTCTTGAGATAGGAAAGTCTTGGGTTCAAAACCACATTGACATATTATTGACCTTTGGTAAGGTATTGCTTTTCAAAATTACTAAGTCCTCTGGATTTTTACATGGTCTCTTAAAGTATATCATAAATTCTTTGGCATCAGGTAAAGGAAAAGTACACATCATCATTGTCATTAAATCACTGTCATTACATAACATTAATTTGGTGACAAAATAATTTAATATACAACAAAGTATAGGGCTTGACACAGAAGTCAAAGGGTAAAAGCCACTCTGAATTTTACATGAGAGGCTACAATATCCAAAACAATTGATAATTATTTGGTTAAGGTGCATAGCATCTTCTTATTAGTAATGATGTCCATAAAATACTCCATAAAACAAAAGCCAGTATCATTTGAAGTGTGACTTACTTGCTCTGACTTTGCAGACAAAGGCTTCTAAAGTGAAACAGTTTTTGGTTGACCAGCTCCCATCCCCTCCAGCTGCAGAGTGATAAAACAAAAATACGATGTGACTTGAGAAATGAAAAACAGATAATACAAAATGTATTGATATTCTAATGTGGTTTCAACTTGATTTGAATATTATATTTTCAGACAAAATTTATTACTACCATTCAATATATTCTCTCATCTCATTTCACTTATAATTGCTATAATTAAATCTTTTAGTTTACTCATAGGCCTTCCACCAGTTTGTTCTGCATTCTCAACTAATCATCTCAATACTGTAACTGAAAAAAAATAAAAACTTGTTACAAAGCAGATCCTTTTTCTCATTTTCATATCTTAATAATTAATGTTTATTCATCACATTGCTGGTACTTAACCATAGTAAATTTGTAAGGAACTAAGAGGTTGACACTTGGCCTTTTGTAATCAGAGAATGAACTTCAGCCAGGTTTATTATAGGCTGGTTTCAAAAATAAGGGCTTATGTCTCCACCATACCTGTCATCATAGATCCACAGTCAGAGGTAGCAGGGTTATCGGTAGGCTCATCGGGTCTCATCCAGTTAGTGTAGCCTACTGAGCTGCCCTCACTCCACGCAAATGATCCATCATTCTCAGTGTCTATGAACAAAACCAAAAAGGAGAAGAAGAAAAATGATGTAATGTAGCATATTAATCAATAAATGAAGAAAAGTTTTCTAATGGGCAAGAATGGCAAAAAATAAAAGGCTTAAGTATCTTACTTCAATATCTGGGACATTGCATTTAGAAATTAATATGAAAATATAATATAAGATTATTACGGTGACTTTATGTGAGGTACTAATACAAAAAGGACTTCTGGTACTGATTTTCCTTTCATAAGAATTCATGAGTGTTGTTCACAGAACAGGTGTTCAGATATGGAAAGTGAGAGAGAGAGAGAGAGAGAGAGAGAGAGAGAGAAATACCAGCAGCAATAATAGTTGTCAAACCAATACATAAGGATGGTTTAAATCATTACTAATTACATGAAGTCCTTTGACAGATCAAAAAGGTAATTGCCTGCGACCCCAATGGTGTCGTGGTCGAATGGATACGTCGCCGGACTGTCGATCACAAGGTCCGCGGTATAAGTCACGCCGCGGCACTAATGTCCTTTAGCAGGACATTGATCTACATTTGCCACACTCAACCCAGGTGATGTAAATGGGTACCTGGCAGGAATTAATTCCTTGAAATGCTGGAGCACTGTAATGGCTGCTAGGCTAAAGCCGGGGTAATAATAAAAGCGCCTCGGAATAGAATTTCTAGATAGACAGCACTATAGAAATGCCTATTATTATTATTATTACCTTCCTCAGACATGTCCTGCTGACTTAAACTAGCTGCCAGTTTTTATGATCATCCAGTGGATGAAATAAAATGGTCTCAGGTTAACAACTCTTAAAGAACAGGTCAATAGAAATTTGACCCTTATAGTATACTACATACCAGAAATGCCAATCCACGTGGATGATATGCCAAGGTTCTCCAAGTCCAGGAAATAATCTCTGATGTACTTGTTCTCCACATCCGAGAGGACAGAGGTCATAAAGGCTCCTTGAGCCTCACAGGTATGCTTGGCATCGGTCCATGTCTGCTTGGTGGCAGAGTTGAACTGGTAGCAGTATCCACGGAACAAACGCCATCCTTCAGGACAGGTTCCTGCAAGGGGATAAAATCAGGACCTTGGTATCATCATGGTGATTATGATAGAAAATGATAGGCACAACAAGGAGATCATGAAAGAGTGTTTCAGGAATGCTTGTCATTGCTCCCTTCTGCATGATGGCCAAAACAAAGAGGAGGAGGAGGAAGAGGAGGAGGAGGAGGAGGAGGAGTAGGAGGAGGAGGAGGAGGAGGAGGAAGAGGAAGAGGAAGAGGAAGAGGAAGAGGAAGAGGAAGAGGAAGAGGAAGAGGAAGAGGAAGAGGAAGAGGAAGAGGAAGAGGAAGAGGAAGAGGAAGAGGAAGAGGAAGAGGAAGAAGAAGAAGAAGAAAAAGAAGGAAAAAAGGCAGCATGAAAACAGAGGAATCTAGAATCTTACCCTCTGCTCTTTCACACATAAAACTTTGAGTTGCTGAACAAGTCATAGTAGACCATTCTCCATTATTAGATGTATCCAGAACCTCTACACAATTACCACCACTTGAGTCATACCTGAAAAGAAAAGAATACACTACACATCATCTGTTTGGAGCCACAAGGAAGTTATCTACCGGGTTGCCTTTAACAAAGAGATATTATGCCATTATTTGCCTCTAACCAGCAATGGTGCATCCAAACCATATGTATGACATACAGTCAAACCTGCTTTAAGCGTTGGTCACAACTGACCGTGCGTTTTTTTAGTCCGTACGGTTTTTGGGGAGGCCACGGCCGCCACGTTTTTCTCAAAACGTAGGGAGGGAGTGGCAAAGGGTGTAGAGGTCAGTGGGGAGTACCGGCAACACATGTCACACGCACTGGGGGGTGAATCGGTAGCCCGAACGCAGCCCGAATGCAGCGAAAGTTCCTCGTGCACTAAAAGTGCTACGGTGTGTCTGCGTGCTCCCAAATCCGTACAGAGGCGGCACTCACCAGTACGGTTACTCAAATTTTGCCCACGTTTTTGCACATAGACAGCACGCACTTGCAAGTACGGCGGGATGTGACCACCGCATTAGTGACCACCTGTCTACAAAGGCCACATATGTTGTTTCCCTTGAAAAGGTTTCTCACTGAATCATGTACTGTAGGAACCTGTCTACAAAGGCCACTTTTTGTGTTTCCCTTTGGTGGTCGCTATAGACAGGTTTGACTGTATATGATGAAAAGTGCATTGGTTGAACAATCAAAATGCATAATGATTCACACAATGCAGCTCTTTGAGCATCAAAACAAATCAGAAATTAATCACTTTTATATATTTATAATTGACTTATATACCAATAAATCAATGATCACCTTGACTATATTTAAAAAAGGAATAACATATACCTCTAAATTTGTGCCGTATTATAAATCATAAAACTAAATAAGTTCTGAATTGTCGAAAACCCACTTTGCTTCACATCCAAAAAATTGCACAATTCCCAAGTTAAGATGGGAATTGATTATGTTAAATACACTCAGAACCACATGTTATTTATACAATGACCCAGAATATATCGGTAAGGAAACAAACCATAAGATTGAATAATTAATAATCGGACACATAATTTGTCAAGAATAGATTAAGCATAACACTTGGGTTGTAGATTGGATTTAATCAAAGGGTTAGGTAAAGTGCTGGGTTTAGGGTTGAAGTTAGTACTTCAGTTTGTGTGGGACTACGGTGCTATTATCGCAAGAACTTGTGCCATATAACTGAGAATATCAATAATCAGAGGACTGCAGTTTACTGACCTACTGTCGGGCTGATTAGGTCCCCAGTTTGTGTATCCCAAATCCTGTCCACTACTCCATGCGTATGTACCAGACTGTAAGGAGACAGAAAAATGATAATATTTAATATGATTTTGTTTTACAGATGTGAAATGTCAAAATCGTTTAGGTTTATGATTATTTCTTGCACTAGTGCCCAGCTGATTGTGCATGTACTCTGTCAGTCATTAGGAATTCATTAGTTCCCTGACAAGATTATAATTTGACAAAAAACTTATACCACTTTTACAAATGCAGAATTATCAATTTGGCAGACACCATAAACAGTGGTCATAATTTCTTGGTAATACTAGGCAAGTATACCCATGTTTCATAACTGAACAAACAAACACTTAGCTGTATGACATCTTTTCTAATGTTAGACTCTAAAATGATCTGAAAACTGTAATAAACTGTTTTATTTTTTATTTTTTATTTTTTATAATTTTGAGTAAAGGATTTCATAAAAGAATATTTGAGTATAACGACTACCTACCTAAAATGTGATAAGCCTTCTATTTTTCCTTTTGCTTGCTTGCCAGAAATTTGCAGATGTGTCCCCCCCCCCCTCCCCCCTTCAACAAAAAAATCCTGGATCTGCCTCTGCATCTTGAGACATTGCTGTGGACTTACGTTCATTCTCAACCCAATCCAGAGAGTAGATCCTCCAAAGTTAGCTTGCGTCGAGACCACTGTCTGTTCTTCCTCGGACGTGACTGAAATGAGATTTCCATCGCCGCCCTCGCAGTACTTCTGGGCATCCTGCCATGTACTAGGGATGTCGTAGAACTTGTAGCAGCGACTGGCCGCAGACATCCAGCCGTTACCTTCATCGCATTTCACGATCACATCTAATACAACCAGTAAATTAGGGTTAATCAATTTAGAATAGGCAGGACTACAAAATGATATCGCATGGGAACACAAATACAACGGGCATTTTTTTTAGTCAACTAATGTGCAATTATGTTATATGAGGTAACATAATTTTGTAGAATAATCAAAACAAAATAAATGGTCATGAAGAATTGTAAGAAAATCCTAAACTATTTAAATTAATGTTAAAAGCAACACATACATTTTCATTTTTTTTTCTTCAAATTTGTTCGATAAGTTTATCACTAAACTATTTCTTGTCAAGTCTTTGGCAAAATTGTATTACCACAGAAAATAACTACATTTTACATCATAAGAACAATCAAGTTATCACATTCATATTTGAAAATATTAGAAAAAAAACACAACAAATAACTGTGTTATTACTTAAAATACCCCCAAAAAATGATAAGCTTGAAGAAAAATGGATCTTTGAGGAAAAGGAATTGATCCTTTTAATACAGTGCAGCAGCATATAGTTAAGTAAACTATGTTCAGGAGATGTTATATGGTAGCGATTGGATATTAATAGTAAAAGGGATACTTTTGTAAACAGTTTGAGGGAATGAATCATGTGCATTTTTATTAAAGAATGGAGCGAAGTTTTCTACTGTTTTAAGCAGGATTATGGATTAGCTGGGATAAGCAGTCTAGATTGAGTTGCAGAGGGGATGATGTTTGATGTATAGAATATAGTAGTATTCTGCCGGTTGGTTTATAGTGCAGAGTTTGTTAATAGTAGTCTAATGCTAAAAAGAAATAGAAGGTAGTAGGTTTTAATAGCAGAGGGAGTATGTTACAGCTATGAGGCTATTGCAGTATCTACTAGGCATGTACATAAAAATCTGCAGGCAAGCTGATTTTGTTCATTTGTTGTTGCTGTTGAAGGACGGGCTTGTTGTCGCAGAGGCTCATTTGTTTTGAGATTGCTATATTCCTCTCTACCAAGTCTGAAGCTAAACCTGGCTGTCATCTTTCTATGCCTCATCCTCCTAAAGCAAACGAAAATCGACGACCTAGCTTTCATTACCGTTATCTCTTTGACAGATGAATGGACGTGTCGCGTAGCAATCCTCGTCGTTCCAGAGCCCTACAGTAATGATCGTCGTGCAATCCTCTCCTCCCCCATAGTTGTTAGGTTCCCCTGCGTTCCAAAACCTGTGACAAAATCATACTAGCTTTGAAAATGAATGCTGGGTGTGACTAAATAACTGAATGCAGGGTGAGCCTAAAGCACTGAATGGAGTGTGAGCCTGAGAGAAGAGCATTTTGAGGGGTTTTAGAAGCTTGATACTTTACCATTGTCTCTCTGGCAAAGATAAGGCCTTATTGCATAGCAGTCTTGGTCATTCCAGAGACCTGTGTTTGTAATTTCACCACAATCCTCTGCTCCAAAGTCGTTATTTGGTTCACCACTATTCCAGAACCTAATTTGCGGTGAATATTTTGGGGAGGTATAGTACAACATGCAAACAAATATGAAAGGAGAAGTACAGTATCTGGTTTGCTAGTCTGCCACATGATATGCATCCAATTCTGGCATCCAATTGTGGAAAGAGAGTAAATGCTAGAGAAAAGGTAGATAGGACAGAATGATAGTTTAAATCAGCAAACGAAAATAAACAATGCTATCAGTATCAGAAAACATTTTTTCTCCAGGAAATCAATTTACAAAAGTTTTTATCATGCCTTATGGAAAATGAAAACTATAAACAGAATTTTTAAGCGAGCTTTGCAACTTTGCGGTAACATCATGTATTCTTTTGACTTTTGACCTAAAAAGGGTCCACTCATATAATTAGAATTATTTAACGTACCAGTATTGAAAAGGAAATGATCACACAAAAGACAAACATATCATGGAATCCACAGGTGGGAGATTTTGCTACAATACATTTAGTAGAAACTGAGGTTTATTCAGTAATATTGTCAAAACTTTAATTACATACATGACTAGGAACGGCCCATAAAGGCACTTGAGGTAGGATTTCTTACGGGTTTGGGATAGGGCTGTTGTCTACGAAGACAAAGTCTCCTTCTGTACTGACATCATGCACACCAATCCAATGACTATTACCGGAGTTAGCATTGATCATCTGAGTCAAGATATCCTGCAGGGGGAGGAGGAGGAGGGGTCAGGTATGAGACAATGAGAGATAGATGAATCGTCCAATGGCTTAGTTTCAATAGGACATTTTCTTAATGTAATCAAATTTAATGCCCATCTATGTCTTTGATGAGCGCCGTGTTATGAATTATTATATTCACCCGTTAGAAATGATTGTATTTCAATAGAATTCAAGCTGCATACATCAGCCCGTATTCTACTAATCCAGTTAAACCAGACCCTAGTCACAATTGAAAAAGAAAAACATCGACCTCAGTTTAACATCCTTTGTTAAATTTGATTTGAAGAAATGTCTGAACTAAGTGTCTGGTTTAGTGGACTTTAGGCTGATGTATGCAGCTTGGATTCTATTGGTAGGACAAGCCATAATATTTCTGACCTAGCAACAACTTATTTAGGTAATTTGTATTCCGATTGTTGAGATCAAATAATGAATATCAGGTTAATGTAATAGCTCTTTGACAGGTAAATGCATATCAAGTTGAAGAGAAATTTGAAAATGGTCTATTATTATTGAAATTAGTGCCTCAATATAGTGAGAGAAGAATTTTTCAGAGCCCTCAAAATTAATAGTTTCTTCACTGTTTGCACTGTGCACAAACAAGCAAGATACCATATCCAATCTGAACTGTGTTCCTACAATTGGTTGTTATGATAATAAGAGAAGCAGTACGGGCACCTGCCAACCAAACTCTGGTTTCCGATGTTAAAGACATATCTGTTATACATCTTTAAAGATCTTTGATATATATATATATATATATATACTACAAACTAGGAACTTTGAAGTGCATAAAAAGTTAATGAATTTTGTGAGTGGTTTGTATTTGCCAAAGTTAATTTTGCCTTGACAAACTCCATCAAAATTTAAATAACCCTAAATGTTTGCGATTCAAGAAAGATTCTTGCGTTGAAAATGGCCGTACATCACCAAAAAAAAATCAAGAGATTTTGTTCATTTAGCGATATTGATATTTCTGTTAATCACAGCAGGCAGTATACTAGTAGCTACATGTAGATAATTAGAACACATAATGTAGACTTACATTGATATCCTGTGTTTTTGGCATAGCCAAGGTGCCTCCATCGTTCTCACATGAGATCTGAGCTTCATGCCAGTTTTTGTTGTCTGGTGTGAGTTTGAAGCAGTTATCCCCAGATAGCGTCCAGCCTGTAGCGCATACCTGACAGAGGACTAGATCAAAAGGAGAAAAAGTTTTTTTTTTTAGGGGACTTAATAAGGTAGAAGAATAAAGGAAGTAAACAAAACACAACTTTATACATTTCTTCACAGGAGGTCCAGATAGAAATGTAAGAGTCTGTTATGCACTGGTCATGTGTTAAGATTTATTTGGGGGTTCTGGAGTTAGAATTTGGAGATCCATGCCAATAAAACCGAACTATTGCCAAAGGTGCAGAAATAAAGAAATGACAGATATAACAGGACTCCTATCTTGATACACATACCGGTATTGCAGTTATTCACTCTTTTATTTCTATTAGAGTAATGTTCTCCTTTTGGGTATGAAGTTCCATGATACATGTACAACATTCATTTTTAATGGGCTTCATCCCAAGTTATTTAGTACTTAATGAGTTATTACTTCAAAAAAAAGAAAAGCATATGTCATAGATACTGAACTAGACATAGTATCATTTTTCTTTTTAATTACCAGTAACTTAAAACATTTTTAAGAAGGATCACAACATCCTTTCATACTGTTAAAAGATGCAATGTTTCACAGGTAGAATTTGTGAGGCCTATTCATTGATAGGTACATTGAAAAGTCACAGGAGTAACTCAGCATAATTGATAAAGAGTGTTAAATTACATTTTAACATATGTTTCCTTTAATTCTAAAAAGAAGGTTCTTTAATCTCTCAGTATTTTATAGAAATCGTTACTAAAACACCCCTCATTGGCAATAAAACACATGTATGACTACCCACTTGGGGCGTGTCAAAAGAGAAATCAGCATTCAATGGTCGAGAATTGCTATCTGGGATTGTGAATTTGTAAACACAAGACATTGAGGTAGGCCTACAGCTCCAAATACTGTATGATTTTGGACACTCATGTCACAAAACTGCCCAACTCCTCCTCTGGGGCACAGCTAATGAAACTAACAGGAAATTTCTACAAATTATTTTAAAGTATTTTCTAAGAGTTCACATAACCCATGGCCATTCTTTGACAGTTTCTTTTTTTAATAGACATCCCAAAACATTTTCCCCTGGTCTTCAATTTGATAGATGATTGAGATAAAAGCTTCTTAGCTTTGTTTCCCTCTTTCTTACTCAATGCCATCATCATCCGATGAGAATGCCACAAGGTAATTGATTACTAAAGAAGGGGGCGGTTCATGTACAATTGAGATCTAGGAGATATAAACAAACTTGGAGGCAAACATCCCCTAGTAGGATGCACGCAAATGATCGTAAGATGTGTGTATGCATATCCTTCGACTAATCAGCGGTATCCTTACATTTAATCTGATAAGAAACAGATAATTAAACTACTACCTCATATAAATAATTCAAATGATGGGATTTAATGGAGGGGGGGGGGGGTGATACTCTACATTCGCATGTTAGTTAGCTGCTTTACGTAACACAATCTGATTTGTAAGTACGTGTAACTGCAGCTTCATATAGGTACTGATAGTGAATAAACATTTGTTGTATAACACTCAAGGATATACCAACATGGTATAACATGCTCATTTCTATTTTGAAGGATATATATACCCTGATTTCATTTACAAGGGAGGGTAGTAGTGAGGGTACAGACATTCATTTTAATGTTCTGAAACATAATCTGATTTACATTTAGGCCTACATTTATACCCCTTAAATGAAGTACAGGTAATATTGAAGATTTCATTATCTCTTTTACACCCACATGCTTTAATGTAAAACATTGATATGATCCATCTTTCTTTCTTTTTTTTGTTGGGGGGGGGGTAGGTGTGGTGGGGGTAAAGTATATCCTGAACTATTTTGATGTTTTGTTACACAATCGGATTTACATGTAACTGAAGTAAAGAAACACACAATGACTTTTGTTACATAACCACCACCACCACTTTCATTTCATTATGACATCATGCTCTTGTCAACTTTGGATATTTACCTTTTTTTTTATTGGAGGGGCAGGAGGAAGGGGGGGGGGGTAACAGTTCTTCCAATCTTTACTAACTGACATGAAGTACAGATAACATACTCTATTGATTGCATGGCATTGAAGAATAGAAGAATTTTATCACAAATGTACCTTTTTGTTATACAATGGGCTCCATACCATGTTTGGAAGGAGTCTGGAATGATATGCACAAGCCCTATGTTAAATTTTAGGGTCTGGAGTTATATTTTGGGTGCCCATGTGTCCAGGGTAACTATTTATGTTGAGCCCTGCAATATCAACTCAAAGTGAAATATACAGAAAAAATGAAAGAAAAATCTTTGAGCAATATTTTAAAAAAAAATGAAATGTGTGAACATTAAAACAAAACTAGATGGAATTCGACTGCGCGCAGTCGAAAATGATGCCTCCGTCATAGAGCAATTTTACAAACCAAAACGGAAGAAATTTTTCAAATTCAAGTTCAATTGTAATCCATTAACAGGTTCTCAGAATATCGTGATTACAAACAATTTCTCATATACATATATGACCCTTTGAACTTTGACCTCATGATCCTAATATCTACTCAGCTCATTGGCTCTGCAAGATATCCAGAGTTAAATAGTAATCCATCTGTCAGTTCTAATGAGAATGCGTTCACAAGCTATTTTTGCATACATAATGAGCCCATGACCTTGGACCTTATGAACCAAGAATCTACACAGTTCATTGGCTCTGCAAGATACATAAATGATCTAAGTTTGGCAGGAATCCATCAATCTGTTCTAATAATAACGCGATCACAAGCTGTTTTTGCATACATAATGGGCGCTGTGACCTTTGACCTTTGACCTCGTTACCCAAAATCTAATAAGTTCATCGGCTCTGCAAGTAACATACATGACCTAAGTTTGGCAGGAATCCATCAATTGGTTCTTGAGATAACGCGATCACAAGCTGTTTTTGCATACATAATGAGCCCTGTGACCTTTGACTTTTGACCTCGTGACCCCAAAATCTAATCAGTTCATTGGCTCTGCAAGATACATACATGACCAAAGTTTGGCAGGAATCCATCTATCGGTTCTTCAGATAACGCGATCACGAGCCGTTTTGCATACATAATGAGCCCTGTGACCTTTGACCTTTGACCTCGTGACGCCAAAATCTAATCAGTTCATCGACTCTACAAGATACATACATGACCAAAGTTTGGCAGGAATCCATCAATCGGTTCTTCAGATAACGCGATCACGAGCTGTTTTTGCATACATAATGAGCCCTGTGACCTTTGACCTTTGACCTCGTGACCCCAAAATCTAATCAGTTCATCGACTTTGCTAGATACATAAATGACCAAAGTTTGGTAGGAATCCATTGATCCGTTCTTCAGATAACGTGATCACGAGAACGGGACGTACGTACAGACGTACGTACAGACGTACGGACGGACGGACGGACGGACGGACAACCCGAAAACATAATGCCTCCGGCTACTTCGTAACGGAGGCATAAAAAACATGTATATGCTAAGCAAACATAGAAAACATAAAAATTAAGAACTGTTCCAACATCTGTTTTAAAGATGTTGGAACAGTTCTTTTAACGCCCCTAAAAGAGATACATATTTAGATTGTTCTTATTTTATGAGCTTCATACTTCAAACCTAATTTGACTTTGTATTTCTAGAGCTACTGTAAGAAACTGCCCTTACTACTCATGATGAGGAAAATCAAATACATGATACAGGACTTAACTTATATTTTCCAATGAAAACATGAATTGGAAGAAAAAATGTTAAGATTTTGTTATTCTTGCAGAATCGTTAAAACATTAGTAAACCCTACAAATGAGAAAATTACTTTGAAAAATGTACATGTATTTCAATTTTGTGAAAATAAATACACACTTCAGCTCTTAGTTCATACAAGTACGGTTGGTCACTATTCTCTTTCAACATATCTCAAATTCTCCCTCTCTCTCTCTCTCTGGTGGCAACACTAGTCATGTGAACTTCTCTCTCTCTTATTCTTCTGTATTTCTCTCAAACATTCCTTCTTCCATTTCTTATATTCTGATTGATTTTTGTCTCCCATTACTTCTGTAACATTTCTTCAAAAATGTTTCTCTCCATAAGTCCATTTATCTCTCTCTCTCTCTGTCACTGTTTCTCTTTCTCTCTCTCTACATATCTCTTAATCTCTCAATACAATTTTGAAGATTTTAAAGACTTCTCTGTTCATATCCCTCTTTCCCCTTATCTCTCATCTCTTTCTCTCTCTTTATGTGTCTCCCTTTTATGATTCTCTCTTTTTATGTGTCTCTTTTTATGTGTCTCTTTTATGATTCTCTCTTTTTATGTGTCTCTTTTTATGTGTCTCTTTTATGATTCTCTCTTTTTATGTGTCTCTTTTATGTTCGGTCTCTCTCTCTCTCTCACCATTTCTTTCTCTCTCTCTCTCATAGGTCTCAAAGGTAGAAGAGTGTGGTTGACTTACCGATTGCTGGCTGGAGCAGCACAAGTAAAGCTAATATTCTGAACATTTTCCAAAGATAAGTTCAACCCTCTTTCTTTAGAGGGTTTGAAGGCAAAATTTCAATTGATATGACAAGATTTATGGCAACCAATATTCAAATTTCTTTCCTCTTATGTCCAAACTTGTTCAGTAAATCAAATACAACGGCTCATCAAACCACCCCAAATCAGTCTAAATATTGGGGAATAAGATGTGATATGATATTGATCAGAGATCAAAGAACTGATAAACTGAGGAAAGGAAGATGTCTTCCAGTTCCAAAGAAACTGTTGCCTGCTACTTAAAAAAAGCACTCAGGCTTACAAGTTTGTTCCACACACCCCCTCTATGATGCTTTCAACCCTCAAGTGGATCTGAATTCATGTTAAGGGGGTGTTTTACCATTTCTTCTAAATTACCCATGATGCAAAGAGATGTACAAGCTCCTCCCCCACTGATTTGTTTGTGAAGAGATAAGAAGACAAACTAGTGGTTTGGGATGGAGCTGCATAAGAGACAACAGCAAATAAAAAGGGAGATTTGTACACCCCCCCCCCCCAACCCCAACCCAAATAAGAAGTTTGCAGGAAATTGGTAGAGCATCCTGCAAAATTTGAGTGTTTGTACTCACCTCTGACTCCTTACCAACAAGAGCATATTCTTTTTCTATTCAGAATCATAATAAATTGATAAACCCTTCAATTTACAACACACACACACACACACACACACACGCACAAAGGGTAGCATATGGACATAAAATATATCATTCAATCACTTTTATTCAACAATTTATTCCAAATATTTGGCAGAAGTATGTAATGATCTTCCTAATAAAGATCATTTCATTGTATGTGCACTAATATTTTATAAAACATCCCTGATTTGGATCTGCATTTATACATCTTAATTTACAACCATAACTTTACAATCAAATAATCTTTAGTTCTTTACAACTCGCCAAAATGTTAACTTTTCTTGACACTAACAATGGCAAGCATACATATAACTCTATCATACTTTTATTCCCTTTCATGTACAATTCTATAAATACCCCGTACAAGTAAAAGCACGAAATGGACCGGCAGTGCTTATCATTTATCATTTTTATCAATAATGAAATTTATGTTTACCATACACTCTGATACACTGTACGAAATATGTTTTTATGAAACACAATAAACTTTGAATGAAATCAATTAAATGATATACTGATCTTGATCTGCTGAAATATGGAAATTATGTCAATATTTGTAAAACCTGTTAAAAAGGACAGGCTCATTGATGAAAACTACAATTTGCGCTGCATTTGACTGTAAACCTAACCATCGTGTTGTGTGAAAGCAGATTCAATATTACAATACAATGCCAAATCAGAGATGAAAATATTAACAGAATACTGAGGGTTTTTTTCATTTTTTTCCTTACATTACTTCACATACATGTGCATCCAATATATTGAGCACTAAATATGGAAAACATATCTTTTCATGGACATATCAACAGGTGCAGCGTAACAAACAAAAAATCAAACAAACATATTTGTGCTAGAGCTTACAAACATTATGACACATAAATGCAGTGATGAATAATCAAGTAGAACAAAGTTGTAAATACTCATTCTCAAACCAATATAATTTTGAGTATGCTCATTTCACTTAGCAGAATCGTGTGATATGTTTCAAATGATAATGCATAGAAGGTATTTGAATTTTCTATCAAATAAATACCTGTTTATTCAAAATAAAAGTGTTGGATCTGATATGTACAAGTTTTTTGTGCAAACCTTGAAATTTCACTTATATCATATGAGAGAGTACTTAAAATCTCTGATTTTGAATTTCATCTGACAGAGAGGAGAATGTTACATTCAATAATTTCAAACGCCCTTCTGGCTCTCAACAGATGATTTACAAAAAGTTTTAATCTTCACAAAATAGAAATGAATTCACCAATTTACACACACACTTTTTTGCTATGTTTAATGAGGAGAGAAATAAGAGCAGTCCAAATACTGGATTTCTAGAGCTAAGAGGCCAATGTTGCCATTCTACTTTTCTCTCTCAACAATGGCTCGTTAATGCCACCGTATTTAATAGGGGTCATTATTATTACAGTCCCTAAATGGTGCAGGGTGTACCACATAGCATCAAAGCATCAAATGGTGACTCCCTGAGTAATCCAGGCCAGTCCAATATGTTATGCAATGTTTGCTTTTGTAAGAGGGTGAGCAGGAGGGTCCATTGGGGGTGTGTTTAAAGGCGGTAGGCAGCCCCTTCTTATCAACATCTCACCACTCGGAGAGCAAAGATTGGTGTGATGCAACATTACATAAACAGTGAAAATGGTGCAAAATACTGTATCATGCACAGATTACCATGCATCCTGAAATTACATAATGCTATGTTGCTACTTTGCTTCACTCACAATAACATACAATAATACCCTTATAAAAAGGGTTTTAAGGGCTCTCTTTCATAACTTTCCTATCCAAAAATAAGAACTAGCTTACATCATAAAATTGTTGATGAATCTTAACGATCTTTCTGTTTGCTTTTTGATCGGTTAACATCCAAAGAGGAAACTTGCATAAAAAGGGATACATATTGAGAAATACCAACTACACAAATAACCCAATAGTCAAGAAACAGGGGAAAGTTAGTAAATGAGTTTGATACAGCTTATGCATAAGACTACCATATCAAGTGAAAGTGCGAATATAAAATATGAAATAATAGAAGCCAACTACAAATTAATAAAATTTGAAAAAGGATACTTTGATTCATATCCTCTGACTGGCTGCTCTGAAGATGACACAGATGACGTCCTCATGGTAAGTACACATAAAATGTAATAGCCTCAAATAATCTTCATCTGGAAGGAGTTTTGTTTGGCTGATTGCAACCTATTTAACTTGTCAGAACTTCAGCCTTCCAGCATGATTGCTGGTAGGCCGTATAGAACAGGTGCAAAACCAATTAAATGCTTCAGCTTGCATGTCTTGCGGGCATCGTTCAGCAAGCCAGCTAGTGATTGGTTGTCACTGGTAGGTGGGGACTTGGTTGACGTGGCAAGCCACGCCTTCAGCAGGTACTCCAGGAAACGGTCAATGTCTCGATCAGTAACGTCCCATAGATTGGCAACAACACAGGGGCTGTGTGACAAATAAGATAAAAATTGCATTTACTTCACACATATTTGAAAACGAGAGAGCTTACATTTGATAAATCCAAAGAAAGAAGTAAAATCAAGTACAACGTTAATTCTGCATGACATGTGCTGCAGTTTTGACATACACAACCTATGTACACAGTCAAAGACTGGATTTGTTCATCCTCACTATGAAATCAATGCAATAAATTGACTGCAATAACCTGTACGAATACATGATTTTTCATCTTATTTTTGAAGAAATATTCAGGTACTGCCATATTCATTAATTTAGCTGAGATAGCAACAATCTTTCTATGGACTGACATTTATTCGTATTGATATAGTTGACAAAGGATACAATGATGTATCACTCCATACCAGTTTTTATAATGTAAGTAAAATTGAAGAATTAGTTTTGTTGGGAAATATCAATAATGCCCTATGCATGCACCCATTCTCATAAATAACAGTTCTTTGTCTGCAAAATTCAGCGATTAATTAGGATTTTTTTTCTTCCAATTTCAAACTAGCTCAATTGTGCAAGTTAAATAATATCAAATGACCTTATCAGTCAGTCAATGACAGAAGCAGAGACTGGCATAACATGGTACAGTGTATCACATCGTAAATCTGTGGCTAGTAAACAAGCAAACAGTCTTTACCTTATCATTGTCTTCATAATGACAGAATGTTTGTTTGTCAGAGAAGCAGGTTCTTATTTACAACCTCCACTGTTTATACAGCAGTGTTATACAGCAGTGTACCGACTGAAACTAACATTTATAGAGAATGCAAAATAACATTTTGGGTATAATGGGGTACCTGTATAGTATTAATGACTGTTTTGAGAGAAATAGTTTTTATACGCTCAAGGGAAGGTTAGAATTGTGCTATTGCCCAAGGCGTGCCGAGGGCAATAGCCCAATTGTAACCTTCCTGTTGAAGGCATGGCTTGCCACATCAACCAAGTCCACACCTACTAGTGACAACCAATCCTGAGTTACTAAATGACCCTATAAAATTTTGGCACAGTTTCAAAATATTAGGAAACAATTGCACTGCATTGATTTATTCAGTAATCCACTTCCCATTCCAATCTTTACCAACATGCATGTGAAGAACAGATTTCATAACACTCCTGATTCTGTCATTTTGGCCTCGTTATTAGAATAACTCATAATAATTCAAGCTCAAATTTTGAAAGAAGATAGAAATTTATTATGAGCTCTTAAACATACCGCTAGATGCACACAATCTACACATTACTTTGCAGGGCGGCAATATATTCATGTAATCACCCGATGTAGAATTTAAGAGTCAAAGACTAATCTTACCCCAACCTATCTTAACCCTATTTTAACCGGGCTATTTCAGACCAGGTTTTTACCGGGGGAAGGGGTCAATTTTTCAATGTTTCACAGGCGGGTTGCCGCGAAAATTTGCATGCATGTCAAGTGAAGTGAAGTGAATACTATGGTAATTCAATTTTTTGAAAAATTCACTCATTTGCATATTTATGGTAATTTATGCAAACAAGGTCATACAATTCACATTTTTACCCATAAATCATATATTATTCATATTTAAGCATTCTTTTTCACTACATATATTTGCTAGACCATTTGGAACAATAATACGACAAAAAAAATCGGAAGAGCCAGGTTATTCCTTATGTTATCTCTTGTTTTGATATTTTAATATATTTATTTCATTGTTTTTTTTCAACTTATGTATTCTAATTTTGTTGTTGTTTTATTTCATTTCATTTCTAACTACAATTTAACTATTTTCACCCTAAAACAAACACCTAAACTTAACTCTAATAAGGCCGGGCTATTTGAGGTCTTCTTGATCTCGGTTGTGAAACGGCCGATCGCCGCGAAAATTGGCACGCATGTCAAGTGAAGTGCACAGAATACTACGGTAAATTTAATTTTTTTGAAAAAATTCACTCATTTGCATATTAATGGTAATTTATGCAAATAAGGTCATAAAATTCACATTTTTACCCATAAATCATATATTCTTCATATTTAAACATTAGTTTTCACTACATATATTCTTTAGACCATTTCTGATTTGGAATTATAACACACACAGGGGGGGGGGGTTCATTTAGAACATTTACACTCATTACAAATATAGATGTACAGGAGAAGAGAGAGATTTAGCTCCTGTGAACAAAACTCTATTATTTCACCTAACTACTTTCCTAAAACAAGATTAAATAACACCTTCGTCAATTAACCCTAAGGTCATTCGCTCTCCTAAAACTAACCCACCCCCTACTACCAATTTCAATAATACTCTCCCTCACCTTGCCCCCGCCCCCCAAAAAATACATAGCTGTTACCAGTGGAAGATCCAGGGAGGGGAACAGGGGCATGTTCCCCTATTCTCCATCAGAAAGGACTTTTTTTTTTCCAGAGAATTTTTTTCTTTTGTTTTTATATCTGCTCTATAATTATTTTTGTCGGATAAAAAAAAAGATCTAGGATTCTATTGCAATATGTTACATTAAAAAAGGAGCTTCCTCTCAATGAAAGTGAATTTGGATCTAAAGAGAAGTTAGATCAGTATCTCTCAAATATCAGCAGACTTCAGGCACCTTATTTCTCTTGCTGTCGCAAGTAACGCATGAAAACAAGTAAAAAGGGAAACCAGAAAAAGAAATCTAAAACTCTTGTTTGAAGGGTCGATTTAGACTGGAATTTGACCATATTTAAGCTCTGGTTTAATTTACACCAGAGTTCAGAATATGGGCCATAGAGTACATTATCATACTTGTTACATAAAGCTTTATGGCATGACTGGCAAAGAAAACTAGTTGGCACTAATAGTAATATTAATAATAATAATAATAATAATAATAATAATAATAATAATAGTAAGCAAAACAAAATGTGTATCTATCCATCTCCGAACTCACCATTCAGCTAAGAGATAGTTGAGAGCCATCCCGCTGGCATCCAGGCAGCCCTTGACCTGCAGTTTGCCACTGCTACAGCCTATGAGGAGAGTAGCTGCCTTACATGTGAGTCTCTGAATGTCATCTCCAGTCAGGAACTCCCTACCGGTGCCGTGGCCACAGAACACAAAGAGGTCATGATCGGTCAGAGCTGAAGCATACTCAGGCTTGGATGGAGCTCTGCCTACTACTCCAGCCCATTTGTTTTCCCTGAAAGAAGTAATGTCAATTTCATAGTGATATCAACCTGTGTAAAATTGAGAGATTGACTTATTGACCGAGCCATAAGTATAGAGTAAGTTGGTCAAATCTTTGATTTGACATTTGCTCGGGATTATAGATATACAATTAGGATCAGATCAAGTTTTAGGATGGGGTTATGCTTAGGGTTAGATATAGTGTTGGGTCCAAAGTTGAATTAAGGAAATCAGTAAGTTGAGGAAACTGACCACAAAGCAATTCTCATAGGAGCATGTGGTATTAGAGAACTGGTTAAATCAGAATTCTTTGTTTCACAAAAAATCTTAGACATGTGTTAATTTGGAGGTTTCATCATTACATACCTTATACAAATCAGTTTATAGGGATTATTGATACTAAGGAAGGACATTAGATAATGGGTTTGTGAACAGAGCTTTACACCTACTTTTGAAACCAGTCTTGGAAGGTCTTCTGAGTGTTGTCCAAGTCCCCTGTTGGATTGAGGACAAAGTATGCCTTGTCTGGGTTCACCCCCTTGGCTAGGACGCTTGCCCCAGACTCTCTAGCCCTGAGGTGGGACATCAAGAAGTGGAGGTTTGGAAGGCGACATACAGGCCACTCCTGCAGGACAGGGATGCTCTCCCATGGCAGCTGTTGGATGGCCTGGAGAGGGAGGGAAGGAGGGATGAGAAGAATTTGATTTAGTGAGTGATTTTATATCTTAATAGTGATACCTGTTGCAGGCACAATTATTCAAGCTACATATGTGTAACATTAAATTCTTTCTATTGTAATCTGTTTAGGAAGATGATTGTACAGACTTTGTTATATTTCATGTAATTAAACAAGCATTAGAATACTGACTTGTCCCAGCCTATTTATTGCTGATAACTAAACCTATATTCTATTACACAATACACATTATACTATAAAAGTTATAAACTAAATATTTAAGAGAAACTTTGGCATTAAAATTCAGCTAGACAGTGCATTTTACATTCTCAACTCAACTATTATTATATTATGCATGCTTACTGTATCAAGAACTAGAATGACCAAATTCCTCTGCATGGGCCTTATCTTCTCCCATTCCTTGGCCAAGTCCTTGAGCAGAATGGCAAGCTGTGTCAGACCCTCACTGCCTGACTGAAGGCCTGTTAGACTGGACATAGCCTGGTTGGTCTGGATGTGAGTCAGGTGATGGAAGGAATCCACAAGACACTGTAAGAAGGACATGAAAAAGGAGGAGTGACTTTAAAAGTTAAGAGCTAGTCAGGTCCTAATTATCTGATCGAATGCAAGTCAGACTGGTCAAAACCAGGTTGGTCTGTGTGCGAGTCAGAGAGCCATTGAGCTCTAAAAAAGCTCCAAAAAAACTCTGGGACATTAGAAAAGAGTGTTGGTAAAACAATACATAAAAGTACCATGATTAATCTTGCTTGTTCTATAGCAAATCCAAAAAGAGCTCCTGAACAACAAAACGTATGACCGCATACATATTCTATATCACATGATAGAGAGGACATCACTCATTTTGACCAACTGACCTCACAAAGAACAGGGTTCACATCCCTCTGTCCAGCCTCTTGGAGTGAGTCACAGAGTCTTTGTCCAAGTATTTTCAGCTTCTTCTCAGCTTTTTGATCAGTATAGCTTCCTTGGAGCAGTCCCTTCCAGTAGGACAGTAGATTGTTTTCCATGTCTTTAGTCAGACCCTAGGAATAAAAGTATTAAGGATACAGTTCAGTTTCATGTAGGAAAACAAGCGTCATCTTTGATAAGGAGTTTATAGTTCTCCTGATGCATTGTTTTTTACCTGCTATTTGGCAAAGCACATAATTGGTTTACATTTCACAGACAACATGGTGTTTTTGTGGAAATAGGGTTTTTTCTTCTTCATTGTTAGTGAGGTTTGAAACTGTGAAATAAGACAATTTTGCATTTTAGAAATTCAAACACATTTTCTACATTATCAATGAGGTCCTTAAAACTGTAACTTGAATGTTCTATCATGTCATTTCTTAAAATTCCGAAAAATATTCATAATTTAACATTAAAAAACACACTTCCTATGATTTGAACAATAACCTAAACATTAATGAAACTGTCATATAATTTAGGATGTCGATCATAACGAAACAGATTTCTCCCTAAATGTCTTTTCACATGACCAGAAATATTTCAACCATTTTAAGGTGGTTCTGAAAAATTACTATTTGGAGTTAAAAATTTAGCGAGTGTACAGGATTTTAAATGTCTCCAGCGGGAAACTCCTGCAGTGACAAGGCGCTCACGCCATGCAAACTAAGCGGAGCCGCAGTCTAATTAGCTGCGCTATTCTACTGCAGTTCCTGTATACCCGATTGTTTATGATTTTTTTTGATGTAGGATATAAACAAAATATATACCCTGCCTTCTTTTCGAGGTACTGGTTAAAACTATGGGGCTTGGTGACTCCAATACTACAGTCACCTCTCGCCCATAGTTTTAACCAGAACCTTTCAAGATGGTGTATATTTGTATAATATGCTTTGTTATGGTACTGACCTGCATCTCCTCATCTAGTCTTTGTCTGGTAGTCCACCAGACCCTCTTGTCCGTCTCCTTTACAGTTTCCTTGCTCTCAGCCAAGATCCTCTCCAAGGTATTTACCATCCCATCACCACCATTCTAATAAAAATACAAATAGCAATAAATAACAAATAGCATATATTATACTATGATATAACATATGCTCTTCAAAGAGCTTTGAAAATGATTACACTGGCTTTAGCTTACTCTGCATATCGAGGTAAAATCCCACCACAAGCCCACTTACAACACCTGGGTTGAGAGTGGCTAATGTAGATCAATGTCTTAGAGCTGTGACAGGGATTCAAACCCTGTGCGTATCAGCTACCTATAGATCATGATACCAACAAATAAAAGGTTTCATGATCAATTGTACAAGCTTATTTCAATTTTGGTGTTGCTGTAAAAACCATGACAATCTGTAACACTTATGTGTCGTTTTGTGCAAGATCTGCAAGCTTATGATTCCTTTCAAGGTATTAACAATGAAACTGAAAGAGACTGACTCTTACCATTGGTAATCTGACCACGATGGGTTGCTCTCCTTTCTGTATCCTAGTAATGACTAGCTGGCTAGATGCTGTCAAGGAGTTGATCTGTGATGGCTTGCTAGATACCACAGACAGCTGACATACTGTATAGCCTGCAAGAACATAGGATATAAAGGGGAGGGAACATTTCAGGCATTAGAAAATATAATGTACCCTGAATGATAAAGCTCTGGGAATATAATCATTTTCATCACACAACTTGTTTTCATTGATTCATTTCTAAATCATTTCACACTATATACGAGATTACAGAAAAGGAAAATCAGCTAAAAGTGAGCATTATTGAAGAACTGATGGCGATAAATATTTAGCCTAAACTATTTAAAATACAGGGGCCCTAGCTGTATAGTGAAATTAATTCAGTATTCTGTTGGGGGTATATACACATTGAGATATAATGATTATGAAACAGAAATTCACCTGCAGGAAGAGCATTTTCAACATCCTTGATGATGGTGTCTTCTCCGTCAGAAGGCAAGAAGTGTTTCTTGACACTGCGGAGTCTCTCCTTTTCCTCTCTGATGGACTGAAGCGAGAGAGAGCCCATGGATGAAACGAGGCTGACGTCGTCTTTATCACTTGCCTTCCTCAATTTCCTATAAGAAAAGAGACACATTTTACTGTTAAAATACTGACATAACTGTAATTAGTGTTTTATAAAAATTGGTAAAATTGATTTCCTTATACATGTATGCAATACCCCGGGTACACCAACACCACAAGGAACCTTGCCGTTTTAGTCTCTAGTGGTTTAATGACCCTTTTTAAGCACATTATAGTGTCTGGCTCAAACCCACAAAGCCACACGGTACAAATATATAGAGTATAAAGAGAAATGCAAAATCTGTACCTCTTGTAGTGACCAAACTCGTTTTTACCATTTCAAAACTTGGTTTTTCATTTAAGAACACCGTACAGCATATTCGGTGTGTCTAATTTAAAACATACGTGTCAGACCCGAAGCCTCATTACTTTAATGGCCACATGGTTCTGTGTACTTACGTTAAGGACAAAGTAGTCCCTTGATTATTTGTCTATAAATTGTTTGTATGTAAGGTTAAATGTACCGTAATGAAATTATGATATTTTCTCATGTATGTTTTATTGTTCTATCCTAAAATTGATTATTATACTTAGTTCAGAAGGATGTGCATTCATGCTCGAAAAGTAGTCCTTCCGAACATGCGCTATGTCAGTTAAGACCCTGATGGGCAGTTTATAAAACGGACATTCATTCACTTGCTTTAAGCGAAGCTGTTTGTTTTCAATTTACTCCTTCCGACACGCTTAAAGCCGTCAATGTAGCCTGTTTGTGTTGCAACATTTATACAGGTATGTAGAGATAATTGAATATATTTGATGCTATTGAGTTTTACTTTGCTACCAGTGTTTATGATGTCGTAATATACGAGTCGGTTCATTAATTGTATATTATGTAATGAGATGTTTTATTCACTGTACGGTAGAAACGTACCAAAGCATGTTAAATGTATTCTTCTGTTATTAACGGGATTGATGAGTAGTCTGTAAATATCAGACTCGGTTTATATATCATGTGGATTTTACAACAAATACTGTCCATGGTATATAATTGATGTTTCATGTTTTTTTTCCTACTTTAGCCGCTGAGGTGTAAGGTATTTTTATACACACCAAGCTGAGGTGTAAGGTGTTTTTATACACACCACGCTACAAGCTACGCTACAATTGACGATGACGTATGATTTTTCTTACCCGTGTGACATTTAGTCTAGGGTGAGTTGCGTAGGAATATTTATGTTATGTATTCAATAATATTGATTGGAGTCATGACTGTTTGATATTTATACATGTATTTACAGATAATATTGAATACTATGTAATCATCGAAAAGGCCAGAGAAAGAAGAATACCAAGCCACTTGAACTTTGTTGACTTGACTTTAAAGCAGCATTTGATACCATATGGCGAGAAGCTCTCTGGAAATGTCTGCGTTCCATTGGAGTGGACAAGTCCTTAGTTGACCTCATAGAGAGCATGTACAAACAAACCAAATGCTCTGTTATGGTGAATGATAACTGAATGGTTTGATGTCATAACTGGGGTAAGACAAGGCTGCCTCCTCTCTCCAAGCCTCTTCAACCTATTCCTGGAATATGTGATGAAGGACATCCAACAACTAGATAGTGGAATACAGATGGGTGACATGCGTATCAACAACATCAGATATGCAGATGACACCACCCTTATGGAACTCGTATTTGAAAACCTCCAAATCTCAACAAATGAACTGGAGAAAGCATGTAGAAGATGGGGTATGAAAATCAATGCAACAAAATGCAAAGTCATGACAGAGGATCAACAAGGTATTTCACTTAAAGGTAAAGACCAGTAATGGTCATGCGATTGCATTGTGAAAGAAACGTTGTGGAATCGATCAGAAAAGGTTGATCATCTAGCATCTAGCATCTGCAAGGTTCTGGAATCATCAAAATGATAAGAAATTTGGCCCATTCTTCGTAAAGTTACAAGCACTATACACAGAAAGATGTATATGGGACTACCCTATCTCTCTCACACGACCATGAGAGAGATAAATTTACCAAATATATGAATTAGTAGGCGGTTTCCCGGCAAATTTGTTATCATCATGTATTAGTCAAAACATATTCTTTCACATGATTGGTAATGAGAGCTTCCATTTCATTTTTTGAAATTGGGGCGTTACCAATACTGGTCTTTACCTTTAACAACACCAACATTGAGAAAGTGGAAAAATTCGTCTTTCTCGGCAGCACAGTTCCATCTATAGAAGAGGACGTGAAGAGACGTACAAGACTTGCTGCTTGGGCATTCGGAAGACTGAAAAGTGCCATCTGGTCCAACCAAGATATTTCTAGGAGACTCAAAGTCAGGATCTACAGAGCACTTATCCTCCCTATTGCCACATATGGAGCAGAATCCTGGACTCTCCGAAAGTCTGATAGAGATAAGCTTGAGGTATTTGAAATGAGGTGTCTCCGGACCATCCTTGGAGTTCACCTAATGGACAAGATAAGGAACGATGCGATCAGGCAGAGACTGAATGTCCCAAGCACCATATGCGAGGAAATAACCAAACGTCGCTTGAAATGGTTTGGCCATGTTTTATGCATGCCGCATCACCGCCTACCATACCAAGCATTCCAAAATGACTTTGATGGACGCAGACCACGGGGACGCCCTCCAAAGAGATGGAAGGACCAGGTTCAATGCGATGTGGGATTATCCACACAAGAGGCAGAGCAACGAGCCCAAGACAGATCAGACTGGAGCATGATTTCTCGAAGGGGAGCAAGGGGACACACCGTCCTATGCACCTAAGTCAAGTCAAGTCATGTATTTATTTCTTGGTTTCTTAATTGTATTTAAATGTATATGAACTGAACTGTACTGCATTTGTCTACAGAAATTTAATCACAATCAATTATGATCACTTGCATGATTTTTATAATATGATTATTGTACTTATCTTCTGTACAATGCAGGGGTTTCCGTTTTTTTATTCATAAAAAAACGAATAAACTTCATTCAACTTCACCACGGCATCCCATACTCTTCATTTTCATTTGGCTATGATTTAAACCGTGGAACACGCGTCCCACACTCTTATTGATTTTAAATTTCACTAATGCCATAAATATTTCTCCCAATACATACAACATCCAAGTAAGTGTTTGGAAAGAGACTGGTACAGTATTTACAAAGATCTTTAGAATTAGTTTTAGGCAGAGACTGCACTGGACCACTCACCGTATTTTCTTGTTAAGACTGGACAGTTTCTGATGCCTGAGTGTCACTGACGAAGCTTGAGCCAGGTAACGGCTGCACTCTTCTGGGTTCCTATCCCCATGGCATAAAGCCAGGAGCTGGCAGATGTGTCGATAGAGTGGGCATGGTGCCAGATGTTTGATCATGTTGTAGGCTTGCTCAAGCTGCTCTTGAATTGACTTCAGATCTATAAAAAAACAAATACTTATTTTACATTAACTTGATCATCCACTATACTTATCATATAGTCCTAATAGTTGCCTGCTCATTTTTGAAAGTTTGTTCCTTCAAAATGGTATAATTTTTTGCAAGAACATAAAACATAACAGATTACAACTTACACACAAAAATGCAATATTAAGATGCACATTCTTTTAAATTATACTTTGGATCTATCTAAGTGATTTGGTAATTAAACTAACAATATATATATACATGTGTATATCGTCGCTGTTTTCACGAGGTGACGGTAGTGAAAAAAAATTGCATTCACTTTGCGTTACGATTTTCCTCACTACCGTCACTTCGTGAAAACAAGGACGATATATCTATATTTTATTCAATTTCAAATATACAAGATGCATTCATTTCGTACATTTTCCTCTTTCCACAAGAAAGCCTGTTGAATATTATCCTTACCTGTACTACATGCATTTTCAGAATCTGCCACTTCAGCACCAGTCTTAGATGATTTCTTTGAACCAGCTCTAGACTTCTTCTCTTCCAAATGTTTGCCACATCCCCTGGGAGCCTCAACATCTTCCCAAACTGAAGTTTTCTTTGTGCCTCTCCCTCTTCGCTTTCCCTTCTTTCCTGTATCCTCGGAATCTGAGCCAGCCCTGGGTATCTCAATGTCATCCAGGTCGTCTTGAGAGTCAACAAAGACCTTTCCAATGCTGAGGTCAAGTTCTGCTGGAGTCTCCAGAAAGCTACTTGAAGATGTGTTCATATCAACCAGAGGGATGGTACATTCTACACTCGATTCTGATCCCTTTGATGAAGACCGAGGGTTAACTTTTTTGGCAGCTTTCAGCTTTTTCTGCATTGCTGCATCTGAAATAGATATCTCCGGCTGGTGTTTGCTAGGACTGATATTTTCAAATGATAACTCTAATCTTGATGGAGATTCCACATCTGATGAGGAAGGAGAATGTGGAAGGGCATCTATTGTAATGTTCTCATTCATACTGTCATCATGCAATATTTTAAGAAGCTCTGGGGGTCCAGGTTCTGGATATCCAGGATCTGGGTCTCCCCTTGTGTTCTCAATGTCACCAGAATCTCCCTTCTTAGCTCTTCCTCTTCTTGTCCTTGGTTTAGTTTCCTTGAGACCTGTATCATTGCTTGTGTCTTTGGCTTTTCTCCCTCGTCCCCTCTTTGGTTTAGCATCCACTGCTTCATCTTTCTTCACAGACTTTGTATCTGAGAACTCTCCAATTACTTCATCTACCATCTTCAGGATTTCAGAGTTGTCATCCACAACAGAGGCCTCATCTACACAGATGTCCTTTTTGCTTGCTCCACGTCCCTTTCCTCTTGACTTCTTTGTTGTTGTCAATGAACTCACAGAATCTTCAGGAGTTGTGAGATCAAAAACTTCCCCTGTTTCTCTTGGCTTCAATGCTGCCTGCTTAGAACAACCCTTCCTACCTCTACCCTTTGCAGGCTTCTTTGGATTACACACCGTTTCTTCCTCAAAGCTGAACACGCCATCTGCGTCATCTGATGGAGTAGTAAGATCAACAACTTCAAGAGTCTTTGAGAATCTACTTGGCTTTTTGGCTATCTTGAATTTCACAGCACCCTTCTTCGTTGTGACTTGCACTGCACTCTTAGCCCTACTTTCACTGGATTTCGGTTTCCCTTTAGCCGGGGCTACTATTTTGTCAGTTTCATCAAAGGTCACATCGCCAAAGAGTCCCAGCTCTTCCGGAAGTACTGCATCTTGCTCTGAACCCCTGGAATCTCTCTTGCGTGTCATCTCTGGCCTGGAAGTGGATGTGTCTAGCATATTCTGGAACAATCGACAAGACAGATTAGTATCCTTCACTGAGGACCTTTGTTTTGCAGTGACAGACATGTTGAGTTGACTAAATTGATGGGCTACATCATTGACTTCATCACTTGCAGAGTCCATGTTCTTCCCTCTGACCAATGTCCATGAAGAATCAAATACACTGTTTCCACTGTTCATTGCTTTCATGTGGATTCCAGCAAGGGCAACATAGTAGTGAAATGATGCTTGAACAACTAGATCAACAGCTATGGATATACTGTTAGACTCACACAGCGCTAGTCCTTCTTGAGCAGAAGACAGTGCTTTGTCAAAACAACCCATTTCCAATTCTACAAGGGCCTGTGTTGACACTACTCTGCACAGGGCTCTATGATGACACGTCCATCGGAGGGAAGATGGTATGTCAAGCATAGACAATTTTAGTTTGAAGACTTGATGCAGACACTCTTTTGACCATTCCAGCAATTCTTTAGCCATTACTAGAGTGGCTTTTGCTGCTTCGTTATCGCAAAGAAGGACATGGTAGCTAGCGAGACCCAAATAGTAACCAGTTTCAAGGTCATGCAGTGAATGGTCAGTGCATTGATTACAGTTGCACCGATTTTGATGATCAACATAGCCTGGTAGCTTGGAAGAGCAAACTGGAGCAGGTCTCAAGCTTGGTGAACTGCTCATGTCCACACTGATACCACCAGCAAGGGTTCTAGAGAATGATAACGGACGACTCTTGATGAAGTCTTCTTCATCACTCTCTTCTGTGTTTGTCACAGCTTTTTGTTGTTTGGTTGTTTTCCTCTTCTGTCTTCCTCCCTTTGTACTTTTCTTTGTCCTTGCATCAGCTAGCTTGGGCTGTGAGGGTTGACTATCCATAGAAACAATTGTTTTTAGTTTAGTCAGGTTGGCTTTGCATTCATCTTCCTGGCCCCATTTGATCTGGACTTCTATCAGCTGCTGCAACAATTTGCCATACCTGAGGGCAAAGATAAGAATAAGAAAAAGATTTAAAGATATGACAAACTTGTAGAGAATTGTTATAAATGTGGGTTCCTCAATACAAAAGAATACTTTACAATTCATCATCTAACACAAATATCCCAAAGGAGTTCACAATAGGTAATATGAGAAGTAAGGTAACCTGCAATAGAGTAGTGACATAAAATTCCAAGACACTAGTGAAATAAGGGCTGCGAGGCTGGATAAAATGGGGTGAAGGTGTCCCATTTATGGTACCCAACGTTATAGTCAGCACACACCTTGATAGTTCACAACACATACTCCAGCAACAACCCCTCTTCAGTAAATATGATACACTAATCAAATTATAAACTTGCGACCCTGGAATTTTAGAGCAAGGGACATCCCCTCCGTGATGTAAAACTGAGCCTCTCTGACACACCCTTGCCAAAAAGAAGCCATGAGCGACTTGAGACAAAACAACACATCTTACCCTAACCTAAATGCTAAGACTAAACTACAACCCTATTGCTATCCTAACCCTAACAATACATCTTTGCCAAAATAAAGCCCAGGGTTATAGTTGAGTTGCACATCTGGCATTACTGGTATACGTAGTTGCTGGAGTCAATCTTACCTCCTAGGTAGCTGGAATTTTTGAGCAAGGGACATCCCCTCTGTGATGTAACATTGAGCCTCTCTGACACACCCTTGCAAAAGGAAGCCATGAGCAACTTCAGAAAGGGAACCAAGCACTGAAGCCAGCACACGCCATCTCAGCGGCTGTTGACCTGTGGAACATGGAGAAAAGTGGGCAATTGTTATCAAAACAGATCCAACAGTCATAACATAGGTATAATATGACAGGATAGAATTCAAACGGGTTTATCGATTTCTTCTAATAAAATGTATTATATCCTGCACCAAAAATGTATTGAGTTTTTGATTGGATAAGAGCTCTCCACGTAAACTGAAACTTTTCAACCATTTTAAGGTTGCTCCAAAAAAGTACTATTTGGCAGCGTTGCTGAGCTGCAGTCTAATTAACTGCGCTGCACTACTGAATTTGTGAAAGTTTTGTTGTAGTTTGATTTTCTGCAAAGAAGGCGGTCTCCACTAATTGGAGATTTGATAAAGTCGAAGAAGAAGATTTGGATGACTGTATCTTTTCTAGTGACAGCAAGAACACAAAGAAACAAATTAAGTATGGAATGTCAGTATTTTGCAAGGAGGTGGAGGCAGATTTTGATGATATTGATGATGAAGGGCTTGATCTGCTTCGGTTTCAGTTCTACGCCGGTGCAAGAACAAGAAAGGGGAACTCTATAGCAAGAAGTCTATGGAAGCAATAAGATTTGCACTACAGAGTCACTTCTTAAACACAAGAGGAGTAGACATTGTAAAGGGTAAGCAACTTTATTCTTTCGAATAAGACTGTTAAGGCTCTTCTCGTGAAACTGAAGCCAGTGGGAAGGCCACTGTGAAGCATCATCCCTCCATTAGTGATGATGATATGGCACGTATCCAAGCCGAAGTCTAAATTTAGACACGGCTGATGGTCTACAAAAGAAAGTCCATCTAGACACAATGATTTATGGAAAATGTGTGTGATATGAAACCAAACGATTTTGGTCTTCATTTGAAAGGTGACAAGGAATTTTACACCCTTACCCGTAGGGATATGCACACTAACCATCAAGATGACCAAAGTCAGGGAGGACAAATGCATGCACTCCCAGGAAACCCAAGTAAAAGTTTCTATACAAAGTCTCACTACGCAATGCGAGCAATTTGACTCCACTATCATGGATCACACAGTGGACAAAGACAGCATTAATCGAAAGCTTCAGTCACTCGAGAAAAAGCTCGATTAAAAAAGCAACATGATAAACAAGCTTCAGTCTACAGTAAATGATCTTGAGCAATATTCCAGTGAGGATGATGGGGTGTGTATGTGAATTCCCCTCTTTGGAAATGGACCCTTGTCACCCTTGCATAAATGACCAAGAACACTACACCAACCACTCCTTGCGAGCAACAAGTTTTACTTTGCTTGATAATGCAGGGCAAGCATCGAGAAATATCATGTCTGTTTCAGGCCACTGTTCCAAAACATCAATCAAAAACCATGTTCGTACTAGAGAGCAAAACAAGCGTGAAATGTCTGAAACTCTCTCTTAAAGTCATCCAGATCTAGACCAACTTTAAACATGCCCTCGAAACTCATTTGTTAAAAGCAGCTTTCCAGTAGATTTAGATTTTCACATTGTTGTTCATTTTTTGTGTGTATTTTTGTGTACTTATAGTTTTTCTACTCCATTGCGCCTCGAACACATTAGTCATGTGGAGTTGGCGCATTACAAATACTCTATATTAGTATTATTAACATCAACAGTGTAAACCTCAAATAATCTAGATGAGAAAGAAAACATTGACAATGACGATGAACCAGACATCTCTGACTTCACAGATAGTCAGCTTCAATGTCTAATCCATAACAGTTCCATTGTCATGGGTGTTTGGTGAAATTTTACAACAAGTAGACCAAAATAATACGTTGAAGGATGTAAATATGTTTGAAACATTGCTCATTAAATGTTTAAGACACTGTAAAATAAGTTAATTGTTGACATTAGAACTTGCTCAAGTTAGAGTTAGATGAATTGAATTCATTGGACAGGCGTCACAGGAGCAAATATAAAGGTGAGTTATTCTGCTTGATTAAACATTTTTTATGTAGGATATAAAACAAATACATCCTGCCTTCTTGCAGTAAGATCTTTCTATTTTTATAGTAATTACATCTTCCCCGACCTTCTAGCACCTTCAATTTTATTTTTTTACTAGCTCTTACATGCTGGTTTCGAGTGTGCATGATTCTCAATCGCCTCCTTCCCCACACTTTCCGGTCCTTTTGGACTTGCCCAGCAGTTTGTTTCTGTAGGTTTAACTTTCCTCCCCTTGTTCATTCTTTTCTTCCCATTAGACGTGTATTTGTCACCCGACTTGCAGCCCAGCAGCAACATGCAACGTCTGCGCCGAATGGACCAAAACTGAAGTCCATCCCGCAAGGGGGGATGGACTTTGGCACATGCAGATCAGCTTGGTCGCCTGATAGGGGCCATGTTGTTTCTCGTCATTCTATCCTACAAACTGACCCTGACGGGCTGACCCCACGTGGCATCTGATGGAAGGGCTCCTTTCCCATGGACGAAACGGAGGGTCAAGACCGCCCTTCTCCCTCCTCTTCCAGAGACATCGGGAAAAAAAGACAGGACTGGCGCTAACAGCTAACTTTAAACAGGAGTTCGACACACCCGCTGCCGAACAACCTTTTCGCACGGCTCCCCGTAAAGTGGGCAACGCCTTCATCATCTCGGAGGGGGATTTCACGGAGTTTCTCGGCCCAGAAACCGGAGTCAACTGAAATTAAGGTCTTATTAAAGTCCATGGCGGATGGAGTCGACCAACTCAGGGATCTCAATGAAACTTGGTATAGCAAGACATCGTGGACGTCGTGGGGGTAGTCATATTTGTCGCACAATCAAAGTGCGGTCATCAAATAGTGACGAAATAAAACCACGAACAGAACAATGCTTCAATAAAGAAAATGTGGTCCATATTCATCTCGAACATAGTGTTACTGATATTGCGTTGCCCACCGTTTTTCTTTGCAATTTAAGATCAATTAATAACAAACTGGATGAACTAGAAATAATACTGAATCAGCATGCAATAGATGTGTGTGCTGTTACTGAAACTTGGCTGACTATAGACCAACCTGAGACTTCCTTCTCCATCGATGGATACTGAGTATTTACCAAATTCTTTAAACTGTCAGAGTTATACTGGAATTTGATGGGCAAACCTATCCAGCAAAATATGGAGCCCTAGACGCAGCTTGAAAAGGCTCTTTTGTAGAGATGAAAAGTGTACCATTTCAGAGCTCGGCCCGGGCACCAAAGTTTGTCTTCTGGAACAGAAGACAGGGTCACAAGTTCTGGGAGTTTTTCATTTGATTCTTTGCGAAAAAAGGGAGCGTGAGGTAACAGACGTACACCCTGTCTTTCCAAACGAATATGCCCCGGATCAGCGGAAAGGGCACTGATGGTGCCACGGCATTGGCCCAAGGCCCTTGCTATTAAAATAGGCTACCACTTTAATGGTCAGGTTCAAGAAAATGCACTAATTTATAGCAGTTTTAAATGATCACCCAATTTGACAAGGTTAGGAAATTGATACAGATAAATATATTAGTATGGAATTGAAATAGCCAATATATCTTTTCAAAAAAATAAAATTCAATGAGGAGGTTTACAAAAATTAGAAATTAAGCAATAAAGAATACTCAGACAGAAAGAGAAGAGAAAAATTACAACTTTGTATAACTATAATATATACAAAACAGTGCAACAACAAATTAATGGGAACCTACCTCCATCTGCAGAGGATGAAGATGTAGCAGACTTATCATTGTCGGACTGGTCTGTGCTGTCACTCATCCCAGTTCCCAAGACGATTTTGGCCACACCCATCCTAATCCTCATGGCCTCAACATGAAGATCAATGGGTATGATCACATCTCCATTGTCGTCCTCGGAGAGGTGTTTGAGTTTGGGGTTTCTTTGAGATGTGGGCAGAGAGAGGTAAGAGGAATGGAGTTCCTTGGCCAGAGCCGAGGTGAGGTAGGTGTGACAGTTACGGTGTCCAGACGCCTGAGACGAATCAGCAAGATATTTAGAGAAGCTCTCTTCAAACTGTTCCACCTGGAAATGAAATTAAGATGGGGAAGAATGAGTGTGGTGGAATGATTTTTTCCCAGTCCTGTAATAAACCTTGCATTTGATCTTTAGAGAGAAGGTCGAGTTCTGATCGAGGTTTGTGAGCTTTCTCTTTCCTTTTATTGCCATGTGGAAGAATATTGTAGTAGATATATCCTATGAAAAATACAGAATATGTTGTAACATTTCAAATTTAAAAAAATCTAGTGTGCAAATTGTGAACAAGTTCTGATGACATGTATTGTGTAACAAAATTCAATCACAACTGACAAAATAAAGCATAGGTCAACTTATATCGGAACATACGTTGGATCACACCTGTATGCAAGGAAGTGCACTGAAAGTGCTCATGCAATACTCACCTGACCGGAATACAGGAGAACACAGCACTTCCCTAGAAGGACTTCAGAAACCAGTGCAGATCTCTTGGCCTCAGAGACATCATTCAGACCCTTCTCTGCCCTATCAATGATGACTGCAGCTTGCTTGTGCAGACCAACGTGAGCTAGAAGTCTGGAGAGGTGTAGGTCAGCCTCTAAGGCTTGGAGTGATGAGGAGGTAGAGTGGGATAGCTTACTCAGCATGCTAAGGACCCAGATTTCTTCAACAGCCTGAAACAAAGAGCAAAAAAGCAAGATAATTAGATAAGATTATATCAAATGGTTGCTGTATCAGCATGGTATGGTGAAAATAAAATCATACTAAACTTTAAGGATTATATTAAAAGAAAAATACAAGACTGTAACTTTTTTTTTTTTTTTTTAGTTTCGATTCATGGCGCTATGCCTGGCAATGTCTCCCAGCTCAGTAATCAGTGTGTTGACTCACCACTAGGAAACTAGAACAACACTAAAATTTGACTGTCATCTTGGTTTGAAAGTAATCTTTCTAATAGATCTCAATATGTAGTTTATAATAATAGTTCCTCAAATTTTTTTCTATAACAAATGGTGTACCACAAGGTACACCACTGGTACCATAGGTACTTTATTGTTTTTAATTCACATTAATGATCTTACACATTCTTCTAAAAACGACATTGTTACTATTATTTGTGACAAGTTTACAAGCACAAATCAGCGCCTTTAACTGCATCTCGATGTTAAATGAAGGTCCTTCCACGCGTGGGTTTTCGGCAGCAAAACAACAACAACAACAAAAAAAATGATTTTTTATTTATTTTTTTTAAAAATTTTTAAAATTTTTTTTTTTTTTTAAATGTCAAAATCGGGGGTGCGGCCTATACGGCGCTGCGGCCTTATCGCTGGCAAATACGGTATATATTTTTATTTTTCTGCTTTTGAGCAATATAATTATACATGTAAATTTACAAGTCAGACATAGAACTGCCTATAATCCTACAGGGTTATTCCTCTCTGGAAAATATATTCTGAAAATTAGATGGCTTGGGGCAATATCAATAAGGAATGTCCAGGTCCTACTTTGCCAGAAGCTGCCATGATGTCTGCAGCCAGCTGTAGACATCGTATGGTGGATGCTGGATCCCGGAAGCAGCTTGGATCGAATGGCTCCACCTGGAGCAGACTGTCCCAGATATCCAGGGAGCTGACCAAGGGAGCCATCTGGGTTGACTCCTGGGTCAGGGTACAGGGTGGTGGTGTCTCTTCGTCTTGGGATGTGTTCACGGAGGATTCCTGGCTGGAGTCCATGTTAAGGTCAGTGGGTGATGAGCAGCTGGTATTGGAATTCTGAAATATCAATCAAAAGAGAGCCAACATTGTCATTTATAACACATAAAGGATTCTTGCTATATTGAGGTAATGTTGCCATCCCACTTCTTTGTATTCTATTCTATTTTGGTCCAGATATAAGGCAGTTTCATTTGTTATAAACATACTCCAGTAAGTAATCTTTGCTCATCCTCACATCTTCTGGTTGTACACCCTGTAAACATGAATACATATGGAAACCAAACCTTCATGGCATCAGCTCCTGCTTTGTGAAATTCTCTACCAACAGCAAATAGGAATAACTTTTAAGAAAGCCCTTAAGACTTTAAAGTAGTGTTTATGTTTTTCTGTATTATGTTTATGTTCTCCAAATCTATAATGTAAAGTGCATGAAAAATCATATTGTAATATTATACAATATACAAATTTAAGGTTGCTATCATTATTATTGTAACCAGGTAATTTTTTTAGTCTGAAGAAGTTTGTTTCATTGAGGTTTCATAACAACATTACACACATGGAATGTTCTTGTTTGTTCATTAGTAACATCACCATAACAGATTAAGAATACAACGCCAAAGAAACCACGAAAAAAGGCTTTCCTGAACTTTCTGGTACGGGACAACCTTCCCACTCATTCTGTGTTTTGCTATCGTTACGAGTTTACTTCATCTATTGCTTTGGAGTTTTGACTTCTAATCATCATGAACCGTCGACGACTTGAATTTGAACCGTAACAACTTCGGCTCTAATTTTCGCTAATTTATTAAGCAAGTTTTACTCTTGAAACCTGCTTATATTGAAGTATTGTGTATAACATCACTCAGCAATTTGATGTGATTTGATGAATTGACGGATTCAAGAATGGAAACCTGAAAAAAGAGCAGAATTAACACTGGAAAAAATAGTACAGAAAACTCAAGCCAAGGTCAGCATGCTGGTGACCACGCGGAAGATCCCTGGTCATCCTTAGCCACCAGTCCGATACACTCAGCTGACCACTCAAGTGCAATGGATATTGACAGCGTGAACGATGACAATAGAAACCAAATCAACCTACAACAAAGAATACAAGAAACGCTGTTGTCCGAGGTTGTAATCTCGACCATCGTGAAAGCCGTTTCAGACACCATCGTGAAGAATGTAACAAACAAGGTGTACAAAGCAATCAACTTTGATATTCAGCAGAAATCTAAGCAAGTGAGTGATCTTGAACAAGAAATCTTCAATCTTGAGAGACCCCTTTCGTCCTTCCAAACGGTTGTTGAGGACCAGGAACAATACAGGAGGAATTGTCTACGGTTTTACGGCATCGCCGAAAAGGAGGGTGAGAACACCGTCGATGTAATCATGAAGTTCGTCCGAGAGAAACTACACATCGACATCCAGCCCCAGGACCTTGACCCATCGCTTAGGCTCCCTGTGGGAAATCCGCAGGCGAAACGACGGCGAGGAAAGCAAACCGATGTCAACTCCGCGAACAACAATGACAACAAACCCGCGCCGAAGCCGATAAATATTGTCAAGTTCGCAAGGTATAACGTACAACATGGCATATTCTTGACAAGGAAAGAACTGAAAGGCACGGAAGTGCTGTTTAAAATTTGTAATTCAACAATATTGCAATAGTAATGATCCATACAAAGATGTAGACCTTTGTTATCTAAATATAAAAAAATCAACAGAAAGCATAATATTTCAACATTATGAATAGAATATTAGACGCCAAATAAATAATTTCTTGACATACCTGTATTGCAGTCTCCAGTTGGCAGAGGTAAAGCCAGAATTTAGCTCGAGCCAAGAGGTCTGAGTGTACACCAAGGTTCTCCTGGGTAAGACCCTCTAGCAGCTCCACAGCCTGGATACAGACCTCTGCTGGGGAACTACATGCATGAAATGGATGATAGTCATCAATGCAGGTCTATTTACAGCACTCATTCATGATGAATGGTAAATTATGTGTCAGTGTAAATCATTATACAGAAAAACTGTACATCACATTCCTACTGATGTTGACCACTGAAAGCTTCTTTTCTACAGCAGTATTTTTCTTGTGCTGAACAAGATGATATATTGACTGTTGTAATGGATATCATCTGATGGAAACCAGTATGAAGCTAACAAATGAGTTAACACCCTTCTGGCTTTTTAGTTTTAGCAGATGATTTATAAAATGGCTTATAAGTCAAGGTATTATACATTAGTTAAAACTCCAATCTCAGAATTACATTTCTGGGGGCGTTTCATAAAGCTGTGCATAAAGTTACGAATGACTTCACAAATGATTTGAATATGAAGAGCCAAATGGGATGCCTAAAGTTTTTCCTGACATTTTAACAAAGTGTGATTGTATATCCCATAATCTCAATTAAATTGTTACCTGAAATACACTTTGCATTAAAATGTTTTGTGTATAATGATAAGCTTAATCTACATCTGCATATTTCAACTTCAAAAGGATTTGAGAATCCCATTCAAAACTTCATATTCAAGTCATTCGTAAAGTCATGCGTAACTTTACGCACAGCTTTATGAAACACCCTTCAGAACTTATTGTTTCCTGTCAGTATTGAAAGGGCAACTCATATCCTACCTTTCACTCTCCAGACCAGAAGAATGGAGAAGTTGTGTTAGCTGGATGAGTACAGACGCTCTCTCCATCTCATAACCTTCATTGGAATACATCCTGATGAGATCCTGGATGGCTGCATACTGCTCAACAGATGTATCATGCCTGCAGAAACAAGTAGGATTAGGAATTAAAGAGTATCCGAAGGTGTACATTGCAAGAAAACTGACTTAACATAGTTCAATTCATTGAATCATACTCGGTATATATCGAAATTAAGTATCCTAAGTATCCTTACCCATGGAGAAATTTGAGACTGATTATTTATTCATTCTCCTTTATGCAAACGGCTCTACTTTATATGTGCACAGCAATGACTTCTAAAAGGAATTCATATGATAGCTTTGTGTTTTGGAATGCAAAGTGGTGGCACAATTACCATTAGAAATATAATAACACAGTAAATTCTAGGTTTTCATAATACTGCTCTATATGCTTATATAAAATTCCAAACCATTGACTTCTATATAAATTATATAAGTTTTTAAAGAGACATAATGAAGAAGCTATATCATGTACCTCTGAGCTCTGTAGACTTTTAGCTCTTCTTCAAGAGCCATAGCAACAATAGACAATTGTTCTGAAGCAAGTTCCTCCTCCATTCCTTCACAAGCATCAAGAAGTGTTCTGATAAAAAAGGGGGAAAATATACATTCTAAACATTCAATATATCTGAAAAATTAAAAGAAGAAACATACATCAAAACAAAATAACCTCAATCCTGTGTGCAAATAAGATAGAAAAAAAAGTTTAGAGAAAATGTAATTTCTGCATTGTTGTCAATTAAAGACATACTTCGACAACACATCAAAAACTTCTTATACTTTCAAAATTTAACCAAAGAGAATATTTTACCTGTTTCTCAGATCTGGATCATCATTAATCTTCAGTGCATCCCTCTTTGCCTTGACCCATTGCTCTGCCCTGCTGCTGATGTCATCAAACACAAGACCTGGAATGACCAATAAGCTGAGAGCAACAGTAGTCATGGCATCATGGTGAAGCTTGGCTCTCCGTTGACAGTCTACCAGCAGCTCATACTTTCTAGCTAGTTGGATCTACCATACAAGATTAGATTTACAAATAGACATATAGCAACTAGAACACTTCAAACAAGTATGTGATTTGTTTGACATATATTAACATGCTTCATGAAACATGAATAGAAAACCATATGTACTGCATCATGGTAAAGATTGTTTGGATTACAAAAGGTTCTCCTTTAACCTTTAACTGACAACTACAATACTTTGAATCCAGTCTACATACTTTACTTGCATTACATAATAAGCTTCCCTGCAAGCTTTAATGTTGTCAAGAATAACCTTTGTTTAAAATGTATGCATAACATTTGAATATGTTAGGAATCCATCTATATTGAACTACAGACATGATAGAAAGGAGTGATGAACCTTTCTTCTTTTGAAAGTATTGTATTACATGACTAAAATATGTCTCTCACTAAAGTTTGAATATATTAGTAAGCCATCTATTGAACTACATACATGAAAGGAATGAGTGAGAAAGAAGGGTCTATTGTCACAGTAACCATCTCCAGGATGTAGGCATGTTATAGAAAGTTATTACAAAGCCATGGCTCAGTCTATGCATTATATCGAGCATGTTATGTATTCAAAGGTGCTTCTTTTACAAGGCAACATACAGTAGCGATGAAGCTCTTACATGTTATTGTTGCCAAATAATTTGTATCTGAGCCTCAAGATCAATGTTGTAAAAAGAGCTGTGCGTATTACATGTACCATCAACAATAAATATTTAATTGCTGTACACATTTTTATAGGAGATATTGTATCCTGCAATTAAACCCACAGGAGATAAGGATTTTTAAATAAATGTTTTGATAATTTGTAAACATGTGTAAACAAATGAATGGATCTGCTTTATATGTAGATACATCTGGAGAGAGAGAGAGAGAGAGAGAGAGGGAGAGAGGGAGAGAGAGGGAGAGAGAGAGAGTTAAAAAGAGTGAGTGAAAGAGAGTGAATGAGTGAAAGAGAGTGAGTGAGTGGAAGAGATTACCTCCTGAACTTTCTGTTCATCAGGTCCTTGTTCAGTACTGCACCAGCACTGAAGCTGCTCACAGGCCAGTCTGACAAGGCTACTTGCAAAGTCATACCACGCTTGCTTGTAGCAGATCAGTCCCAAATTGTATGCATTGCTTCCTGTGATAAGATTAGACAAGAAGAATGTCAATGAAAATGATACCTGTTTGACATATGGTTCACTCAAAGCAATAAGAACTTTTACCAAGAGACAAGTCAAAAGATATTTTGATGACATATTAGGCTAATACAGAATACAGAAAAGCAAGACATAGTATATTTGCATGGTGTAAGTTTATAATGACATTAACTTCATTGTATTTCACACTTGACTTTGTCTTCTTCTTTTTTACAACCTTTGTGATTCAATATCAATATCTCATTCAAATACTACAGAAAAAGGCTTTTATTCCTAAATTCAACCTGACTGTAAAAAAATATGAATTTAATGAATGACTAAACAATACAAATAAATGTGAACTCACCTAAGCAACGGTGTTCATTAACAGAGATGACTCCACCTCCTCCTTTAGAAACATCCTCCATTACTGTTTTGGTTCTCTTGCATATAGTGACTGCCCTGCTTCCAAACTGTTGCTTGACATTCTCTGATTGAAGACCTGGTTTGAGGGCATTGAGTTCTTGCATGGTGAGCGTAGCCATGAAGTTCAGGGTGGTTAGCTGCTTGTTGACCAACCTGGTGGTGAAAGCTGTTACAGACAACCCCCTGTAAACATCAGTAGGGCTTTGAAAGGAAGACAAGACATGCTCCTTGTAGGTCTCCAAGATGTCTAGATTGACTGCAAGTGCCTGGTAAACAGTGCAATGCATGTCAGATGAAGGATGATGCTGACCTTTGTTGATGAGACCCTCCATCTGTTTCCTCAGGAAAGCAAATGCATCCACAATTGGTTGGTAGAGTGGTGATTCCAAATCTCCAATTTCAACACTCTTGGCAATGACATCGCAGGAATGCTGCAACTCATGCCACATATCTCCACTTTCATTTTCAGCTTGCTTTGATTTAGTACATTTTGACTTGCCTTTACTTCCTGGATTCAGTTTTGAGAGGGAAAGGGAAATTCTTATCACATCACAGATTGCACAAACCAATTTAGAGGAAGCTGTTGTAAGTGACTGCATCTTGGTATATCCTGCACCAGCTTGAATTCTTGTTAGAACTTCAGTAGCAGCTTCAGTTCTTTCCGAGAGGAGACAGTACTTTGAATGCTGCAAGCACACTTCAAGCACAGGACCAAGAGTCTTTGCCATATCTGTTACTGATTGTATCTTCTTCAATTTTCTTTCCAACGTTGACAGGAGTCCATTTGCAGTTTCAGCAAAAAACTGACAAAGATGTTCTGAGTTAGAATTGTCTTTGCCGGAATATCGCTCCATCTCCACACCTGCTCTCAATGCAGCATTTGCAATCCAGGCAGTGTCTTGGTTTGTCAGCATCACAAAGGCAAGTGACTTACGCCGTGCACTCAACACCAAGATGTGCCTGGTCCCGGTCTTTGTGGACTTTTCAATCTGGGCACATGCCTTCCAGAGCTGGTTGAAAGCTTGTTTGGCAATGGTGTCAAACTCATTATCCATGCCATCGGCTTTCTCAAACTGTGGCTGAGAGGCGATGAGCTCTGCGTATAGAAAGTCTGCAAAGGACAGAGCATCCATTAGCATCGTCTTGTTGACCAGCTGAAGCACAATGTGGAACAGGACTTTCTCCAGGGAAAGTGGAATGATCTCCATGTGTGATCTGGCAGCACAGATACCCTCATAGCAGGTACGTGCCACATCCATGACAGAGGCCAGGTGTTGGGAGCCAAGTGACAGGGATGTAATGGACTGGACGCACCCTCGAAGCATCTTCAGAGCAGTCACTCCACATTTCTTTATCAAGTCGTTACTGGACTTAGACTTGTGCTTGTGTAGGGGAGCCAGATAGATCTAAAGACAAGAAGAAAGTGAAAAACAAATGAGATGGAACATTTAATACTCATTTATAATATCTAATTTGCTCAAAGTTAAAAAAATTACATGGGATCTTTAAAAGCATTTTCAAAACAATATCATATGGAAAACTACAAGACTTTTCTGGTATTATGCTGTCTGGTATTAACAAGTATTGGAATTCTAATATTTTTAAGTGAAATTTTAATAACTTTGATATCATTTTGTGGGCCAGGACAGAGAGCTGACAGTACAGCTAGACCAACTCACCTGTCCCTCTGAATTTCTACATATTCCCTAATCTTGTATCAAAGAAAATCAATCTTCACAATCACATCTTTTCATTTACTAGTTACTAATACTTACCGACAACCAAAAAATTACTTTTTTTTTACGAGGGCTCTTTTCAGATTTTCCCTTAAAAAAATAGCCCCCCTTAATTATTTTGCGGTGGCTATTTTGGAGCTCAGGGGGGCTTTTTTTTTTTAAGGTTGTATTTTTTAAAAACATGGTTTTACCTACTTAAATTCCAAGCAAAGGCAAATATACATAGTATTGCAGACATATTCAGATACCCATGATTTATTCACTTTGTGTTAAATGTGTGGCTTATACATACATGTAACTAAAACTTGTCAAAAGGAGAGTTGTGTTCAACTGTTCGTTTTTCATATCATAAGAAAATATTATCACTGACACGCAGGCCAAGAATTAATTTTTTTATGGGGTCTACTTTATCCCATTGCATAAAAAAAAAACAAGGGGCTACTTAAAGAAAAGTGGGGGCTACTTTTGAAAAAAGGGGGCTACTTTCTTAAAGCCAAATTGTAAGCTGTAACAATAAGTTGTGTTTTTCCTTAGCCATCATACTTCTAGCAACCAAATTGGAAGGTAATATGTTATTTAGTCTTTTTTTCTGTCCCTAATTGTTAACATGGACAATGCGATCCCATTAAAAAAAATGTAACTTTGTGTAAAATTGTGTTATTTATAACTTAAAACCATTTTATGTGAGTGAATATTTTTACTATTGTCCCACATATCGATGTATTTGTTATACCGAAACATGCAAAATCATGGCCATATTTTTTTTTCACGTATAGACTATTTCTTAAGGCCAAGTCAAAGCTAGTTTCATTTCGTAGACTGAAATTGATGCCATCACTCTCAGGCATCAATGACAATGGGCCTGGCATCGTATATAAATAATATAATTTAATTAAACAGCTGTAAGAAAAATTCAGAGGTATAGGAACATCATTTATATATTTATTTACGTATTTTTTATAACAAAATTCAATTTCTGTCTACGAAACTAGCTTTATACCGATTTTACAGGGAAAAATCCGGCATTGATTTTGCACGTTTCGTTTTAACAAATATAACGGTATGTGGGACAAAAATACTCGCATTTATGGTTTTAAGTTATAAATAACACAATTTTAGGTATTTTAGGTAATGGTATTACATTGTCCATGATAAAAATTCGGGTCAGAAAAAAGACAAACCAAACATATTACGTACCAATTTGGTCGCTAGCAGTTCAGCACTCGTCACTCGCAAATACTTATTTGCTTCATACTAGGAGCGTGCGCGCCCCTAGCGCTGGAGCCAAGCTACTTTCTGTGTTGTGAATGTGTGCGAACTGCGTATGCATGTGCACGATATGTACTCTGTATTTCCATCAGGGGCCTGGCCGCTTAGGAGCTTAAGCGGATACTGCTAGTGCGCTGTGTGTAGATCTAGGTATGACCGCCGATCCGCTTCAACCACAAAACTTTTAAAATGTTGATGGAAATTTCTGGTTTTGGAGTTGGTAGTTGGAACGGAGATTTCACTCAGACACATCAATAAATTGATTTACTAATTCCTAGGGAATATCAATTCATGGCGGGGGCGATTTTTCATTATATATTGATTTTTTTTCACCCTCGTCTTGAATTTTACTGTGGCGATTTCAGAGGTTTAGGGAGCGAATCGCCCGTCGCCACCGTGTATTTTTTTCACCTCTCGCAGCAAAAACTAGAAATTCCTCAAAGAAAACTGGGAAGTCTATTTTTGTATACTTCTATTACTATACAGAGGTTTTCAGAAGAAAGGAATCAAGGGTCTATAACATTAGTTTGAAGGCTAAACCATAGGAATTAAGGTTGTGCATAACCGTGTCATGAGGTACTCGAGTACACTCCCAGGCTTACAGGCGAATACTTTAATACTCGGACGCTATGTTCGCAGGTCCGTCTCCGAAAACTCACGCGATTTTACTTCGAGTTGCAGTTGAAGGCGCAGATTTAGTAATAATAATAATTAATAATTATAGTTGCTTATATAACGCCTAACACTTACTTTATCAATGTAAACAATGCTGTTTTAAAAACCAAAGATGTCAGAATAATTGGTCCCAGTTTCTGAGCGGTGAGTTGACAGTGATTGAGCTGGGAAACATTTTTACCCACGGTACCATGCCGGTGCTCTCCCGGGCACGGGTAAGCGTCGGCCTGGACAGTGCCAGGTGAACGGGCGGGAAAAAAAATGGTGGGCGAGTATTCAAGTACAAAAAATTGTACTCAAGTAGCTGTCAACAGTGCGAGTATTTGAGTACTTGTCGCAGCCTTAAAGGTAAAGACCATGCGATTGCATTGTGAAAGAAACGTTGTGGGATCGATCATAAAAGGTTGATCATCTAGCATCTAGCATCTGCAGGGTTCTGGAATCATCAAAATGATAAGAAATTTGGCCCATTCTTCGTAAAGTTACAAGCACTATACACAAAAAGATGTATATGGGACTACCCTATATCTCTCACAGACCATGAGAGAAACAAATTTACCAAATATATGAATTAGTAGGTGGTTTCCCGGCAAATTTTTTATCATCATGTATTAGTCAAAACATATTCTTTCACATGATTGGTAATGAGAGCTTCCATTTCATTTTTGAAATTGGGGCGTTTCCAATACTGGTCTTTACCTTTAATCATTCTTCCAAAATAGGACTGGTTGGAAACCATACTAACCTTGACATCCGATACAAGAGTGTCCATGGGGGATCCATCTCTCAAGGATTTAAGCAACCTTTCACCATCCATCTTAACTTCTCAAGGATCTGTACATTTGAAAAAATACACATTTAAGCAAGAAGCAGGATTGAGAAATTATTTATAATCACTTTTTTTTTTACAGCAGCCTTTATCATCAAAGATATAAATCTCATTAATCAAGTACAAACATTGTTCAAAAATCAATAAGCATGAATATGAGACACACTTAGATCTATGACGTCAGCTCTATGTCATATTGTACAAGCACTACTGATTACACATTCTTTAGGATGGTCCAACGCAAGCATAATTCTTGTTAGATAAAAAAAGTGATTCGTTCTGAACATTTTGTTAATTGACTACCTCAAAACTTACTTGCCTTCTGCAATAGACCTTTTTTGTAATGCAATCAAATATATACTCAAGTGCCTCAATACTAGAGTACCGTATTTGCCGGCGTAAAGGCCTCAGAATTTTTGGAAGAAAAAATATCAAAAAGTCGGGGTGCGGCCTTTGCGGAGAAAGAGTAAAAAAAAAATTAAAAATCGCAAGTCAAAACCATGAAAGACAGCATGAATTTGTACATATGGGACAACAATGAAAGGTGATGGACATTTCTAGAATAACTCTCTAGAATAACACATGTCTTACCGACTATTAGGCCATGTAAAATTGATTTCATGTTGATCGTCCCCGCCCGCTTCCTTTTTTCCGCCCGCCTCCTTATATTTGATATAACAACACAGAATACTTACCATATGCATCTTTTCCACCTTTTCTTCAAATACGCTGTTCAAATATTCTTGTACAAACATACTAAATAAAGGCAACATTTAATATTCAAAAATAGACAAAAAGAAACCTGTTGAAGAAAGCCAAAATTGATATTTTAGGGCAAATCAAACTCACTACAGCAACGTTGGTTGATGTACATATTCAATTATATACTATTTGTACACGCGGCAGCCATCTTGGGAAAAATATCAAATAGGGTCTATCAAATAATCATCATCATCATCATCTATACGGGAGTGTAGGATATCCTGTAGGTTTCCCGGTCAGATCACTTGGTACATTAGTAAGGGTCTATATCAGTGCATGCGTGGATGTCAGACTATGCTATAACAAAGTGTTTGTCCGACCAAAAAGAATCCAAGCTGTGTTTAAATGAGTTGATGCTGGTAGCAGTTACTAGAGACTCTGGTAAACTGTTCCCAGACTGGATGACCCGGGGGCCGTTTCTCGAAACCAACTCCATGACAGTCATATCTTTGTCGGCGACCTACGGAGATGTCATGAAGCGGATAAACCGTTTCATAAAGCCATGACAGACATGATGTCGATATATCGCGATACTAGCAGCTCAAGAACATAGTCTTTGTCACGATCCATTTGATTTATCAAGAATAACCCAAAACAAGTTTTGGGGCTAAAATTGTTCAAAAAGAAATATATACATATAAATTCTTCTAAAATAAATAATAAATAATGTCATTATCATATTTACATCATCAAACGATTTGCATGTTTCTGTAAAGATTCTTAAATTGAAGAAAAACCGGTGAGTGTTTTTTTTCGACAGTCAAATCAAAAGTTAGTTGAAGGATACCGTAATGTGATAGTTTATCAATACGTACTTTTTTGTTTATTGTGACGAGGAATTTTAGGCAAAATGTCTTTTCTCAGCCGGTATTTATTCTAGAGTCTCATATACTCGTTATATAATTGATTTGATATTGAAAATATAATTTGGAAGAAGTAATTAGAGAGGGAATAATAATGCACATAGGCCCCAAAGGTATGACAGTATCCTAAGAAAAGACTATGGATCGACTATGGAAAACGGTGTGTAACATTCTTACCTCTTTTATTTATATGTTATAGTTTAATGATTTGTGATTTAATGTTTATATTCAGCTTTTTAAAGTTTCTGTATAATTTGTATTCTCACTTATGTACATTTGCATTTCGCATCCCAGAGAATTACGTACCGAACCCGTCTATATTTTTCTCAAAATGATAGTGAAACTAATCGTCCATTTCGCGGCCCATGGAATGGCAACAAACTGACTTGTGATGGCGCTTTACAGCAATTAAAAAGATATGACAGGTTCGGAGCAGTGACAACTCGCTTGTCGTGGAAGTTGTCGCTCATCTTGGCAAAGACGGCTTCGTGAAACACTTAGCTGACAAGTTGCGTGACAGTGGCGAGATGTCGTTGATCTTGTAGTTATGACGGTTTCGAGAAACGGCCCCCTGATTACTAAAAAAGTTACTCCTGACATTCAATCGACAGCGAGTAGTGAATAACTTCAATGAATGGCCTCTTGTTCTCTGATACTGAGATTTCACAAAAAAACAATCTGGATCGAGTCTATCTATACCATGAAATATCTTGAAAACTTGGATCATGTCTCCTCTTACCCTCCGGTAATGTAAAGAATAGAGATTGAGCCGTTTAAGTCTTTCGCTGTAAGATAGGGCGCTGAATCCTGGGAACAGCCTCGTCGCTCTACGTTGCACAGCCTCAATTCTCCTGTCATCAGTGATGAACCTAGGGCTCCAAGCGACACTACAGTATTCCAAATGAGGACGAACCAACGTCTTATACAAAGGCAAGAATATGTCTGGATTAATGTTAACAAATGCACGCTTGATAATGCCCAGCATTTGGTTGGCTTTCTGGGTAGATGCAGAGATGTGTTGACGAAAAGTGAGTTCACTGTCAATTAGAACACCAAGATCCCTTTCAGATAACCCTCCTCCTCTTTTTCAAAAAATCCGGACGATCAACATGTAATCAATTTTACATGGCCTTATGTGTTATATTTTTAAATGAAGGGCAAAGTTTGTCAATCTCGTAAATAAAATTCATAACTTACCAACCAAACTCTACTGGTAGATCTAGATTTAAGTTTTTGCCATAGCTAAAGGCAAGCAATCTCAATCTTCTCAGCTCACGCGAGCAAAGCTATGACGCAATACTCAAGAGAAAGCTGCAAGAAAAGTATCAGGGTCGGGATGGCCGAGCGGTCTAAGGCAGTAACTCCGGCGTGGAGAAACATACCAAAAATGAAATACATATTCATTAAATGTCAAAATGAAGATCACGAGTTAAAAGTCATTATATTTATTACCTATTTTGTGTCAATTTTCTTGTTATTTTTGGAGTATTTTTCGGGAAAACGATGATATTAGTATACACTTTTTCACAATCACAGGTTTCACGGCAAACCGCTGCACAGTACGAGTGCATACTACCGATGGTGGGTTGCGGGCGGGCGCGCGCCTGTGTGAAGTTATCTACCGTATTGTCTCAGATCCTCATTACGGTAGATAGCTTCACACAGGCGCGCGCCCTCCCGCAACCCACCATCAATATGCACTTGTATTGTGCAGCGGTTTGCCTTGAAACCTATTATTGTTTTTCTAAAAAATACTCTAAAAATAACAAACAAATTGACATGAAACAGCCAACACTAACAACAGTAACACTAAGTAAGAGGTAAAAAACATAACAACTTTTAACTCATGATCTTTGACTTTATTTGGACATTTAATGAATATTTACTTCAAATTATGGGTCAAATTTTGGATACCTTACTGAACAAGCGCCTAACTTTAGATCTATTTCTCACAAGCTTCACATTTTTCTCCCCGTAATACTAGGTCAGCACCACTGCACTGAGGGATTTCAAGTTCGGTGTTGAAAGCTAGTGTTGGTGTTGTGAGAACACACAACACCAGCCACAACACCGAACTTGAAATCAGGCTGGAGTTGGGATTGACCTCGGGAAATAAGACGTATTTCCGGTAGTCTGTGTTGAGGGCTGGTGTTGAATGTTGTCTGCTGAACCGGGGGTCGCGGTAGGCGTTGACGATTTACGTGTAATTTTCCCATTCACCAGGCTAGCCTAGGGATTGGGAAATTCATGATTTCAAGTTCGGTGTTGGTGTTGCAGTATACCGCAGGTAACTAGATCTAGATCTATGCAGATATCTGGCACGAATCTGCAGCAGCCCCTCTGCGCTCTCAACACCAACACCAACACCGAACACCGTACTTGAAATCACTCACTGTCACCGACACTCTGCCTGGCACCACCATGGCGATGGGCACTGACTTATCTTTGTTGATGACAAAATCGAAAATTAAATTTGGTTGTTATTTTCTCAGTTGTACATCTAGATCTAGATCAAGTGTATTGATCGAATTTCTTCTAATGGTCACACACATTATCATCACGTCATGTAAAATAACATAATTTTACCTGAAATTACCAAAAGCATTCTAGTTTGCGGAGTTCGCCTAACTTTAAAAGCAGCTAGCTCCAGTCATCAAGATCCCCTGATACAGTACAGATCAACTTTAAAATGGCCGCGATTAACACTTTTTATGCAGCTCTTTATTATTGGTCAATTTTATCTACAGCGAAAACGTTCGACCAATGGGAACTTGTGTTTATTCCATCGCTGAAAACTTGTAAACGCGCACGCAAAAAATGTTGATAATGCGCAGCGGCTTGATCAACTAGACGTGTGGCTAGCTCTGCCTGTCGCCGAACTCTCGGGATACACGGCTCGGTCAAATACCGTTAACCAAACCAGCTACGAATACTACGTACGAGCGCTCTCGCGCATTCTTGAATGAGACTAGATATCAACGCGAGGCAACAACCGTTTACCTGCGATACCATTTCATGCCCGACGGAAACCTTACTAAATTACTCTCGAGCTAGCTCCAGGTGGTTATTCAGCAAACTACAGCATTTACTCCTAAACCTTACAAATTTTACTTCAACATGGTGAAACTGACTGAAGGAATAGTGCTTGCCAAAGCACGGGCATCAGACTTGGAAAATGTCAAAAAGCTGAATTGCTGGTAAGTCACTATCTAAACGTCGGGTGTTGTTCTCCCCATACGCAGCCGTCTAGCTGAATGCTGCAAACACCGATTGTCCTTCACCACTAAGAGTAAGAGTAAGAGCCAGACTTAGAATCTAGTCAAACAAATGTCAGGCCGATCGTTGTCATTTCAATGCAATGTAAACGCTACAGAATTAGATCTAGGGCGCCAGATCTAGTTCTAATGACTTCTGAGAGAAATTTTGTCATCAAAATAAATTGTATCGTAGAGTCGTAAACGGGTGACCGAAGTTTGCAGAGATTTTGACAATATTATAAATTGTGATATTCGATCTATGATGTCATATTCTTCACAAATTTATTAATTTCAATTAGATCTAGACTCTATTACCAAATAGACAGCAAATTTTTGACTACAAATTGGTCCAACTAGAAAATTCATCGTCAGGATTCCAGAGATATCACAATCTAAAAATTCGATTTCGGATCAGCGTGCGTGCTGCAACTAAAAAAGTCATAAAAACAAAATGTGATGCATCAAAAATAAGGTAATGTCATAATTTGCAACTGCAAGGCAAGATATCACACAATCGGTTGGTACCACATTTTACTTACAATTTTGAGGATATCTGCTCTCAAAATTAAGATTTTCAGACCTTTCCTGGTAAGTTGATAATTTTTCGGAACGGACGCAAATGACTGCAAAATTTGCCGATCTTTGGTTAACATTTTCACAATTTCGCTCCCAATTCCAAAGAAAATTTTGTTTCTGGGTAATTTTATGTTCCTCTTTCTGTATCTGTCCATGACGTACAACCACCAGCATCTGGTTGTCTCGTACGTTGGGTTAGGGTCAAACACTAAACACGCCTAAATATCGAAGTGTGCTTCAGCTACAAGGTTTCATTGGTGATATTAGATTTTTGAAATCTTACTGATTTTTGTCAGGCACAGTGCCAGGTGGAGAAAAAAAATTGGCAAAAAAAAAGGCGGCAGGGTATGAGAAACCGTACTTGAGTAGTTGTCATCAGTGCGAGTACTCGTCGCAGCCTTACTCGAAACCATCATAGCTAAGTCTAAGTCTAACCATACCAACTCGAATCCAATGCAGTAAAGAGGGGCACATAAGCTGAAGCTTCAAGCCTCGACACCAAAGTAAACCAAAGTAAGTAAGTTCGTGGACATCTCATAAAAACGTGTGATAATTCTATAACACACGTGTCAATGGGATGTCCACGAACTTAGACTTATGACGGTTTCAATATTAGTGTAGTGTAGGGCTGCAACGAGTAGTCGAATGCTCGAGTACTCGCACTGTTGACAACTACTTGAGTTTACCCTGTAAGTTGGGGCTCTGATCGGATCGACACCCTTGCACCTTTGATCGGTATCGGATCGAAAGATCGACCCAAAAAATCGGCTGATTTTTTTTTTTTATGACTAAAATTTTCAAGTTTTGGGCTATCAAATGCTCAAAAAAATTTCATGGCTGGGATTATTTTGTCATTTGGAGTTGTTGTAGACTATGTTTGTTGATATTTAGTGCCTTTTCATGACTTTGGCACTAAATTTGATAGCCAAAAACTAGAAAATTTCGGCATTAAAAAAAAAAAAATTCTGCCAATTTTTTTGATCATATTTATTGATCGGCGATTAATTCATTATCCGATCACCCCTGATCGGATCAGTATCGGCGTTCGATCCGATAATCGGTTACAGGGTTAACTCGAGTACAATTTCTCGTACTCTAATATTCGGCCGAAAAAAGAAAAAAAAATTCACGGTCACCTGACACTGTCCAGGCCGACGCTTACCCGTGCCAGGGAGAGCGCCGACCGCCGGCATGGTACCGTCGATAAAAAAGTTTCCCAGCTCAATCACTGTCAAACTCACCACTCAGAAACTGGACCAAATGTCCAGATTTCTGTTTGGACTCGGAGGAAAAGGGATTATTCTGCCATCTTTGGTTTTTAAAACGGCATTGTTTACTGTTATTATTATTATTATTATTATTAAATTGGCGCCTTCAACTGCAACTCGAAGTAAAAATGTATGAGTTTTCGGAGACAGACCTGGGATACTGCTCCCGTGGTATGGTGGTGGCAAAAAATTATTTAAAAAAATAAATAAAAATAAAACATTTTTAAAAAAATAAAAAAATAAAAAAAACATGGCATCCAAATATTTGAGTATTCGCTTGTTCGCCTGGAAGTGTACTCGGGTACCTCATTACACGGTTGTACACAGCCTTAGTTAAGTGATACATCAAACATGACGTCCAAAAGTTGGAGGTACAATCTACTTCTATTATTCTAAAACTTTTTATGATAGACTTTAGGCCACACCAAGACCAATTAGGTGCAATATTTAGATGCAGATGTTGTTCAAAGTTTATTGCATTTCTTTACAAAGGGTTGAAAAACAACTAGATCTACATGTATCCTAAGCTTAAGGCCAAACTCAAGCAATGGCCAAACTAAAAATATCTGTAAAATTGTAAGGGCTTGGTGATTAAATGAAATATGATATTGCTATTACCTAGCCTTAATTGGCCAAACCCCTGCATGAAGAGTGACGTAAACAAAACCTAAAATGCGTTTATAATCACCTATCTGCGCCCATAGCCAATTTGATACTTAAAGTTAATAGCGTTTAGTTTAGTGTACTAAGGGCATGGACGGAGTTCGCTGAATTTAGCAAACTCCTTGCTTGTGCAAGCCTTTTTACACTTATCATAAAACGCATCTAAAAACAAGGGCTGGTTCTTAATAGAGCTCAAATTGAAGTCAGATTGGATAGACCAAAGTCACATAACAGTCTAAATTTAGAATTTATTTTCTGCCATTGTGCCAAGAAAACCAGACCATACCACACATTAATTACAGACTACACCTGCACCTGAAAAAGCATATACAGAATTTCAAAATGATGATGGCTATATATATATATATCACATCATGCTAAAATGATGATGACAATGTAGAAGTTTAAAATAGTCATGACATAATCTTTTGTTTTTCTACTCATGTGAGAAATATGTAATTTGGAAGAAAAAAATGATTACAATTTTTTTTTTTTAACGGAACATAAGGAGAAAAAGCTGGCAGTTAGATTTCCAAACCGAATTCCACCTTTAAATCAAATTTTATCTTTGTTAGCTTGTGATTGTGCTTCACATTCCACACAATGACTTGATTTCCATTAAGGCTAACATGCTGTGCACTCGGGCAATGGAATACCATACTCTGCCCAATGGGAAATTATCCCAACTGATGCTCATTGTGTCGATGTTGGGTGCCTATTCTCATTTGGACAAAAACTCCAGAGCCCTCTGTGGGCAAATCTTTCTGTGGGAAGGTGGGATAAAAAGAAATTACCCAGTTGATAAAAAGGAGAAATGGTTCCATGAAAAGAAGTTTGATTCAAGCATTCAAGGGACAAGAGAGGGTCGGTAAAATTGTGGAAAAGGGAGGTTTCTATTTGTCCTTCTGTGACCCTGCTCGCTTTTGAATTCCTGGGAAGCTGGTATAGATTGCTAAAATAAGTAGTGATGGATGACTGAGCAGCTTCACCATGTGCTTTGTGTGTGTCTAACTTTATTGGCATTTTTCTGTATACATGTAGATTCCATAACAAGCATGCATACATTCGCAAGAAGGTGTAGATATTATATTGTAAAAAATTACACATATATATCGTGCATGTCGACATCAGAATATGGTTTATGTATGTGAATAAGACATGATGAACACTTTCTGATTGGTCACTCAATTGAGAGAAAGATAGCTAACTATAACAATGTAATTTACTAATAATTCAAAAAAAGAAAAGAATGGAAAATATTGTATGAAAATTTATCAGGATAAGATTGTATGTGCAGTATACATGTAACTAATCATAGTGATTGACAGTCAAACAGCCAGACTACATGAAGTAAATCCTCTAAAGAAGGGGGGGGGGTGGGTCTTGTTTTTTAATCTATTATATACAAGTATGCATTCACACTTAAAATATATTTATCATATAATTTGTGTTGTTTTGTATGTATGTACATGTATTCGATACTACTAGAGAGGCGTGATAGTGTTGATAGATTTTATTAGATTTTTTTTACTTACAAGCACCTGATCAAGCCTTTACAATGTAGCTACATATGAATAATATTTATCATGACAGTGGGCAAACTTTGCTTTTACAGAAGTTACTGTTTCTGGTAGGTAAAAATTGTAAAAACATGATATCATCTTGGGTATCTTGAAGAAGAGTTCAAAATTTCATCATAGAAGCTTGAGTACTATATAAAAATAAAAGCCTTTTCTATGGTACATTTGTTCATTTACTCATTCATTCATTCATGATTGACTGGCCCATTCAAGACCATTTCATTTCATATTTGAGTGTCTCTGAAAAGATGTTGAAATTGCGACTCCTCTGTGTTCACACTTCTGCATAGATTCATCGAGATACTTTCATGCGCTAGCAACCTTAATTGCTCTCTCATTAGTCTAAATGAAACTCGCTTCCGAAAAAAGACAGCGCTGCACTTTAAAAGCACTGAAATTGTCTGACCTTGATGCTGATGTTGGTGGGCTTTCAAGGAGCTAGACTGGGAGCAAGGCTAATGGAATTTAGCGGGGAAGAGATGCACTGAGGATAAGTGCATGGTTGAGGTTGTCATCATGTTTTAGTTCTGAATCCATTAATCAATTAGCCGATATTGTGGAGCGTTTTCATTCCTTTCCCATAGCCTACATGTACACTGTTCTCATGGTGCATGGCAGTTCTACTTACAAGCGTATCCTTTTGAAAAAACACCCCCAAACCAACTTTTTTTTTTTTTAACAACAAAATTATTTGCTGTTGGTCTACATAATTGAGCCGTCATTGAAAACATTTTGCGAAACTTTTATGATAATGACATTAGTATCATGTGAAAAGGGAGAAATTTAGTTTGGACTTTGATCCTTAACTTACTTTCTTGATGTATTTTATAATACTATTTAAGAAAAATCCTTC